AGTATCATTCAGAAATAGGTAGCCTTTCAAGACCTGTTGGAGTAGAGCCATTGTGGCTCAGTGAGTAGGGTACTGGCTCACTAACCAGGTCTGGGGTTCAATCCCAAGGTTGACCCAAAAAGATCCCCAGGTCAGTCATAATCATGTTATTCGGATTGTGAAAATAACAAGATCACATGTACATGTTGGAATTCGACAAAGAGTAGGCAGAAATACTTCTGTCCAGGCAAAATTTAAATCAAAGTACACTGCATGACGTATGCCTATCTTCATTAGCTCAATTAGTGCAGAAAAGTAGGATGTTAAACCCCATTTCATTTCAAAGCCTGTATGTATCTAGTTGATGTATATAAATAAATAAAAAATATTCTTTCCCTATTACGATTGGATATGGTTTACTGTGGGACCTGTTTAAATATCTGATGAACTTATAATGAATATCAAGAATATTGTGTGCATGATAGTTCAGAAAGATATATTTCACTGGCAGAATGACTATTGACGTGAGCATGATTTATGGTACTTCCTCTTTCAAGCTGCCTTATTTACTCTTTAAGTAATTAGAATAGTTAGATTCTGTATAATCTATCTTGTTTGGGTGCTTTAATATTTTGTATGTAGAAAATCGATTGGACATTTTGTACCAGGACCGGTAAATGCATCAGTACCAGTATATATATATATTGAAGTTAATTTTCTGTAAAGTTAAGAACCAGCCCTTTTATTTTTTATATTAGACAATAATCGTGAAATGCAGTGTGAGACATGTATCCAAATTGGAGGCTACATTTCTTTTCAATAATCTAGCTTTTTTCTATTCATTTGTGTTGCACAGTTTTACTATTCATCCTTCAAATGCCTTATTATTTATATTTCAATCTCTGGGGTTTTTGCAAGTTTACGTATCTTCACATGACTATGATAGAAGTGGATTCTCCTTTTAATACAGAGATTTTGTCTCGAATTTGAGTATGTTACCTTGCCAAAAAAGTATGGCATGATCTTCATTATATTTAATCAGTCCATCTTGGTACTAAATACATGATTTTATTTTCAAGCGTATATTATAAAGGACACCTTTAAATTTGTCCCAACTTGTGTTTTAAGCATCAGTCATCATGATTGTTTATCAATTTGAACATAGAATCAACTGTGTAGCACATCTATAAATAACTAGGAGCAATTGATTTGATTTATTTCAATTTTGTATTTTATTATGAAACAAAAAGAGAGTTAAGATAGAATACTCCGGCATACTCCGCTAAATATTCAAGACTAAACAAACTTTGTCTAATTATGTCTAGACATCAATACAGTAATTGAATGACTAAATGTAATATCCATATTGAGTTATTGTAATTACATGGACTTTGATCAGCACAGCTAGCAATTGGTTCAGATGATCTGAAATAATGACAGTGATTATTCTTGGTATATACTCTGGAAATTGATGAGAAATGAGGCAGCTTCTTCCATCAAAAGTAAAGAGCTATCTATAGAAATAGAATATAAATAAGAAAGGAGGAAGAGATGACATTATACTGGTGATTACAAGTTGACAGTTAAGTGAAATCAATACCTATGCTAGAAGGAGCTGGGAAGATTTTACTCAGCTAATTATTTCCTTATCAGTATTTTACATTATTAACATATACTACCTTCTTGCTACATACTCAGTATTTACCAGAACATTTATTTATAGTTCAACTGGAAAAAAGCCTCTGGAAATCTGCTGTGATACTAATAAGCTTGTCACTATAAATTCCTTTAAAGCCACAGAGAAAAGCAGCTATTAACAAGAGTATGTCTTGTAAATGCCTTTTAAGTATTTAAATCTACAGGGGGCAAACCAGACACTTTATTCTTCATTGTATTTATTTTTGTTTTGTATTTCTTATGAAAAGAAGGGGAATAAGCATAGAAAATATTTTAATGGTCAAAAGTGTAAATTTATTACTGTAATCGTTAGAAGTAAGGAGTATCAGACTTTCAGATAGAAAGAGGTCAAATAGCTGACCTGATTATGTTTTATGAAACTTGTTTTGAAAAGTATCATTTGCGGAGGATTGATTTCTCCTTATGTACCAACATTTAAACACTGTAACGTCTGTCCTTCATTGCAGGCGCTCAAGAGCTCACAGTTATTATCCAGTCATTTTGAAATTTACTAGTGCTGCTGTTATAAATGCCAGAGGGTCATAGAAGCCTGTTGAATTTTAGTGATTTCTAATAATCACTTTCCGAGGTCCTTGGGTGTATTGAAACATTTATATACATTACCTAGATACAGAAGCCTATAAAAACATCAATGATTTCCGACTACTGGCATTATTTCAAGAGCTTGCTAATTGATATGTGACTGTTGTTTAAACATGCATTATGCAAGAGCTAAATCTGCCTATTGCAGGTCTTTCTTTAGGCCTGAAATGTTTTCTAAAGTATTAATTAGACATTAATTAACTGATCTAGGCCTTAATCAACTCTCGATGGCATCAGTTTTCTCCAATATTAAATAGATTAGAATGGTTCAGCGATACTTTGATTTAATCAAATATGGAGAACCGAGACTTAGCTTCGATCAACCAGTACGGTGGTTGAAATTATTGCACACATCTGTCAAACCTTCAAAGGCTAATATCTTTGCTTGCAATAGAGTAATTTGAATGAAATTTTCAAATTATTCATTTTACATCATCTACTTTCGAACTATTATAATGGCTAGTTCTTTATATAAATCTTACATAATGTATCTTTAATATGAATACAATTATTCCAAATGATTAAAAAAAATAGTAAATTTTAACAATCATTCATTATTTCCCGCCCGACAAATCTGTTGATGGAGATATATTTCTTTACATATCATTTTTAACCTCAATAACTTTGTAAAGATTGATTCCTTTATGTAACTAAAAAACTTAAATTTCTTCAAATTAAATGGAATTCCAGCAAGTTGCCCAAAAAATAAAATACTTTGCCAATATCAAAATAAATGCACATATGTATCTGTAAAGCTTCAAACTGAATGATTTGCTGTCTATCTCTTTAATTTCCATCTCCTAGTTCTACAGTTAATCATGACAGGTGTTGACTTGTGTTACTGGCCTTCACCTTATCTTAACTTCACATAAAGCTTTTAATGGTGTAGGAAATGAATGATCTGATTATGGTTTATGCTAGAGATTATACAAAGAGTTGCTGTACACATCAAACTGTTTCTTGTTGCTTTTACAAGATCTTTTCATTTACTGTGATTTAAAGTAGCCATGTCTTTAACTCGGTATCATCCACAATCTTCGACATTGCAAACACGACTTATTGGTCATTTTGAATCAACATTGATGTTGTTATCTTACCATGAAAAGATGGGCCTTTGGTATCCAATATTTAAGACATAATGAAAATTTTAAACTTGGCAAATGAATCGTGTGCCAGAATGCTTTTAGGCGCCATTTGTAATGAAGTGACAGGATGAACGAGGCTAAACATATCCCACAAGGGAAGACTACTGGAGTAGATTGGAATAACCAGACACCAAAGAATGTCATTCAATTTGCACTCTTCGCAACTGCTTAGAAATTACAGTAAAACAGAAACGATTGAATGAAAATCAGTATATGTACATTCATATTACATTATTATATGTATTACGATGAATTTGTGTCCATTTTTAGGTGCCAAAGAATAGCGATTTAGCTCCTTTAAGATCACAGTTTTGAAACCTTTATGTATGTGTACTCAATAAATGACATCACTATATTCACATCCATCATCCTCTTCAAAATAATTTCATGACAGAATTTTTCTCCATAGCATTTCGGAGGAGGCAGGAGACTATTTAAATGGGTTTGTTTGTCCGTCCGTCCGTCAAACCTTTTGGAACATCTCTCTGACTCCAATTAAGGTAGAATGTTCAAGATGTTCATTAGATGAATGGGTTACAAGAGTTCAATGATGAACTTATCTGCATAGGCTAAGCACAGAGAAGGGATTTGATATGTAGCTACTTTATAACACAATAACTTTGATTTTAATATGAAACTGGGTGTATAGTTCATTACATCAATACCTTTACTTCTTTCCATATTGACAATTTCTGGTTTGGTTAAACAGAATAATAACAATAAGCCATTTGATTGCTTGATGCTTCATAAACAGATAAATGTGCAGGCAACTACTGAATGTCAGCTATTTGCTGTTGTCATGTACATATTAATAATTCATTACAACATAACACTAGAGATTATGGAAGGATAACGTTGGCAATATTATTTCAATGTTCACGGAGCAAAATGCATGTCAGCAGTTCAAAATATGTATTTTAGTTTTATAATTTGCAATTTCCATTGCTCCACAATACCAATGTCACAGTGTTAAAATACAGAATACATTTTCGAATAATATAAAATACAGTAGAATAGTTATTTTACACATTACCGGTACACTTCTCCATTCCCTCATAGCACACTGCACGACGTACACCTGTTTTCATTAACCCAGTCGGAGCAGAACAGTAGGATATTAAACCCCATTTCATTTTATTTCATTGAACGTTTTCCAAAGTTCTGTAAATATGAGTACTGCTCCCTTCTACTGAAATTTACCTTGTAGATTGATCGCATAAATTATTCATTTCCATCCTTGTCCAGATTTTTTCCGTATGCAAATGAGCTTCGTTGTGGATCCCATATAAGGTATATTTGTTCTAATATTTTGTATAATTGAAAAGTGTATTCTGTATTTTAACACTGTGAGAATGGTATTGTGGAGCAATGGAAATTGCAAATTGTAAAACTAAAATACATATTTTGAACTACTGACATAGGCAGTTTGTACAGTGAACATTGAAATAATATTGGCAACGTTATCCTTCCATAAGAGATAACATATAGCTCCCCCCTATCTCATCTCAATATTTGATTTGCAATTTGTAAAACAAAAGGTAAGACATCATATAAAACAAAGAGCACCTATATACCTGTTCCAATATATAATTACAGGCAGCTAAAAAGTTGGAAAAAGTAAGAAGAAAGGCAGAGGTTATTACGGAAGATGTAGATGTTTCTGAGAAGGAAAAGTGGCAGCAGATCAAACAGTAGGTTTTTTTTTATTTAATTTTCAAATATACATGTATTCTAAAATCTAATGCAGGGCATAATTTTGGACATGATGCGCCAAAGGGAGATGTATAGGGCAGGATTTCTGTTCCAGAATTTTGCTCTTCGTATATTTGCGGGATTATCAATATTTCTTGGATCGTGAACTGAATGACTGTTAAAGACAAGTTGATTGACTTCTTGATAAACAAGTGTTTACATCCCGCCAATCGACACCAAGGGGATGAAACTATCCGACAAAGAAGAAACCATAAATTGCTTTTTGGCTTAAGATAAAGATAGGTTGCCAGGCAACAAAACATACGGCCACAGCAGCTAAATCGTCTGAGCGGTCAACAAGGGTTGTCGCATATTTATTGTTTTGTAGGTAATTGGGAGCCTTTACAAGATAGTTCCATACAGATGAGATTATAATTTTTGCCGTTTGAGGTTTCACAAAGTTCTACAAATTGAAACAAGGGTCTCAACTCTGGAAGTCATCTACAGAAATTGTTGAAATTTGACAGGCTTTTTCGTTTCACAAATTTAAATGTATATATCAATTTCATACATATCGGATGATAACTTTCATCAATTGAGCATTAGCAAGGTTGAACAAAGTTAAACAAGGGCAATAACTCTAGAATTAATAAACGGAAATTGCTGAAATTCAATAGGATTCTGCTCTTTACTAATTTAAATGACGCATGTAAATTTCATACAGATCGGCAGATAACTTTTGATGTTAGAGCATTCACAAAGTTCAATAAAGTGAAACTAGGGTCATAACTCTAGACGTAATAAACAGAAATTGCTGAAATTCAATAAGCTTCTTCGTTTCACTTATTTAAATAATGCATATAAATTTCAGAAAGATCGGATGATAACTTTTGGTGTTAGAGCTTTCACAAGGTTCAATAAAGTGAAACAAGGGCCATAACTCTTAGATGTAATACACAGAAATTACTGAAATTCAATAGGCTTCTTCATTTCACTAATTTAAATAATGCATATAAATTTCAGAAAGATAGGATGATAATTTTTGGGGTTAGAGCGTTCATAAGGTTAAATAAAGTGAAACAAGGGCCATAACTCTAAAACAAAATTGCTGAAATTCAATAGACTTCTTCGTTTCCCTAATTTAAATATTGCATATAAATTTCACAAAGATCGGATGTTAACTTTTGGCATCAGAGCGTTCACAAGGTTCAACAAAGTGAAATGGAAATTATTGAAATTAAAAAGGCTTCTTCATCTCACTTATGTAAACAACATGTATTCCAACCATTAGGTTGATCACTTAATTAATCCCACAAATTATACGATAATCAAGAATATTAATAGCAGTTCTCTCATTACAATGTTTTTGGAATTTTGAGTTTAATTCACCATGTCTTCATGTCCGATATAGCATATTTACGATCGGTTGTTTGCAAATCAACATAGGATATGTCCAGTATAAATGGATGAAACAGAATCCCTGATATAGAAGATGACATCTTAAAATTTGTGGAATAGCCAAGTGTGGGAATGAATTTCATCTGTATGCTTATTTCAAGACCAGTAATGATTATTTTTTACCCTACGCAAGTCCAGCAAACTCGCATGTTTGGTGCTTGCTGGCTTACTTAATCACCTTCAGTTATTATCTTCAGTTATTCAAATCCAAGCACCCCCATCAGCAAATTCCTATCCTCATCACACTGACCAATTTTCAAGCCTTGCCCACCTCCAAATTTCCCCTTTTTTAAAATTCACAAATCTGATATTTCTCTTCTATCATTTACAGATTATATAAGAAGGCTGGTTTGTTGAAGAAGGATAAGAAAGAAGTGACGTATGTCGTCGGAAAGCGTGGTGTAGGAAAGCGAGTTAGTCGACCATCAGGAGTCACTGGTCCCTTCAAGGTTGTTGATCCTCGAATGAAGAAAGATAAAAGAAAAAGCAAAATGGCTAAGAAAAAAGGTGGAAAAAATAATAATAGGAAAAGAAGATAAAATAAAACCTTATTTAATTATTTGTAAAAATTGTAAATAAACATCTTTACATCTCATTTTGTCTGTATGCTGAACCAAATGCTCACTTAAGGGCTATTAAATTGGGTTTGTCCAGCTTATCTCACATATCACTGCCAGGGAATGGATGTTAACAGAAATTGGTATACCTTCATTATCACTGTCACTTGCTCCAACTAAAATATTTTTTAATTATAGGCTACTGAAATCTTATTTGATCGATTATTCTTTAAATAGAGGGTATAATTTTTTATAACTGTCAACCCTACCAATTGTATAAAACTTCTTAGTTCAGGAAAATGTCCATAATCTATGTAGGCGGAAGGATTATGCAAACTGTTTTTATTGCAACATATTGTACTTGTGGCTGGCCCTCAAGGCATGTAAATTATGATGTAGATCAACTATTGAGAAGGGCAAGGTGTTGTGTGGTATATATTTAGAAAGAAGTGATGAAAGAAATGACTTGAGGGCCTTTTGCCAAAAGGATTGTGGATTTTTAAACAATAAATATGTATAATTCAGACTAGTCATTCAGATTCTAATCTTGATAGATAACAAATACAAAACATGTAGAAAAGTGAAAGTATTGTCTGGCTGTTGGCCACAAATTGTACATGTTTTAATCAAATCTTAACAATGATGATTGAGAACAGAAAGGTTTCACACAAGAATTTCTAATTAATTTAATGTCAAGGTCATGACTAGATCTATTGTTTCACAGAGGTATTGCAAAGGCTTTCTATATATAACTCTGTGTAAGATGACTGGACTTTATAAATTTCATATGCATTCTTCTAGGTGTGATGTCACATCACATGGCATCGATCACAATGTTAACATAACGTGAACTGATCCGGGCAGAATGATGCCTTTTACTCATTTTATATACCGATTTACACTAAATAGGAAATATTTTTTTATCCAGATATACTTCAAACACCTTTATTTATTTATATAATACTTAAAAAAAAAATGTTCTAGAATTTAATTTGCAGGAAAAAAGTTAATATTGTGAAGTAATTAACTTCCATCGATATCATCCCTCTCAGTGATATTAGTGGCAAATATTCACTGCTGATCAGTGTGTCGTTGCTCCTGTCTTGTGCAAAAAGGTCTAGAAATATACTTTTCAAAGATAGGTTGCCAGGCAACAAAACATGCCCACAGCAGCTAAATCGTCCGACCGGTCGTCAAGGGTTGTCGCATATTTATTCTTTTGTAGGTAATTAGGGGAATTTAATATACAATTTCATACAGATGACATTATAATTTTCTTCGTTTGAGGGTTCACAAGGTTCTAAAAACTTAAACAAGGGCCGTAACTCTGGAAGTAATCTACAGAAATTGTTGAAATTCGACCGGCTTTTTCGTTTTACTAATTCAAATAATGCATATAAATTTCATACAGATCGGATAATAACTTTTGTCGTTTGAATGTTCACAAGGTTCAACAAAGTAAAACAAGGGCCATAACGGAAATTGCTGAAATTCAATAGGCTTCTTCGTTTCACTAATTTAAATGATGCATATAAATTTCATACAGATTAGGTGACGACTTTTGTCGTTCAAGCATTCACAAGATTCAACAAAGTGAAACAATGGCCATAACTCGAGATGTTTCAGTAACCTCAATAATGCATATAAATTTCAGAAAGATCGGATAATAACTTTTGTCGTTAAGGCATTCACAAGGTACAACAAAGTGAAACAAGGGCCATAACTCACGGTGTAATTAACAGAAATTGCTGAAATTCAATAGGCTTCTTCGTTTCACTAATGTAAATGATGCATATCAATTTCAAGCAGATCGTTAGAGCGTTCACAAGGTGAAACAAGGGCCATAACTCCAGAAGAAATTAACGGAAGTTATTGAAATTAAATAGGATTCTTCATCTAACTAATGTAAACAACATATATCAGATGATAAATGTAGTCTAGAGTGTTCACAAGAAATTGTGGACGACGTACAGGGGTGACGGCATTATACGAACCACATTTCCATGTGGGCGTATAAAAAAAAAAATGCATAGTGACATTTCGTATACCCTCGCTTTACAATCGCCTCGTTGCAACAGGAACCGCAACTCGTCGCTGAACCAAACTGGTCTCCAGCGTTGCTAAACCAAACTGTTCTCCAGCGTAGCCGTGGTCATAGCCTGTTTGACTGAACCCATTGAAGTCGAATATTTGACGGTGTCGGCCTATTTCACGAAGGCATCTATGCCATGGAGTATGGACTGTCTAGTCCGAGATCCTACGCCGTCCAGGGCAATTAGTGGGTCACTCTTGTTTGGCCTGAGCTTGGGTGGTCACGTGTTGATCTTCGCTGTCGGTACCTATCCCAAAGGCGAACAAGCCAACAGTGATGCTGATGTCCCCCCCCCCCCCCGAAATCCCCAAATAAATAGATGACACATATTAATTAATCGCAGGTCTAGTATCGAGCAATCAAACTGATTATCAACTATACACTAAGTTTCATACTCTCTATCTGATAGAATCAAAGTTATCTTGTCCCAAAGCATCGACCAAGGAAATTGCTTATTCTACCTCAATTAGAAGCAGAGTTGTTATGTTCCAAAGTCTTGACCAATCAAAATGCTTATTGCTCCTTAGCCTAAGCAGACAATTCTCATCATCGAACTTAGTCAAGGTATTGATGTAATGAAACTATACACCAAGTTTCATCACTCTCACTTAATTAGAACTAAATTTATCGTGTCCCAAAGCATCAACCAATCAAATTGCTTATCTCTACTTACCATAAGCAGAAAATGCTCATCTTCGCACTCTATCAAGGCATTGACCTCATAAACACCTAGACACCAAGTTTGAACATTCTAGCTCAATTAGAAGGAGAGTTATTGTGTTTCAAAGTCTCGGCCAATCAAATTGCTTATCGCTCTGCTTACCCCGAGCAGAAAATGCTCAATATTGAACTTAGTCAATGTATTGATGTAATGAAACTATACACCAAGTTTCATCACTGTCACTTAATTAGAACTAAAGTTATCGTGTCCCAAAGCATCAACCAATCAAATTGCTTATCTCTGCTTACCCTAAGCAGAAAATGCTCATCTTCGAACTCCATCAAGGCATTGACCTAATAAACACCTATAGGGCCTACCAAGTTTGAACATTCTAGGTCAATTAGAAGGAGAGTTATTGTGTCCGAAAAGTGTGACGGACAGACAGACAGACGGACGAACCCATTTTAATAGTCCCCTGCTTTCTTCGAAAGGCGGGGGACACAAAATTATCTCTACTTACCCTTATCAGAATGTTTGAACATTCTATGTCAATTAGAAGGACAGTTATTGTGTCCCAAAAAGTGTGACGGAAACATTCAGCTGCCTGGCTACATCGTCAGGTATTCACCGGCTTGTAACCAACCGATAGGGTTGTTGTGTTGGTCTTCATTCAGATGTGGCATCACTTGGCTCGTTGAGTGTTTACATGTGCAACTGATTTTGAAACCGGGAACCCGGAATTTTAAAGGCCTTAGAGTTGGGTTTCATGCGAAAAGCTTGCGAAGTTGTTTAACTCATGTGTGATCATGGGCCATAACTCTGGTAGTAATTATCGGAAATCATTGAAAATCAATAGGCTTCTTCGTCTCGCGACTTTACTGTGTATAAATCTGAAGTCAACCGGATATTAATTTTAGCCTTTAGAGCGTCCACAAGATATTTTAAAGTCATCAAGGGCCATAACTCTGGCAGTAATTATTGAATATCGTTGAAAATCAATGTCTCATGACCGCAAACACTGTGTATAAATTAAAAGTCAATTGGATTATTAAGTTTAGCGTCTAGAATGTTAAAAGATTATTCAAAGTGATCAAGGGTCATAACTATGGTAGTAATTATCTGAAATGATTGAAAATCAAGGAGCTTTTCGTCTCACAACCTTAAACACCGTAATCGGAAATCGTTGAAAATCTATAGGCTTCTTCGTCTGATGACCTTCAATACTGTGTATAAATTTAAAATTAATTGGATATTAACCTTAGCCTCAATGTGATCATGGGCCATAACACTGGCAGTAATTATCAGATATCATTGAAAATCAATAGGCTTCTTCATCTCATGACTTGTGGACGACGACAATATACAACCACATGAAATGTGGGCATATAAAAATTATGAAAAATTGGCTATGCGCTTTATTTTTTGAAGAGTATATATGTTTTGTTTTTTTACCTAATTGACAGGATTAATCAAAGGAAAAATCCTGCGTGAGCAGGTAATCATGTAGGGTGGTTCCTATAAGGATACAGAGCTCTTTTACAAGTTGCAACGGATCGTGTCTGTTCAGTCGGATAGTGTCCGTACTTTAAGTCGTTATTATAATGGTCTTGAGCAAGACATTGCGTAATATATTGAAACACCCGGGCATCTCTCATGCAGTATCAATATATAGACCATTAAGTGACCAGGAGTAGGGTCACCTGTCCAACCCCATGGGTTTGTGTCAAGTGGAGATTAAACCCTATAAAACCACACTTATTAGGTTTTAATATCATTTGTATGGCATTTCAATTTGTGATCTTTTTTCTGTAAATCGGAAATAGATTGTCTCATTTTCAAAAGGTGCGCACTTGTGACCCAACCTATCACAAACGCTTTATTAATACCCCGCCTATACAGGATTTGATTTTACAGCTTTGACATTTAAATTAATAAACCTCTCTAAATATACTGAGCGCCATGGAAAACGCATCACTTTTTTTTCCCAAATATTTTATTACTAGGTGGTTTTGTATGTATAATATTATGCAATACTATGAACTATTGTTTCACACAATGCTCCCAAACGCAAAAAATATCGGCCCGTGTGCAAAAAAAAAAAATTGCACGAGGTGCACATGAAAACCCCAATATTCACGTGCAGCATTGTGTGTGGGCCCTTTAAAAGCATGTTTTCAACTTAATGTGCAGTACATGAACTGTGAAACGTCAATCTGTCGTAATTTGTTGTTGGACGTGTGAAGGAATCGAGCTAGAGATGCTGAGACTTACTGAAAATCAAAGGAATGAAGCCATGGGAATGTCCAGGGCTGGCATGTCTACACTTGCTATTGCCAGACACTTCAATTGTCATCAGTCCTCTATTGTAAGGTTGGTGGAACATGTTCTAGTTACTGGATCAACACGTGACTGTCAACGTCCTGGTCCACAACGCGTTACAAACCAGGCTCAAGACCGCTACATCCGGGTCACTCATCTGCACCACAGATTCCGCCCAGCGACTTGAACAGGTGCAGCAGTCGTCGGAAGACAAGAACCGGTAAGTGCCAACACCGTAAGACGTTGTCTAAGAGAAGTAGGACTCGGTACACGAAGACCTTATGTTGGAGCTATTATCAGGGATCGTCAGCGGCGTTTGATATGGGCTCAAGGACACCAGACATGGAGAAGAGTAGACTGGCAAAGTGTGCTCTTCAATGATGAGAGTCGCTTTCATCTTTATCATGCTGATGACCGTCAACGTGTGTGGAGACGTCTTGGGGAACGTCTTGCAGACTGCTGCGTCTTCAAAACGAATCGATGGGGTGGGGAGGCCTCACATTTCACCACCCTACACATTTGCAGGGGTCGCGTTAATGCTGTAGCCTACCGTGATGATGGCCCATGGAGGACACACGCGCTACTGACATCTGTGTCGTACTTTTGGTTTTGACCCCTCTGACTTTGTACCCTTGATTACAGATTAAACATCCAGAAGTGTACAAATGTGTTGTTATTGATGTGTTCCCATTTGAATATTGTTCACAATAAGAAGCAAAATAAGACATGTTTACAGGATCATTTTGTTATACGAAAAACTATTTGATGCGTTTTCCATGGCGCTCAGTATATATATATGATGCCATTTCCTTTATTATTAATGACAGCAAATAAAATCCCACCAATGAACCCAACATTTTCATAGTGGCATGTAAATTTCACCCCAAACTCATACTATGATAAGGACCCATACAGTGAAATTGTGACCTGCCCTATTTGAATTTTTTACTCTTTGTGAGTAATAATGATTTGATGTATTAGGAAATGGACATTTTGAGATGAACTACAAAAGCACTTTGTGACCATTCCATTACTGTTAGTCTATCATAATATCCCTTCATTGTATGAATCAATAGATATTTTGCTGAACAATACTGGATGCCCCCAAAAGATGTATGAACCGGTAAAATTCAAACATAATTCTTTTAAAAATATTCCCAACTGTATTCCCTGCAAAATATCCACTCAATCTACACTATGAAAGAAAGCTACAAGACTTTATTTCTTAGATCAATGGCTGATGTATTCATTTCAGTTTCTAATTAAATTTACAATTACAAACAATTAACAAGAGAAAGTACTGCACTTGAATATGTTTTAATAATGTTGAAAGCATGACATTGTGGTTACATTTTCTCCTATATAGCTAGCCAACTAACATAGAACAGTGACCAACATTAATCATATAAAGGTAGTAATCACAACACTGGACAATTACATCTATGATAATGTCTTCAATGAATATCCAGTATTTTATTACCGATATTCAGAGATGATCTTTACTAACAATAACTACAGTAACAGAAGAGGCAAGAGGAAAAAGATTAAAACTTTGCAAAATATCAACCACAAACAAGGGATTATGGAATGGTAAATTTTGAAAATTATTTTTCTATTTAATATCCATATGTCTTTGAGAGTAAGTATGGTGCCTTTTTCAACAAGTGATAAATACTTTCCCGAACAACCTGAGCAATAAAAAATCTTTGTCAATAAAACACAATACACAGCACACTATCTCTATAATTACTTTATTCATTTTAATTTACTGATATAAATATCAACCACAATGGATAATCCCTTGCAAATGGTCTCAAATTAAAAACTGAAAATGGACAAACTGTAGCTATCTTCAAGTGCAAAAAAAAATATATATCCAGGGCAAAATAATCATAAGTTAAGGTTCTACAGTCAATTATACTTTAAGGTGAGCCAACTACAAGTACATCAAAGATAAGAAACATCACTTTTTAAAATAACATTTCTCATACAAGGTAAATATTACAGTAATTATGTCAAAATTGTCATTCCATGTCCACGAAGGTTTAAATAATTACCATGAAGGAAAATGTATCCATTTATAAGACAAAATGTAATTAAGAATCAAAATTACACAAGAGTTGAGAAGTAATAATAATCACATTGGAATTATTGTGTCTTGAATCATGGAACTTCTACATTTGTTCTCCCCAATTCCCCGATGTCAATGAAAGACATCCAAGTTGGTCCTCCAGAGTTTCAACTTTACAAATATATCGTGCTGTGTTAATAATAAAGTGGTTCATCTTTATAGCTCCAACTGATCAGTTAAGTTTTTTTTTTCTCTGGCTTTTAACTCAACACTAATCCTTGCCTCTTGTCAACCAATAACTGATTGACAGTAAGTAAATAAGGAGACAGCTATTAGCACTGATGTTATTAAGCCAGGACACGATACACCTTGGATTTCCACCCTGGTAGCAGGCTTTAGTCCTCTATAATTATGACAAATATAACACTTGTGAGCTTCAGACATATAACGTATAAAACTTCAGTCCTTGGCTCTATCACTGGCCATAACATGAGCGCATTACTCTCGACAAAAACCACCAAAAGATACGAAAACAATACATTGATATAAAACAATAGTGTAGGGTACAAGAAGATATAAGTGTAATGTACATTCTACATACATACATAACATACATACAACAGCATAAGTGGTTAGAGCATGCCACATTTGCAATGGGATGAATTGGTTTCATTACAGCCAGAGTTAGAGACAAGAACCCACCCTCCTGGGTCCAATCATAACATATAGCAGTTTAATAAGAAAATTACAAATTTTTCAATATTTTTTCGGTGTTCTAAGTACAGACATTTTTTACGACCCATCTTCCCCTTCACAATCTTGTAGTTGTTCTTTACTTGAAGGTTGGTCATCTCCTAAAATATTTAATACAAGATATTAAAACATGCGTGACAAAATCTGTGCTCATAATGCAAGTGTAACCCAGGGGTCGAAATAATGCTCGTCTATTTGTCGAATCCAAGTAACATTTTCAATGGACAAGTACAAAAAAAATCTACTTGTCGCCGGCGACAACTGGAATATCTATAAAAATTCAGGCTAAAATAGTAAAAATGTATGTCTGTTTTATCCATTCAAATAAAATTGGAAGAGGGGAACTTTTCATTTTAACACAAATTAGATGTTATTTAACAGCACGCAACAAGCTGTCTGTTTGTCTCCATAGTAGTTTGGTGGCGAATTTCTCCCCGATTAACAAGATTGAAACTTATATGGTCCTTTTAAGCTTGCTCCATACGTCCGGGAAAGGTTTCTTTGCATTAAAATAGTAACACAACCGAGTCTGTGAAAGCAGTAATGCCTTTGACTATTCCCTTTTTAATCACCCAATTACAGTCAATATTACATAACTCCATGGCAATCATGGCTCAGCTGTAGGTCCTCAAATTGGTGATTTACGATATTAAAATGGAAGTTGTGATTAAAATTTAATTTTGTTGATAATGTTTTGGGATACATGGCGGTAAAAATCTTAAAATTCTAATCGTATACATGTATATATGTCCTTGCTTGACCATTAATTACCTTGAAATTTTGAATGCCAATCAGAACCACCCAGCGAACAGGCGGCATACATGTGCTAAAGTGAACGCGGAGTCTGATTGTAAGCATCTCTTACAAATGAAATTGAAATACAAGTTTATTTATTATTATTTTTTTTTTTTTTTATTAAAAACGAAAATCAGTGGTGACAACTTGAAATGACCAAGTGAAAAGTAAAAAATATTTCTACTTGTCACCTGAGACATTTCAACCCCTGGTGTAACCACTTAAAACTTTGATCAGAAAAAGGAATTCACCCACCAAGGTGAATGTACCCAAGCCAAGCTAGACTGAAACAAAGCTTATTCTGTTAACTGAACTGAATTGTGCATTCTTCTGAAGTCACTACAGTAATCATTTCATTTGAAAAATTTGAGCCATTGGCTGGTGAAAACTGCATTTCCGCAGGTTCAACATTAGAATACTGATGAAGTCTCAACAGACCAACTAAATCACATGCTGACAATGATTTGTCCCATTCTGGACAGATAAAAATAAGACTTCTGAATAAAATCCCCGAAACCCATAAATTACACATTTCTGCACACAGTATTTGTATTCTTTAAATTTATCCAACACAATATTTACCTTCTCCCTGCATGTCTGATGTCCATAGTGTCAGGTTATCTCGCAGTAACTGCATTATCAATGTGGAATCTTTATAACTATCTTCACTTAAAGTATCCAATTCTGCTATAGCGTCATCAAACGCTGCTTTTGCTAGCCTACATGCTCTATCAGGTGAATTTAAAATCTCGTAATAAAATACTGAGAAGTTAAGTGCTAAACCAAGTCGAATTGGGTGTGTTGGAGGCAATTCATCTGCAGCAGTATCGCTGGCAGCTTTGTAAGCCACTAAACTATTTTCTGCTGCAGTTTTTCTGTCATTACCAGTGGCAAATTCAGCTAAGTACCTATGATAGTCTCCTTTCCTGAAATATCAATAAAACTGATTTAATTGTTGAATTCATAGGACTGTCCATGGTCAATTTTAAAATGGCTGGAAATCTTTTGTTTAAACGTGTTACCAGCAGTAGTGCTCCTATGATTAGGACTTTTTGTTTTTCGAATAACCATAGCTATTAACCGGTTAGTAACCATTTTTTAGTATCAATTTTCAACATAAAACAGACCTAGTCAGGGGGTGCGAGTCATTACTCGCGCGCATGATACACTCGCCTAAAAGGCATTACTTTTCATAGAAATTTACAATTCTTTATTGAAAAATTAAAACTATCTAAGGCCATAGTTATTTGATAATCTGGTTAACTTGGTTCATTTTTTAACAGTCGACATTACATTCTAAGACTTCCAACCATCAAATACAAAAGGGCAACGGGAAAACTTTTGTTTTAAAGAGGAATATAATGGGACATACAGCTAACTATGTAATACTAGTGGATATCTCTGAATAACTCTAGTTCAATTTGAACCTTTAACCCCATCCAATTCAAACAGTTTAATTCTAACCGTTTAACCGTTTACGATTATCCAACTAGCCGTAGGAGCACTACTTGCTGGAATGTGAACAAAATTTGAGACAACCTGTACAGTCATCATGGATTCACCTTTTTTTTTTTAATTCAGAGAGAGAGAAATGGGGTTTAACCTCAACTCGACACAAGCCAGGTCATTTCTGGACTAACACATGGTTCAATTTTATTTCAATAATTTGATTGCGCATAGGGTTTTTTAGCAGTGCGAGGATAACAGAGGACCTGGAGAAAACCCACGAGGTTGGACAGGCGATCCTACTCTATGTCACATACAACTAGGGAATCGAAACCACACCAATTGACTCAATGACAGACCGTATGATACAGCGCACACGTGTTAACCATTCGGACATCCAACCCCCATTTAGAGTTTACATAATTTTACTGACTCCCAATATAGGCTATATATATATATATATATACAGCTACTACTTGATAACTGATGAAGTTCTTTAAAAATCAACTACATGTCTGTTAGAGTGTTTTTGTAACACCTGAAGATGTACGGTACACAGCTGTACGATTTTCATGTGGTACACTTTGAGCTAATCTAGCCTAGTTGGGGTGCATGGCATTTTGGGCGTGGAATACCACACCCACCACTGGAAACCTGGCAGACTTACATTCTGATGATACCAGATATACATGCATTGATAACATATAGGAAAAAAGTGGTACACTTTTCAGCTAGGTTGGCCCCCGGTCTATAACTCTCTTACGTCCGGAAAAGTGAACTAGTGAATGCCCAGGGCTATCTGGCTCTAGGACTTGATCGAGTTTTCTTTTTTGTAACCTGCGGTATCCAGGAACAACAGCACCTCCGATCAACGATTTAGCAAGACGCATTCAATAATCCAAGTGTCTCATCTCTTTTTCCAACAGGAAAAAAAATATGTACCGCCACCATTTCTTCCCAGTCCTACCAAAGCAATAATATTTACGCAACTGATCGCCCAAATCTACTCCACCCATAGCACGATTGTATTTGATGACTGACAACGGTTTCTTTACGGTTTCCTGGTTGCCGCCTTTTGTGGTTCTAGTAATTTTGTCCATGCCTGGATTAGAATTGGTTGATAACACATGGACAGTTTACTTGTCCTGCCATGCAGTGGCAACAAAATTTCCACTCTGCATAACTTTCGTTTCACCCTTTCTAAGTTTTGTTGTCAAGTTTGACATTGGGTAATTTTTTCTGTTTGAGCGAATAAAGCCCGGTCTCCCCTACCCCAATACATTTTTAGGTTTGGAAGAACTATGATTCCCATCAACATTGTGGTGCCAACAAATGTCTTCATTTCTGAAACACTTGTAGCATTCCACTTGTCATTGTGTCCCTTTTGATTGGCATACAAATTTGTTTCTCCGACAAGTTTTTCCCAAAACTCAGGCCTAACTTGTCCAAACAAATAAGACAACGGTGATGTCAAGTCCTCTCCTTAGATTTCTGGCAAGTTTGTGGGTACAAAATGTCCTTCAAATTCTTGAACAATGACATTGTTAGTGTTTTCTGTCCAATCAAGATCGCCGACATCGGTTATATTGTCCATAAAATCTGTTTCACTGTCCTCCAACAAAAGTGTCTCACACTCAACGTCCGATTCATCGGCTAATTCCTCCGCACAAGATCTAAATTTTGATCTTAAACTAGTTGTAGCTTGATGGATAGCTTCAGCATCGAATCCCTCAAATGATTCACTGTCGGAATCCATCTTTCAATTTTTATTCCGTAAATTGCGATTTTCTCTAAATAATTTGTTGAAGAAAAGTTTTTTACGTCACCATTTTGAATAATAAATTATTTACATCCGGTACGCGCCGAACCTCGTTCTCGTAGCGAGATTTAACCAATGGAAATTCCCCAAAGTTTGAAGGCAGCGAACGGGCACATTCGGGCGGTCCCATAAAGAGAGGGTTAATGGTACAGGTTAACCTCTGAAGCCAGAACAGTAAAGAGGTACATTGTACCTTAACACATTTACTTACATTTTATAATAAAAAACTTTAGATTCTCCTGTTTCAGCATTCGTTATTAAATGCTTTTCAAGTACTAATAAAACTTCATTACAAATACCCTTCAATTCATTTTCAATCTGAAACAGAGAAATTTTAATTGAAGACAAATCAATGAATGAACAGTTGGTAAAAACATAACCCACTTGACACTGACAGCCACAAGCTCAAGCTTTGTTGAAATTGTTTGCCACAATTCATTTTTTTTTCAAAGGTTAATTTTCTGTAAATTTTTTTCACCTGACAATTTGCCACATAGAAATAAAATTGTCATATATACATGTACTTTCTATAAATTCTACCCTTTCCTCACATTATTTTATTTGTCATTCAAAACATAAATAATTTTTTTTTTTTCAAACAATATGGGGAGCGATAACAGATTTTGTCAAAATTTTTCCAATACTATCCATCAGCTTACGAAAGGTAACTTTGATGTTGTTTTTACTATATGTAGGCATGATTTTGTGTCTTCCTCAAAATAACAGAAAAAAAAATAGTCATGCCGAATGCGGCTTAATTAGGGTAGTCCAGGGGAATGTCCTCTCCCCTCTTTTTTTTGGTACAATTTCAACTTGCAATGGTACATTTTTCGGTCAAAATTGGCATAGCAATATACTCAAGTGGTACATCAAATGCCAGTCAACTCAAAGAAAAGAGCAACAAAACAAAAAACTTCCACCCCTTCTTTTGTATTTAATTTCCTTACAACAAACATTGCAGTCGTCTTTTCCTGGATGACAATTTCCTAATGAAAAGGTCCACCGCTTTCACGCCTAACTCCCTAACCAACTCATTTCCATGGATTTTTTATGTTGTCAATGCTCTTAAAGATACATTATGGGAGATTTTTATAATGAGTTAGCCATTCTTGCTATAACAGTTCAAAAATAGATGCTGAAAGATGAATATATTGAAAATTTCAGTCAAATTACTTTATTCTGAACATAGTTATCACCAGTGTAATTTTTGACTTGAAATGGGATTGAATTCCATCTTCACCGATCGTTTGATTGACAGGCGTTAACTCCACCTACATAATCCCTGCTGTCTTTTGTCTGCTGTCATCATATCTGAATTTGTGTTTTACCTTTTTGGATTTTTATAACAATTGGACAAAATGAGTGAGAGAGGGTAAATTTTCATTCTTACTTGTATTTAGGGAATGCTTTAAATCAATTGAATATAGGACATAATATTATAATACAATTATGATAAATCTATAGGTGTCGTGCCTATTGGGGAAATAAAAATATTTTTATCGATATTATTAAGACAGAAGACCTGTCCGTCTGTATTAGTCATCACACTGTCTCCAGGAATTGTATAATTTGTCATTATCTGTGTTTAGTTTATTGCACTTTGAATTGTTTAGATGTCATGTGTTAAGGCATCGCTCAACAGCGGCATCGCCTCGTACACTATATCATTTAGCCTCGATCCGGGAGTATGACGTCAATGTAACGGTTAATCTCCGCTCACGACGCCATTTAAAATTAAATCAGTCAACGAAATCCTGTTTAAATCCAAGCTGAATCCAAGCCATCCGTGGGTCTACAGAGTTGATTTCTGCTTGTTGTGTAAATACATGTAAAGATCTAATTTATAATTTCTATGACATCTAAAGCCTAAATAAAGACTTGCAATAATCAGATTTAGCTCTTGAATAATGTATGTTTAATATCTCAAATTATATTTTATTTTGTCACCATTTTATTTCACAGCCGAGAAGTGGAACATTTGTCCCATGGTAGGCCTATTTATTCGTAGATCAATTCGTATTACATGTATTCCAAAAGTTTCAAATTTAATTTTAATATTTCCAGGTGGCTTAGACGGCAGGATTATAAGATTTGATATTAGTTTAATAATAAAATCGTAGAGAAAATGTCAATATCCAGTTACTAACACATGTGATGTGATTATTGTTAATACTACAAATCGACTCACACAGACCCGAGCGACAGAAAAACCACTCTACAGAACTATTTCTCTCAAATTATGATTTCTTGGAATTTCATTGGACTATTATTACTGTAGGTCATGTAGGTCTGATTGTTTAATTATACAGGACGATAACAACAGAAAAGAGACTTAATAATGAAGTAAACTGTGTTTACATTAACATCGGGTTCAAATGGAGAAAACCCACGAGGTTGGACAGACGACCCTACTCCTTGTCACGTAGAACCGGGGATTCGAAACCACGCCAGTTGACTCAATGACAGGCTTTATGATACAGCACGCATGTGCTAACCATTCGACCATCCAACCCCCCTGTTTGATGGATAAACAGATATCATCAGTTGATCGAAATTAGGATTTATCTACTACAGCCAAAATAAGCTTATACGACACCATGACATTTCTTCATATTTAAAACACTAATGTTTTTGTCTATCACGTAACTTACAAAGTTTTTATTCATTCGTGGATGAAAGACAAGCGACACAATAACCATGCGACTCCAATAATTGAAATTGCTTTATATAAAATTATGTACAACTATGTCATGGCCTTAAATAAAAAGGGCAATATTTTTAAGAATAAGTCCCTGTTAGCATGTATATAAATAAAAATAAATAAAACTAAAACAAGATTTAAAACTAAATTTAGCAATGCTGGTTTATTAACCTAATTCCAAACAATGCATGTCACGTGCTATCGGGAATCTGAAAGCATTGAAGATCTTGACGGGAAAATATATTACTAATATCTGTTTCTCAGGATATCCGGTGTTCTATCAGGGATTATTCAATGAATATTTAAATTTAAATAACAACGGGTCAGTGAAATGCATTATCCAATTATTATTTTCATATCTACCTAGAATTCGTTTGGATCGAGAGTCGAAGCGAAGCACGAGATTCACAATCCATGCGGAGCAAGATGTCTTCCTTCACCACGTGGTTTATTATTACAATGGAAAGTTACTGGACCTGTTATGAATCAGCAAGCATTTTTTTTTTTGCCGAATTATCAAAATTACCGTTAAATGTGCTAATTACTCGGATTATGAACCGGATGGCCGATTCTCACTAAGGTATGACTGTTATTGTAGCCGACAAGCAAGTTGATTGTCGATATGATATTGACAGTATTTTTCGTTACCAGATTATTTTTCCTGATTATTTTCTTTGAGGGTTGTCAAATTAGACATTGAGGAGAGCTATAAAAATCGCACCTTGACTGACATCCAGGCGCGTCCAGGAGAGCGAGAGCCCTCCTTTTACGTGAAGGCCTGCTAATGTTCAACACACCATCAATTTATACTTACCAATATTCTGTATTCTTTGATCATAGCAGTTTTTTCTTCTGTTGACTTTCCATCTTCTTTCTGTTCCATACTACTAATTATTCTCCATGATGCTCTTCGAGCTCCTATCACATTTTTATAAGCTACTGACAACAAATTTCTTTCTTCTACTGATAAATCTACATCCATTTCAGCTACTTTTTTCATAGCCTGTACCATTTCTACAACAAATCAAATTTATTTATCTATTACTAAATGCTGGGGTTTTTTTTTGTAATTATTTTTTTTTTCTTACATTTCATCAAGCTTAATGACCTTTTGTATTTTACTATGCATCAGTAATTTTATGCAAGTGTCATAAACTTACATACAGGTGCAAGGGAGTGAAAAGCCTTTAGAACACATCTCTGGATAAAAAAAAGGGCATCTTCAGAAACCAATCAAGGTTTTTTTTCCTTTCAGTCTTGAAACCCTTTAGGACATTTTTTCATTATCATCAATAAGCTTACATTCTAACAAAAACTTTGGTTGGCTGGAGTAGTAGGGCCGCATTTATATAACATACAAACCAGTACTATCTCAATTTTCTACCTGGTATTAAGATTCCCATAATATGAAAAGGGGCCTGTCTGACAACTGTTTCCATTTGAATATGAACATGGATAATTGAATAAGAATTTTATGTGCACTGGTATCCTGCAAATATATACACCTGCTGGGCTTGAAGATAATATAATGGTGGACAAAAATCAATAACTGGCTGACTTTAAGTCTTGCTCATAAATATTAGGTCAAGAAAAAAGGACCAGAATGCATCTTTAAATTTGGAGACCACAGTCCAAAAATACCAAGAATTGACCAGGAACAGTTTGTTATTTCATTCCCCATTTTAAACTGGTAAATATACTGTGTAATATCCTTAGAATGAATGAATGCATGGAATGTCATGGCCACTGGGCTTACTACTGCCTCATTTTCAATTTACAACTCAATTGACTATCATCAAGAATCACTATGTAGTTCTTTTCTAAACTGTCAAATTCAGTGAGAAATTTCTATTTCCGGTGTATGTATTAAATGTGCCAGACAATAACGGGCAAAAGTAACGTTTTACGGTTATGAATCATGAAATGAAAATGTGTCCGTAGCAAAATGCTAAGTGGGTTGGGCACGAAGGCAGAAAATGTTACTTCCGATATGTGACAGTATAAAACTGCAGAGGGAAATTCACTCAAAATAAAGCGGAGTTAGGCCTCCCAATAGTTACGACAATGTCTAAATGTTGTGTCAAATCCAATATGACAGGAAATCCAGTTCCTGCACATAAAAAGGGGAATAAACGGGACAGTAAATTGAGTCGATGATCACAGTGAGTCACGACAAACATGGCGTCCGTTTTGAACATAACCATGGACACTGACAGTAGGCCTACAATAAACATTATTCTTGAAGCGATGGAATAGATGTAAATAATAAAGGAATTTTAGTGGCGATGGTTACACTTGACTTTGAAAGCGTTAGCAATATCAGGATTGTGACACTAGGGGTGGATACGTTCCTCGAGACTATTCTTCTGGAATAATATTTCATATTTGCTTGCATGCTAACCGGTCTTGACAAACCGGAGTTGAGTACTTGCATGTATTCCATATCATATTGTAGAGTACATACCATCATATCTTTCTGCTTGTTCCGCCAATTTGGCTTGGTAAACACGATCCTCCCTTTCAGCCATTATGGTCGTGACAGATGGCTAAAATTTAGTGTAGATTGCACAGGATTTAGATACTACAAACCCAGTTGACGACCAATATGGCTGCACCCGCCAATGTTAAAAATAGTTCCAGACAGTTCAGGTGAATGTATTCATGCGCCAAAGTAACAGGTCTCAGCAAGCCTGACAATTAATCGCATATGTATGCCGATTAATTGTTTTTCGCGCGTCGATCGCTTCTAACAAATATTTAGTGTGGATTAAGTCCTTGTTTCTAAACAATGTGATTAACAACTTATGTATTACACGTGTATTAATAATACACAATGGCGACACTAGGATTACTCTTCTAACTTAAAATAGTAGTTATACTTTAGTTTAGCTCTGCGGTTAGGTAATTTTGCCTAATATATTTTTTGTCCCCCGCCTTTCAAAGAAAACAGAGGACTATTAAAATGGGTTCGTCCGTCTGTTCGTCCGTCGGTCCGTCCGTCCGTCTGTCTGTCCGTCACACTTTTTGGGACATAACTCTCCTAATTGACCTAGAATGTTCAAACTTGGTATAGGTGTTTATTAGGTCAATGCCCTGACGGTTGATGCTTATGGACACGGTAACTTTAGTTCTAATTAAGTGAGAGTGATGAAACCTGGTGTATAGTTTCATTGCATCAATGCCTTGACTAAGTTCGATATTGAGCATTTTCTGCTCAGGGTAAGCAGAGCGATAAGCAATTTGATTGGCCGAGACTTTGGAACACAATATGCCTAACCCTCCTTCTAATTGAGCTAGAATGTTCAAGCATTTTCTGCTCAGGGTAAGCAGAGCGATAAGCAATTTGATTGGCCGAGACTTTGGAACACAATATGCCTAACCCTCCTTCTAATTGAGCTAGAATGTTCAATGTTCAACACAATATGCCTAACCCTCCTTCTAATTGAGCTAGAATGTTCAAACTTGGTGTAGGTGTTTATGAGGCCAGTGCCTTGATAGAGTGCGAAGATGAGCATTTTCTGCTTATGGTAAGTAGAGATAGGCAATTTGATTGGTTGATGCTTATGGACACGATAACTTTAGTTCTAATTAAGTGAGAGTGACGAAACTTGGTGTATAGTTTCATTACATCAAAACAATTGACTAAGTTCGATGATGAGAATTGTCTGCTTAGGCTAAGGAGCAATAAGCATTTTGATTGGTCAAGACATTCGAACGTAACAACTCTGCTTCTAATTGAGGTAGAATGTTTAAACTTGATGTAGATGTTCGTCTTGACTGAGTTCAATGATTAACATATCGAGCTAAAGCTAAGCAGAGATAAGCAATTTCCTTGGTCGATGCTCTGGGACAAGATAACTTTGATTCTATATGATAGAGAGTGATGAAACTTAGTTGTATAGTTGATAATCAGTTTGATTGCTCGATACTTTTGAGAAAAATAGATGTGCGATTAATTAATATGTGTCACTGTCATCTATTTATTTGGAGATTTCAGAGGGGGACATCAGCCTCACTGTTGGCTTGTTTTCTTTGTGAACTCTCTTTCTGGAAAGATATTTTACAATAAACGAAAGAAAAAAAAGAGAGAGAAGAAAAGTGGCCTATTGTTAAGAATCTATAGATGAAGGCTATACATATACACACTAGCCTATTTTCCTAATTTCTGAAATAAATTATACTAGCACACCACAAAGTGACTGACCCCGTTTTCCAATTGTAAGATAGTCTGTGGTTGCAATAAAAAAATAGAGAATTTTGAAATAAAGCCAGAGCTTGGAATTTCAACTTAGATCTTATAATTTCAGTTTTTTAACCTGGAATTTCAAACTTTCAATTTAGTAATTTGATCATAGGCCTATTTATTGTTGTTGATCAGTCCGTCCGTTTGCTATCTAACATTGCTTCTGAACACTCTAGGGCAGTGATTCTCAACCTTTTTTTTGCCAACGGCACACCTTGGAACACATGAAAAAATAGCGGCACACTTGGCTAAATAATATATATGAAAAATATTTGAACATTGCAAAATAAAAACATGGTAAGTCAAACGGAATACAACCATAGACAGAGACTAGTCAGAGACACATAGAATGACCGAAACTAAATAAAGAAAAACACAGCTATGAACTTATTAGTAGACACCCGTGAATACTCATTTGGGATCACCAGGGTTTTTTTTTACATTTTCTTGGTGTGCCGTTCAAATTTCGCGGGACACTTAGGAAGATCTCCAGGCACACCTGTGTTCCGCTGCACACTGGTTGAGAATCACTTTTCTAGGGTCACATAGGCCTAATATCCAAATTGAGAGATAAACATATTTCATTCAAAGAATTCCTTACAATTAGTGCAAGATTCATGAAGACTCTAACGACAAACGTAGGCCCCAATATCCGATTATCCGATCTATTAGAAATAATATATTGGATATCTACTGTCAAACATTCCTTCTTAACTTAGGCTCACTTTAATTTAATTTAGAGGGATGGTGGTGGGCGGAGAAATAAAATGCCCAAAACAGAAAATTTTGATATGTAGATGGCCACAAACACGTTTTCCTGTCATTCCCGAAAGATAGATGAAACAAATGCAGTCAATATTGCAATACCTCTATGAAACAGTTTGCAACGATAACCGAAAAAAATGCCTCTAGTGACTACATTTTAGAGTGGCGCTGGACACATTTAAAAATTTTAACCATTAGACTGTTAACGAAATTTCGAATTCACGAAAAACATGATGAAACAAAGAATGATCGATGCCCGAAAACTGTCGCACAATGCAGAGTGACCCGAGGCCAAAAAGTCATCGGACTCTGAACATTTTATTTTTCGGAATAGAAGGTATAGACTTACATGTAAAAAGTTGTTTTTTTTCTCCAAAACAATATTATATTACATTTTTTTTAAAACTTTACCCGTCGTGAAATAAAGTAAAACTGAGTTATTTCGGAATCCGACTCTCCTATAAGTGTTTCTGAAACAACTCCCGTTTTCGTCCCATCCGATCAATCAGACCGACCATTGACGCTCCCACCCTTTCTCATTAAAAAGACGTTTAAAATGAACGAAAACACTGTCAGTCCTCTGGTGTTGCAATATTAATGATTTAGGGTCATTCCTTCAAAGCAAACAAAAGTACATGTATAACTTCTTGTAAAACAGGCAGTTTTTTTTATCCCGATCTTTGATCAATGCAGTATGTATACACAATTCGTATTTGAATTGTTTATTATATTTCACTTTCTTCACAATCATATTTATATATTTTTGTACCTAGTCATTTATTAATAAGATATATTAAAGAGGCATTATGTAAGATTTAGATAAAGGGCTGGCCGTTCTCGCAACAATATTTCAAAAATAGATAATGCAAAATGAACATATTTAAAATTTCATTCATTCGGAGCCATCTTATAGCACTGTTAATAAATGTCTAATTAATAATTTATATAACATTTAAGGATCCAAAGAAAACCCTGCAGTAGGCAGATTTAGCTCATATGTCATATGTTTAATAAATGGTCATTTTCAATTCATTCTGTTGTGTAATAATAATAATATGTGCTTTGATCAAACTAAGCAAGAACTATATTTTCCCATTATATAGGCATTACTTGGTTTCATTTCATATTATGGTTATTGTATAATAGTTAAACTATAATACAATTATCGGTACTCTTAAAAATTGTGAAATTATCTAATTAATTAATTTTGGTTGTTTTGACGGTAACATAACCACGAAAAATTAATTTTAGGATAAGAACATCAACTGTTCATCATCAAGTTTTCTCTTTGGATCATTTATCCCAAACAAAGCCTGTATACTAACAAGACGCCGGTCAGTCTGTCTTGTTTATATTCTTAGGATTTTTTAAAAATATATATATGTATATATCGAAATGGTATAACAATGAGGATTTAATTACGGCACTTCATTAATATAATAGTGTAGGAACGGTCACCGATATGTTAGTACACAAAACTGGTTAATTGTGTGTGAAGATGCCCAGTCCTGTATAACTATATCTGATCCTCTGAGATATACTTTTTTGAAGAAATACAAACGTCCATCATGTAAGCTCTATATATAAGAGATTGGGGCTGGTAGATAACAATCTGAGGCCCCCTGTACAAGTTGGAATGGACGTAAAAGAAATCTTGGTAGTCGGAATTCGAAATCGAGTAGGGCACACTTAGCGCCGTTAACCGGGCAATGTTCTCTCAGTCCGTCTTCATTATAAATCCCGCTTGGTTACTTTCGTTTCTCATACATCTGACGATTAGACACGGTAGAACCATTTCATCAACGAATACCCTGAGAAATCTGGGACCAATACTTTTATGTATATACCACGAAGATCTTCGAGATCTTGGACGGTCACCAAAATGTAATTTTAGACCATATTATGCCAAATTAGAGGTAAATCTGACGGACATCTTTTGGGGGAAATATTTTTTGAGATGGCAAGGAATAGAATTCCCCTTGACCTTCGAAAATCTATCCCCCCCCCCCCAAAAGACAGACAAAGTTTTGTTTTTAAAGCCAAGGAAATAAATTATAAATATGGAAGGCGTGACAGGTCTAACTTCATGTTCACAGCACAATAACATAATGTGCAAAGGAAATGAAATGAAATGAAATGGGGTTTTACGTCCTACTGTTCTGCTCCTTACCTGGGCTAATGAAGACGGGCATACGCCATACAGTGTGCTATGAGGGAAATTTTGCCCGGGCAGCGGCACTACGGCCTACTCTTATATCGAATTCCAACTGCCAAGGGATCTTTTACGTGCACGCCAATGTGTACACGGGACCTCGGTTTTTCATCCCATCCGAACGACTAGACAGCTTTCCTTGTCAGCCCCTCCGTCCAATGTGCAAAGGGAAATTACTACACTTAGTCCTAATTTCAAGCAAGACCTGTGTGCAGACCACGATTTAGACATCTATTTTAAAGATGTAAGAAAGAGTACTTATAGAAGGCTGTCCCCTAACCCCACCAGAGTTACACTCGCGTATGTTTTAATAGAGGTGCATACTGTGTAAGTGTTTAAAATAAGTGTGCAGTGTTCTCAAAATGTGCGGCGTGATTCTCATCGTTTGTGTAGTAATGAGTAGGACGTTAAACCCCATTTCATTTGTGTAGTAATGTGATAACATTGTTATAGTCCTCATTTGTGCAGTAATCAGTTGACACTTGGTTATAGTCCCACGTTTGTGCAGTAAAATGAGATGACACTAGGTAAAAGTGTATACCTTCTTCTTGAAATATTTGTTCCTTTATTTAAAGAAAAAAATTCAAATGATAATCCCTCACTGTACTATATAATTGGAAGATGTACATATTTAAGGCATACGTGATAAAAGGAGCCATTAATCATAATCACATTTTTATCTGTGATAATCATAATATACTTTCCTAGTTGTATTCTTCTGAGCAAGTCTGACCAAATATTAGATGCAAAAATTATTGCATATTAATTGATTTTTCTTATTTTATATCTTGGTCAGTGGTGTATAGTAAAATGTTCGATCAACATAATTATACCTTAGTGTTACATGTGCTTTGTTAAACAGCCCCCCCCCCCCCCACCCCGACATTCACAAACTAATGTGTCTTGGGTCCTAACGATCTCAGGACATGTCTATTGGACAATAACACCCCTCTAAATGCGAAACAGGAAGTGTTTATCTCCTAAACAAACTGGAACCACTGTTCATCTTTCTCACTGATTAACAAACACAAATATAAATCAATAAGGTATTTTAATCAACTTTATATTTCACAGGTACAAACAACCCCTGTTCATAATGTAATAATATATATAATAGATCAATCACATTTTAACAAGCCTGGCCATTCCAAGCCATCAATTTTAACAATAACATGCATATCATGTATCCAAATTCTGCATAATATAAATATATATATATATATATATAGAGAGAGGAGTTTCGTCAGCTCAGCTATAAGTTAAGCCTGGAATCACAGATCACAAAATACAAAGAAGTTGATCCAATACAAACAATAGTCATAACTGATTCCACACAACAATAAAAATGTACTTAATACAGGAGGATGGAATCTAATGACAATACATGATGGTGATTTGTATCATATACGATAGGTTACCAGGCAAAAAAATATAAGCTCACCAATACCTTGTCACAGATGTGTGCCGTGCAGTAGATTTAATGTGAAGCCACAAGCCAGTTGATAAACATTGCCATATTAGAAACCAACTTTGTTCCGATGGTAATATTGGACACTGTCCTATCCACAGAAAATGCTGAGGAGAATATCAACAGAAAGATGAATGGCAATGTGGTATGCTTTAAAATTGGTGTTTATAATAAAATACATTGTGTACATAATGATATAATTGTAATGTATTTAGGCAATCTACTAATGAATGATACGATTAAAGATACATTATGAAAGATTAGATAAAGAGCTGGCAGTTCTCACTATAATAGTTACGTAAAGGGAATATATTGAAAATTTCAGTCAAACTGCTTCACTCTAAGCCAAGAAAAAATTATTTGAAACTCTTTGTAGCCTTGATTGTCATTGTTAGCAGAGTCTCAATTATCCATTTTTGCATTTAATCATATCAGACGTTGAAAAGCAGATTGGATTCAAATCCATTGAAAATCGAACAGATAAGATGGTATTGAGGGTTGATTATGGTCTTTTCATGTTCATAAATGCCTAATTAATAGTTTATATAACATTTCAGGCCTAAAGAAAGACCTGCAATAGGCAAATTTACCTCTTGCATAATGGATGTTTAAATATAACTTAAGGTCAGTCTTAAAATATTCACATATTGTCTTTTTTTAAATCACAAGCCAACAGTGAGGCTGATGTCCCCCGCCGAAATCCCAAAATAAATAGATGACACATATTAATTAATCACACATTTATTTTTTTCAAAAGTATCGAGCAATCAAACTACACACTAAGTTTCATCACACTCTATCAGATAGAATCAATATTATCTTGTCCCAAAGCATCGACCAATGAAATTGAATAGCTCTGCTTAGCTTTAGCTTGAAAGGTTAATCATTGAAATCAGTCAAGACATTCACCTAATGAACATCTACATCAGGTTTAACCATTCTACCTCAATTAAAAGCAGAGTTTTTATGTCCCAAAGTCTTGACCAATCAAACTGCCTATCGCTCCTTAGCCCAGGCAGAAAATTTGCACAATCAAATTTAGTCAAGGTAATGATATAATGAATCTATATTCAGAGTTTCATCGCTCTCACTTCATTATAACCGAAGTTAACGTGCCCCTAAAGCATCAACCAATCAGATTGCTTATCTCTGCCTACCGTAAGCAGACAATGTTCATCATCGAACTCCATCAGGGATTCACCTAATGAATGCCCACACCAAGTTTGAATATTCTACCTCAATTAGAAGGAGAGTTATTGTGTTCCAAAGTCTCGATCAATCAAATTGCTTATTGCTCTGCTTACCCTCAGCAGAAAATGTTCATTATCAAACTTAGTCAAGGTATTGATGTAATGAAGCTATACACCAAGTGTTCTCACTCTCACTTTATTAGATCTAAAGTTATCGTGTCCCAAAGCATCAACCAATCAAATTGCTTATCGCTCTGTTTACCCTAAGCAGAAAATGCCTATCTTCGAACTCCATCAAGGCATTGACCCAATAAACACATACACCAAGTTTGAACATTCTAGCTCAATTAGAAGGATAGTTATTGTGTTCCAAAATCTTGGCCAATCAAATTGCTTATCGCTCTGCTTACCCTGAGCAGAAAATGCTCATTATCGAACTTAGTCAAGGTATTGATGTAATGAAACTATACACCAAGTTTCATCACTCTCACTTAATTAGAGAGAGACAGAGAGAAAAATGGGTTTTAATGTCCACTCGACACAAACTAGGTCATTTCGGGACTAACATAGGGGTCTTTGGGAGGAAACCGGCGGACTCGGAGAAAACCCACAAGGTTGGAAAGGCGACCCTACTCCTTGTAACATACAACCCAGGATTCGAAACCACGCCAGTTGACTCAATGACAGGCTTTATGATACAGTGCGCACGTGCTAACCATTCAGCCATCCAACCCCCCTCACTTAATTAGAACTAAAGTTATCGTGTCCCAAGGCATCAACCAATCAAATTGCTTATCTCCGCTTACCCTAAGCGGAAAATGCTCATCTTCGAACTCCATCAAGGTATTGACCTAATAAACACCTACACCAAGTTTGAACATTCTAGCTCAATTAGAAAGAGAGTTATTGTGTCCCAAAAGGTGTGACAGACGGACGAACCCATTTTAATAGTCCCCTGCTTTCTTCGAAAGGCGGGGGACAAAAAATGGAAACAAAATACTGAGTTTATTACAATCGATTTTAAGGAATTAAGTGACTGAATGTCAATATTTTATGTTCCAACCAATTCATATACTTGTTTGATAAAATTGATAAATAAATATCCTATGAAAGCAATACACCATAAACAGGAATAATGTATGTTTTGTAGGTAGGCTCTCTATTCTTTTACTCTATGTATTTGTAATTAAATTAAGAATGTAGTTGACTCCTTAAAGCACAACATAAATACAGAGTTGACAAGATGTACCTTCATCACTTAAAACTGCTGATTGTCACTTTCAGGATTCTGAATCCTGTGCAAACAACAATGTAAGTTTGAATCTCTAAAAAGGAATTTGAGTCCAAAAATGGTTCAATTCCGTTCAGTATTTACAAAAACATGATGAAATGAAAACTTTGCAACATTTGTAGACGATATAAACAAGCCAGAGCTTAGGTAAAATATTTTGAGGGCCTCCCTTTAATCTGATTATATCAAGGCCAGGAAAATATTAATAGTTTGATTTCTTCATTAAATGTTAAAAAATCAATTTGAGTACATTTTAGAGTGAAATAAGTCGTGAAAAAAAAGGATATTCTGCCTAAAATCACAAATAGCTTCTTTAAATTCACAATATGGGTCAAGTTAATGTCCTTAAGTTTATAATAAATTGACTAAGTCCCTTCTACTATATTATGGTTGTTTAATTATGTTACATGATATAAAATATACTAAATGATGAAATAAAAAGATTACATACCGCTAATGCATTAACACAGAATGGCAACTTATATTTCAGCAGTTTATTTGGAAAATATGAGTTTTCCATTACGGTTGCATGATGATATATTTTTAAACATGAACCTGCCATGACAGTTTGTAACGATACGTTCTTAAGATAAACTGATTAAACACTGATTATTAATTACAGTAAGTATGAATCCAATTAAACCTGTTGAATGTTCATGAACTATCAAATGAGAGTATAAGTTCAAAAAGCTAAGCATCAATAATCAAATGGAATGCATAATATATATATTAAAAAGTTGTGCTCATTTTTAAAGGGATATACATGTATGATTTCCTACTTTTTTTTAAGTAAGCCATTTTGAAGTTTATACTTCACTAATTTACCAAGTTTTAGTAGAATATGACTTACATGCACTATGCAAATTTCAAAGCACCACTTCTAGTAGTTCTAGTTCAATTTCACTTATTTTCTCACCAGGTAGATAAATGACTTTCAGTCTTGTTAATTTGTAGAAATTACACAGTTAGTGCACATCCAGTAACCAAGGCTTACAAAACACTATAGGATTATTGTCCACCTCTTCTACAGGAAGACAGGTGTAGTCTGATACAAGGGAAATCTCTCTGGACAGCAGAGGTTTGACCTACTCTTCATACAACGCCAAGGGTTCTTTTACGTGCACACCAACGAGTACATGGGACCTTGTTTTTTCGCCCCAACCAAATGACAATATTGGCAAACACATAGATTGGTTAATGAGCCACTAAGTACTGTGGTTCTGCAGCAGTGATGGGATTTCAAAAAAATTATTGTCAGACATTTTTTCCCGAAAATAAAGGGGCATAACTCTTATCGTAATTTAAGCAGACGTTTTCAAAACACAATAAAGAACCACGTGTCAACAAAATATATTCAAATTCATATGTAAAAAAAAATAGGTGCACCTCGTTATATTTCATGTTTAAAACCCGTACGGTATTCAAATTTATGTCAATAATATTCCTACAAAATTACATGACATCAATACTATAGAATGGCAGCGTGCTGACTGCTGCCGATCTGTTTCAAACTCCCCCAAAATTACCGTATTTTTCGGGTCATACGTCGGTACATTTTTCAGCAAAGTCTGACATTCGTCTGATACTACGTTTCGATTTATATACGGAAGGTAAAAAAATGACATCCCAAAATTTATATGGCCGTAAACCGTAGTTAATGACGCTCTAATACAACGAGCGTGTGACACCAACTGCTAAATAATTGCATTCGACTGTAGCACGCGCTATCGTCTAAAACAATTAACTACTTATGTCATTCCAATCGAAATATTCGTCAACATTTCTTAGCGTGTTAATTTATTTATTTATTTATTTAAAGACATAAACCCCATTCAAAATATGATCATAAATCCGACAATATGCCATCAAAATAGAATCTTTTTCCGGACATCAGTCGTATTGGATTCGGCACGTATACACCTCTTGATTTCACGTGTCTCGCGAGATTTGTACTTTCATTTTAATTACTGAACTATAGCGTCATATGCGTGTGTGTGAAATATCTTTATTTAACTTCGACTTCCACCGAAAATATATCACAAACAAGTTATCGGATACAATGTATGTTGATTTGAGGTGTTATATACTATCAGGATATGTGACATATATATATGACTAATTTCTACGTGTTATTGTCCGACACAAAGGAGATTAAAACGTGAGACAATGGACCAATCACGGGTTAATCAGATTAAGTTTATAATCACTCTTATTGGATTGATATATCGTCCGACAAAGGAGAAGCAATGACATTTGTTCAGGATTGATTTGATGAATTGTCCGACAAAGGATTAAGTCAGCCAATCAAAGCAGAATAGTAGTTAATCAAGGTAGGTGTGTAGACGACATAACACGATAAATAATTACCTAAACAATCCAGCCTATTATCAACGATAATCGGGTTGCACGGTAGTTATACACTCAGTACACTATATTAATTTTGGAATTTGAATATTATTCACCATGTCTTGATGTCCGATTGGGCATATTCCCGCTCGGACAATTTTGGGCATTTCGAAAAAAGATTCGGACAAGTCCGGAATATACAGGTAAAATCCCATCACTGTTCTGCAGGCTAACAAAATATAAAATCTGTTCTATATCCAATGGATAATTTACATTAACATCTGTTGTTATAATGGCCATTACTAACAATAAAACTAGCTGTGGGCTTTTATATGATTGTTGCTTTTTGTAAATGAACAATATTAGTGACTAGATATTACATGGAAAAGTCAACCTTTCACTAAACTCTCTATATCAAATTCAGTCCAATCAAACAGACTCAAAGACTCTTAATGCCAAGAATTCTGTCTACAAAATAATAAATGTAAGTCTAAAGATAATTGCACTGGCTTTAAAAGACAGGAAAAATAACTGTATTAATAAAAATAAAATTGATGGCTATGGCTAGTTATCTGTTCATATATGCTAATCCGTTTGTCCACTATTCTGTTTAAATCACTGGTTATGTAACATTTAATCATAGCTACTTCTCTCCTTCATATCATGGAATCGTTTGCGTAGGGTCTCGCGCAACTCTAATCTTTTTCTCATCATTGACGTATGATCTGCTTTAAATTGCTGAATTTCCTCCTCCGAGATACCTTGTCCATCCTCTTCTGCTGTACAACAATCCTGGAGAGAATGAAAAAGTGTAAAAGCTAATAAGGCTTCAGAATTATTTTTAAGAATTATAAATATCAAAAAAAAAACATGAGGAATTTTGATTGTAACACAGGACAGATTGACAGCAAAAATATCCCCCCATCATTGGGCAATAACAAATTAACGATCGATTATCCAGTGCCGTTCGTGATTGTCAATAGTGTTTCCCATGATTACGTACTAGATAGCAGAGACTAGTGTTCAGTTCCTCTTTTCCAGAAACGCTTAATTGAATTACTTCCCTTGATCGAGAGAAATATGAACAAGTGGAAATTAGGCCACACAAAAAAAAATATTCTGGTTACCAGACAATCCTTTTTTAAAACCAGTGGCTGCCAGGCAGGATACACGCACATTTTGCAAGAGATGGATAGAGAATAAGCAAAAAACAAAACGATTTTTTGTACAATCAGCGGCCATAATCCAGAAAGTTATGGTCTGAAATGCGCATATATCAAAAAGGGACTGAGATTTTTGGAATATAAAGATATGTTTTAAGTTTCATCAAAATTGGATAAAAATGTGACCTCTAGAGGTCTATAACTATTGTATTACATACTTATACATAATTTGGGTACAAAGAGCGGCCATTTTGTTGGGCAGTTTCATTTCAATTTTCCCGAAATTCAAATTCAACCTTCATTATGGTGGAATGGTGATATATCTAAACGGTTTTTAACATCGGAAAAAAAAAAATTGTGACCTCTAGAGAATCCACAAGCTAAAAGCGATTCTTCGTACAATCAGGGGCCATAATTCAGGAAGGTACAATCTGATATGCGTGAATATCAAAAGGAACCAAGAACTTTGGGATATAAATATGCATTCCAAGTTTCATCAAAATCGGATAAAATCTGTGACCTGTAGAAGGTCCACAACCTTGATATACCATATTTTTACACTATTTGCATACCAGGGATGGCCATTTTGTTCGACAGTTTTAGTCCCATTTTCACGAAAATCAAAATCAACCATCACTAGGGTGTAACGGTGATATACTAAAATGTTTTTTTTCAAATCAGTTAAAAATTGTGACCTCTAGAGGGACCACAAGTTAAAAACACGATTTTTCGTACAATCAGGGGCCATAATTCAGGAAGTTCTGGGTTATAAATGTGCATTTTCAAGTTTTATCAAAATCAGATCAAAATTGTGACCTCTAGAGTATCCACAAGCTAAAAACGTGATTTTTCGTACAATCAGGGGCCATAATCCATGAAGTTATGGTCCAATACATGCCAATACCGGGCGGAACCAAGATCTTTGGGAGACAGACCTATATTTCAAGTTTTCGTCAAAATTAGATAAAAATTGTGACTTGTAGAGTGTCCACAAACAAATTGTGGACGGACAGGGGCAACAACAATATACATCCACATGAAAATGTGGGCGTATAAAAAATGATGCAGGAGGGTGCATTTTTTCTTTTTTTGCTTCTATTTTGTCAAAATCTAGCTAGAGGTCATCTCTCCATATCTCGGGAAAGATAAGGCATTTTGATGATAAAAAAAGACAGATGACAGCAAAAGTGTCGCCATCTTTGCGAATAATAATTAACATTCGATTATCCAGTGCTATTTGTGATTGTTATCAGTGTTTCCAATGGTTACGTACTTGATAGTCTAGTGTTCATTTCCTGTTATCAATAGAATTACTTCCCTTGATCGCACGAAATAAGAACAAGGGGAAATTATTGATGCGGCAGTATCTGAGAACCAGGATATTTTTGTGTGTGGCCTTATTAACTTTTTTTCTTATTTTTAGTTGTTTTTTTTAAATAAAAACGTATGACTCGCCCCATTTTTGATGACGTGACAGTATCTGAGAACCAGAATATTTTTTTTTGTGTTGCCTAAAGTAGCTTCTTGTTTCTTATACAGCAACTGAATCTTTCTTTCTTTAGACAAATGACTAAACTTAAGATAAAATATTTTCAAGTTGGTTGTTTTTGTCAGCTGTAAATACAACTATTTAATAGTCAATTTTACTCATGACTTACCTCTAGCATGTCTAAAAGAGACGGTTGGCTTCGCGAACATTCTGATGCACAGGATTCATTTGTATGGCACTGTAAAATAAAACAAGTTATTGAGGAAATGAGTCTTCTTTGGGAACTATCTTCTTTATCATGGTGATTTTATACAACCACAAGCAAGCAACGATCTATTGCAGGGTTACCTTCTTGTCACCCAAACATTGTAAACACAGTGCAGGTAATAGGGTTGCTTTTTTTCGTTTCTTTCAAACTGGGTGGGATTGTTTGGTTAAGCACATGGAGGAAACGCTATCTAAATTCAGACCCCCACTTCAATTTTAAGCATACTAATTGTGTTTGACCCTCAAAAATTGAAAGTCACACTTCTAAAAGCTGCTAATTAGCATAGAATCGTTGCCTGGGAATGCTATAATCTACATGAGCAATGTGAGGAAGGGGTATTATGCCCAGACAGCAGTGTTTTCCATTAACCAAGTGCATCATTTTTGTGTCTGAATCAAGTAACAAGACACATTTTGCAGTGTCACTGGCAAGTGGGGACCTTAATTAAGTGTATACACAAAAGAAAGACAAATGCATGTTCCGAGAAGGTAATAGTGAGTGGTTTACCTGATGTGAACTTGTCTGACAAGGTGAGATAGAATTAACAGATAAATCAACGTTATTACAGCTATCTAAACAATCGGTTAAAGATTCCGAACATTCACCAGCTAAAACAGAAAAAGATCATTTAATTAACATTTTCTCTTGAGAATAACATTCCATAAGGCAAGCATTCTCCCAAACAGAGTTGTCTCCTTTTTGCAGTACCAGTCTCTGCTAAAAACTCACTTTACTGTGCACCAAGAACCTTGTTATAACAGACAATGATAAACAACTTGATGAAAATTATATATATATATATATATCTGTTACTGCATAATTAGTAAAACAAGCCAACAGTGAGGCTGATGTCCCCCGCCGAAATCCCGAAATAAATAGATGACACATTTATTTTTTTCAAAAGTATCGAGCAATCAAACTTATTATCAACCATACACTAAGTTTCATCACTCTCTATCAGATAGAATCAAAGTTATCTTGTCCCAAAGCGTAGACCAATGAAATTGCTTAGCTCTGCTTAGCTTTAGCTTGAAATGTTAATCAGTGAACTCAGTCAAGGCATTCACCTAATGAACATCTAAATCAAGTTTAAACATTCTACCTCAATTAAAAGCAGAGTAACGTTATGTTCCAAAGTCCTGGCCAATCAAATTGCTTAAGCAGAAAATTCTTATCATCTAACTTAGTCAAAGTAATGATATAATGAATCTATACTCTGAATTTCATCGCTCTCACTTAATTATAGCCAAAGTTATCGTGCTCCAAAGCATCAACCAACAATCAGACTTGTCATTTACTTTTGAGCAATTTGGCGGCAGTATAAAAACAAATGGCAGAATATTTTCTCACTCGAGAATCGTCGCTATTCGACTCACTTCTTACGTTTTAGACCAATGATGATGATAATATAATTAGAAATAATAATATCCAATTAGGCATGCTTGTATATTTTACATGCTGTATGAAGCCATAGTAAACTAAATTCAACTATCAAAATATTTAATTCTCTTCGAAAAGAATTGTCAACCATTTTGATTATTTCCATTAACAAAACAAAACATCAAAAAATCACTGCTTGGATTAATTATTAAGAGTGAATAATGACTTGAGATAGGCTTTATATATATCATTGGTGATTATCAATCATTAATTAATATCACTCACTGACACGATCGGGATCATCAACTAGTTGATTAATTTATAGTATTCCGCCACATGATTGTGATTGACACTTAATGTATTGGTCAATCTACGATTGCGACTTTGGCAACCGATGATGATAATATGTACATTTATACTGAGTTAATCTTACTATAAAATACAAGTTCTACCTACCTTCATGCGTACACACACCATCTGAGCAAATAATAACAGAGCCATCATGTGAACTCGGCATACTACAATTATCACAGTTATCTACCCCAGAAGAATACCCACAATCACTGAGGCGGTACTGTATCTTCTGGCAAAGATTTTCAGAAATAGTCCTGGAATCCTCACAAGTTTCATGTGTATGTGACAATGATGGCGGATATGAACTAAAGTTTTCCAAAGTACAACGATGATTTTCACAGTGATGAGAATGAGAGGTAACTAGTGGCTTTGTAGGAGACGAAGAAAACTGAAAAAAAAAAAAATCTATTATCAAGAACAAATCAAAGAATCTCAGTACAGGGGATGTAAATCCAGCCATGAAGACTTCCAAAAATACATTTGGGTGTCAATGAAAATTATTGTTTTTGCTGATAAGAGGGAACTATCCACAAAGGCAGCAAAATGTTATTCAGAAAGAAAACACAAGGACATCCATGTTTTATCAGGATCATCTACATGTACATGTAGCATCTATATTTGATTGCCACAATGTTTTGTCATAATCATCTAGTATTGTATCTATTTTTGATTGCCACAATGGTGCTAAAACAGATGCCTAACAATGGTGCTAAAACAGATGCCTAACAGAGTCAAGTGCTGAGGAATTGCATTCCCTGAAATAGTTGGAAAATCACAGACATTTTTACATGTGCTTATTTCAATCAAATAACAAGCCAACAGTAAGGTATTAAGCAATCAAACTGATTATCAACTATACACCAGGTTTCATCACTCTCTATCAGATAAAATCAAAGTTATCTTGTCCCAAAGCATCAACCAATGAATTTGCTTAGTTCTGCTTAGCTTTAACGGGAAATGTTAATCATTGAACTCAGTCAAGACATTCCCCTAATAAACATCTACATCAAGTCTAAACATTCTACCTCAATTAAAAGCAGAGTTGTTATGTTCCAAAGTCTTGACCAAATTGTTTATCGCTCCTCATTATCAAACGTAGTCAAGGTAATGGTATAATGAATCTATACTGGGAGTTTCATCGCTCTCACTTAATTATAACCAAAGTTATCGTACCCCAAAGCATTACCAATCAAATTGCTTATCTCTGCTTACCGTAAGCAGACAATGCTCATTATCGAACTCCATCGAGCAAACAAACTGATTATTTATACTTAGTCAAATCCGAAAATGTTCACGGTCGATGTGAGTCAAGCTTTTGAAGTACCTGATAGTGTCATCAATCTCCATCAATTAGAATAAAATTAATCTTTCCCACAGTATCGACCAATGCAATTGCTTAGCTCTGCTTAACTTTATCGGAAAGTATTAATCATTGAACTCAGTCAAGACATTCACCTAATGAACATCCGCACCAAGTTTAAACACCCTTATTCAATTAGAAGTAATCGTGTTACAAAGTCTCAACCAATCAAATTGCTTATCTCTGCTTAGCCTTAGTGGCAAATGAGCAAGACCGAACACTGTGATGGTATTCACCTAATAGACATCTTCCCCAAGTTTGAACATTATAGTCAGTTATACAAGTGATTGTTACCACTAGTCAGCAGCATCTCAATACACTACAGTTATGCAGGGGATTGTTACTAGTCAGCAGTGTCACAATACACTACAGTTAGTTATACAGGGGATTGTTACTAGTCAGCAGTGTCACAATACACTACAGTTATACAGGTGATTGTGACTACTAGTCAGCAGTGTCTGAATACAATACACTCCTTGTCACGTACAACCGAGGAATCGAAACCCTGCCAGTTGACTCAATGACAGACCGTATGATACAGCGCGCACATGCTAACCATTCGGCCATCCAACCCTCCAAGTGACAAGAGAAGCTAAATGCCATATTACTATCGGACAAGAATGGTGTATTTACCTGACAATGAATATTATCATCAATTCTTCTATTTTCTTTCTCTACCACATTATGTGTTTTGCCTTTCTTCTTCTTCCTCTTTTGTCGTTTCTGTAATTTCTTTTCTTCTTTTGCCCTCGCTTCCTCTAAAAATTCTTCACAAACTAGCTCTAAATTAGACACCCCTTGTTTACATTCTAATGCCACCTAAAAATAGCAATATAAATCTACGGTGATTTTAGACAAAATTATTTCAATAATAACAGAAAAGGCCCAAGCAAAATCTGACCTCATATATAATGTACAAGAAATGCATTGACCAAATATACAACTACAAGACATAATTACTAATATGTTGATTTAATTATGCAGTTTGAAATTGTTCGAAGAATATACCTCAAAACTTTTTTGTAAACATTGCACTCCCAGAGAAAATAAAATTTGCCAAGTCTGTTCTTCAGCTCTCAATTTCTGTGATATACGATGTAATCTTTCATAGATATGAATACCAAGACATGTTAAAACTTCTTCCTGAGCAATATCCATTGTCTTAGCATGCCGATCTCGTCTATTGCTATAACAAAAGAATAAAAGTTCATAAGAAATTAATGTAATGCACTATGTAAACAAAATGATATGAAGGAGTGGGGAGGTGGGGGTGGCAAGACATAAATGTGTATTGAAATGACGGTACATTTAACAAAGGAGTAAGACACCAGTTAATCAATGTCATGTTATTAACATATCTAATGAGAAAATCATCTACCCATAATCAATGAACATTAAAGATGATTTATGTAAGAGCTAAATCCGCCTATTGCTGGAGTTTGTTTTGGCTTCAAATATTATATAAATTACTAATTAGACCTTTATTCCCATGACAAGCCCATAATCAACTCTCCAGATAATCGGTTGGTGTTGATTTTGAATGGATTGTAACACAATTGCCATTTAATATGGTAATTTAATCTATAAATGAATAACAATGGTACTTGACAATTGGGACTATATTGTGAAAAGTTCAAACACTAATAACTTCACTCCGAATAAGGTAATTTGACTTGAATTTCAAATATATCCATGTAACAAATGTATAGTGAAAAAGAAATTTTAGTTTTTATTTTGGGATGATCTAATTCCATGCAATGTAAGGGTATTGAAAAACCATCAAGAATATCAAGTCACTCATACAACCGAGAAATAAAATTCCATAAATATGTGATATTACCTTGTTAATCAAATCGAGTAAGCATTAATAATCAAACTGCTCAAAATATTTTGCTTTGAAATTTTCAGACAATGTAAATATGCTATATCGTCTGATTTTAACGATTACATTATATACTAAATCCCACTTATATCAACAGTGTTCTGTGGAATCTGAGACAACTCCTATGAAGAGTTATCTTCTATACCCTTCTATAAAAGTTTCTACTACTACCTGCCAGCTATCTCTGGTTCAGCTTTAGTAATTAGATGGGCTATAAAATCTGTATCACATAATACATGGATGTGGGCCTCTTGAGAACAGTAGCGTAATCCTTCATACAACGCGGGACAATATCCCTTCTCTTTACTACTGTCTAATTCACCTATCAATATATTAAACGCTGCATGCACTTTAGTTTTACATTCAGAACAAAACCTAAAATTAAAATAAACATTCATTTATTAAGAAATAAATATTGGAATGATCAAACCAGAGGATAAATCTTGTGCACTTTTAAACTAAGTGAGTAAATGGCACTGAGACTAGGCAGACAACTCAGGGTCCACCCAGGGTCGACCATGGTTTTGCCTGAGAAAGTTCCCCATGATTTTCCAGCTTGATTTTCCCATGTCATTGGTGAAGGATGGGGTGGGGACTCACAAGAAACAGTGTCTAGTCATTCGTATGGGACAAAAAAACGATCCTGAGCACACTTCCAGTGACAGTTGTAATTCAATTGCTGTCCAAGCAAAAGGCCCCCCCTCCCCCGAGCATACTGTATGGCCTATGCATGTCTTCATTAGCCCTGTTTGCTGCAAAAAAAGAAGTATGTTACACCCTATTTCATTCATTCACTCATTCTATTCCTTATCCATTACAATGGTGATGTCTGAACTCACACAGAAGATCTGTAATGCATTGTTTAATATCATTTATCAATTAGCAAGTTATATTTACCTATGTTTCCTGAGGTATGTATTAAGTGTATCTAATAAATTATCTGAATCTATTAACACCACCTCTTCTCTACATTCAGTAGATAAAAGTTCCCATGTATCAACCCAACTACTCCTGTAATATAAATCATTCATCAATTTTACAAATACATGTAGCGTAAACATAAATTCTTTATACTAATAAAGAAACATGCAGTTCAAATCTATCTAATAAAACATAATAAAGTTGACATGCTTGTACTAACTAATAACACAATACATAATGCACAAAATTCTACGAAGAATTTACAAATAAGATCAACTGAATTTCATTACATCATTTTTACATCTTATAATAATAGCAGTGACTTACACAGAGGTTTTTGATTTATGGGTTTCTAAAGAATGTAAATTACATCTTTTGTTCTTTTTATTAACCGGTATAGAATCCATCACATCATTTATATTGGTCCTATAATAAACACATAATAATTAATATCTTAAATATTTCATCTCATAGACAAGATAACAGTGACGCTTTCAAGAAATTTTGCTATTTTGCTATTTCAATTCTTATGAAGATTACAAAACCGTACATTAAGATGCAGTGCAGGGAACCCAGTAGACTGGAATTCAACTTTGCTACGAGGTATAACCATGCATCACATATAAATCAGCATAGGTCAGTCTCTGAAGTATTTTAATGACTAAAAGAGGTTAACTCTGAGTGAAAGACTCTTGCAAACCTTAAGTTTAACAAAGTCCTGAACAACTATCGGAAGCTCTGTGATACCGTTTTAAAGAAACATAAATTCCAGTTTCTGTGTGGAGTTGACCGTACATTTCCTAAAATTGCATTGTCAACATGCCCTTTAATCATTTTTTTGTTTATCATATTCCTACAAGAAGTTATAATTGTAAATGATGTCATGATTATCAAGTCACTCATCATACAATGTAAGAATGAACTCTGTTAAGCAAATCTAGTGATCATTACCAAATAGCTTAATCCATATGGTAAATAAGATAATCGTCATATTCTGGTGTTTCATTTAAATATTTAAACCCATTTTTTACTTTTGTTGGATTCAGATTCATTCTTGTATCTAATAAATCCTTTATTCCTGATTCTTTTCAATACTTCTGAATACAATGAGTTGTGTATGCAGTAAAACATTTGAATTTATCAACAACAATTAAAATACCTTAGATATTTAGCAAAGGTTATTTTGTATTCTATAAATTTACATATTGTATACACATGTACATATATCCGCATCTATTCAATAATGTAATTTGGCAAATCTATGGCAATACATGTACCTAGTCCATACAGTAGAATAAGAAGGTAAAAGTTTAATTATTCTCTACATCCAATTTTAAACACTATCTTTAACTTAAGTTGTGTCTGCAGTAAATTTTGTGAAGTATTTGAAAAATTTATTTCATCTGGTCAAAAAAGTTTATATTAAACATTCAGTAGAATATTTACCCATGTATATAAAATAATGCATAAACAGCTTTGGGATCAAAGAGGTATTCATGTTTTAAGGATAGTTCAGCATGCTGTGTTACTGATAATGGTTCTAAGGATGGATGTTGTGACTCTACCAACTGATTAAATAAATGTTCAACACTGAAAAAAAAAAATAATATAAGATTCAAGTTATAGGACAGGCTACCACAAACAAGGCAAATAAAGATGGGACCACACTATAGAGTACGCTATGAGGAACAGTTTGCCCGGACAGAAGCATTTTTGCCTACTCTTTTTCGAATTCCAACTATATAGTATCAAGGTGGTTTTTTCTTACATGCACGCCGTGTTTACGAGATGTCTTTTTTCCCCTCAGGACCTATTGGTTAGTATAACCCTGAGGAATAACTGGAGGACCCGGAGAAAACACACTAAGATATGGATATGACAGCTACACATATGGTAAGTACAGTACTGTATTCTCTTATTAGAAAATATCATCTAAAGTTAAAACTGCAAGAAACCACTCAAGGAAAATCATTTTAAAAAAAAGCAATTGTGTCAACCCCTTCGTGTCACTTTTTTTTACAATAAACTAAGTTACGTGTGACATCTGTATCATTTAAAAATGGTAAGATTGTAAATTCCAGTATGGTAATAAAATGTAGAACTTTGCTTACCTTCTTCTACACCCAACACATGATACTGTATGAGCTAACTGATTCATCAAAGTTTTATTAGTTACCATCAATGCTATAGCAACTTCATCTTTCGATAATAAATTATATTTCTGAACAAATCTATCCAGTTCTCTTTTCTGTTTAGCATCAGATAAATGTTTACAGTCAGAACACTTTTCTGTGAACTGGGCAATCATCTGAAATATAAAAGCAATAGTAATGAATGTGCATTATGTAATAGGACTTCTTTGTGATCTGTGATGACTGACAAGCAAGACTCAGATGATTCAAAGCAGGTTATTGAGTACTATCATGTACCGAGTAGTGGAACATAGCAGCTTAATATTCAAGGATTGAACCCAGCCCTCTTGATTATTGAGAAGTTCAAGTCTGTCTTACCAACCAGCAGATATTAAAAGGTAATGCATTTTTAATGTGTGATATTTCTCTGATATGCATGACAGTTTATTAAACACTTTCTTCATTTTTGCCTATAAAGTTCCAAACCATCCCAGCTGATCTTATGGTAATATTGCACAGACTCTTTTAATAAAAAACCTACATCTAAAATAACAGTACCGGTAACAGAAAGAGTAATATTTGATCCGCGTTCAAAGATGACTAAATGTAACTCTGCCAGGTGATTGAGATTCTTGATCCTGACATTGTATTGTCCCAAGGTTTTAGCTCATGACTATGAAGCCAGGTTGCAAAGCTTGAAGGCTGTGGACATTTCACATTCAATTGGTTTCCAGATGTGGATAGGATGTATTCCCTGTCATTACTACATTGAGTGTACGCCAAGCCAAACCTATATGGGCCTAACTACATGAAATTGGAATGCACTCTGGTCGACTAATATCATCAAATCTCAATAACAACTCGCTACAACAGTTTAGCAATTAAATCCACATGAACGAACTAATCCAACTTTCTTTACTGTGACAGTACTGGCAGTAACCTTTAGTTCCATGTGGCAAACTCAATTTTTTTATTAATGCATGTACCATCTTAAAAATAAGTTAATTTTATACTATTAGTACTTATTACACATACGCAGCCCAATCTACTGAAACAACATTCATTTATCAGCAAATATTGACAATAAAGTAAATCAAGCGTTGTTTTTATCAAAATTGATACAGACATTCATAATTGCGGCATATTACTCCTGCGTAACTCTGTTCAGGTTAGTACATGAGGCCCCGCCTTTATGCGTTAAAGACGTAAATTTAATGTCGGAAAAACAATCTACTATCGCTTTGATTTAAAAAGAGGGGATTTGTACCCGTGTCAGGTAGAATTTTCTGCTTAATTGTAGTTGGATGTGGCAGAAATATAAATAACAATAATCAATCGTTGTTTTGATGAAAAATATTGTCAATTTTGCTTAATGAGGTCTGATATAATTCACGTTCGGCTTTGCTAGGTGGAACTATATAGGACCATCATCTCGAAACATGAAGGGTTGAGAGATGAGGTTTGTTATCTAGCAGTAACCCCCAAACTAAAAGTAAAAAGGGATTGGTCTGCAAGGAACATTAAGAGTTATCTACCCTTGGATTCTCAAAAAAACCTATTGGAATGTGGGTCTAGTTTCAACAATTTTTGCTATTATTGCTCTAACATTGTGAAATTCATGTAACTAATGTATATTTTGTTAGCATCATGGTGTGTTCTTGTGCTATATCCTATAATTAATAACTCACTGTAAGAGTATCGTCAATAACAAGTGGAAGTTGTCGACGATCGAACTTGTGATCGTCCGATCGACATACTGCAAGCAAACGAGCCATTTTAAAACTCCAATATATAATTTTGGTTTCTCGAATAGTGCCAGAACAAACAGTTCAACCTCCTATATTTCCACTTATAGTCTTGGTTTCAAAGACGTTTAAATTTTATACACTTTTAGCAATTAAATGCACATCTTGATAAAGTTGATAAACCGAACCGAACCACAGCGCCACACTGTATTATCCTTCCGCGATATAATGCGATTTGAATACTTAATTTTCCCAAAATGTCTACAGTGGCATTGGGAATTAGAGATGCATACAGATCATGGTACATATTAGATATAATATAAGTACTATTAGGTTCTAATAATACATGTTTTATACCAGTAACTTGCCCCTTAAAAAGAAATTAAAATAGTCCCCATGTGTTATGACCTTGACTTTGCTAGTTCTTGATTGGGTATGTTGCTTTCACGTGAGGTCGGTCATGTCGAAAAGTGCGATTGATTTTTCACACAAATTGCCCAAATCCTAAATGAAAGCTGGAGTAATATGTCCCAGAATATTTGTGTTTTTCACATTCTAAAAAATAAAGAATAACTTATTTACCAAGCGCAGAACAAAAGTTTCTAAATCAATAGGGTGCCCATCTATGAAGCGCCGAGCGAAGCGAGTCGTTTTTTCTGGATCTTAATATGACATGATTAGGCTTATCATATCTTAATTGGTTATGTCGAACTTAGAAATGGAATGGTCTTTCGCCCCACCCCATCCCCCAACCGACTGCAGCTGTGGATGGTTCCAAGAACTTCATTTGGGCAATTTATGTTTTGTAATCATTTAATTACAAAAATTACTGGCTCCTATAACTCTCTTAGTTCCCAATTAAACTGATCCCAAACTGTAATGCACAGTTGCTTAACATGATAATAAACTAATCCTCATTGAAAATAATTTGAAACTAGGCCTACGACCCACCTGCTTTGTTAGGTGAGAAATTAAAATATAAATATTAATTAAAAAATGAGATTTTCATTGTTTTCCCCTTCCTTACTGTTGCCTGTTTTGTCTCAATTACTTAAATGACGTGTATAAAACCTCATTTTGAAAAATGTAAATTTATTTTATGGTTTATTACTCTTTATATTTGGAATTACATATAGGCCTTTAAAATTCACGTCGGTCCGTCGGCCCAGCACCAATAAATAACTGAACGGGCCGACATCTTTTTATTTCGAAGATGGTGGTTCGGTCCCAACTGCAGTCTCATTTGTCTTCATCCGATATTGAATACACATGCACAATCGGCATATTCATTCAATGGTGAGATCCAAAAACTTATGCTACTAAACTATTATTATTATTATTGTTCGATTTATATAGCGCTTCATTACACGTGAAGTGTTTCTAAGCGCATATCACAAACATATACTTCAAACACACAGAAACAATCAAAATCAGGAGAACATAATTAAACACAGCTGCCTGTTAGGCGCTATTATTCAAAGGTTTATATCCAACAAATCAACCGGCTAATCTCAATATTGAACTCAGTCGAGGTATTACCTGATGAACACCTACACCAAGTAGAGTTCAAAAATAAAAACGAAGTTTAAAAGAATCAACTTCATTAACAAAAATTAAACAATAAAAAACTAAACAGATAAATCAAATTCAAACGAAACAAATAAAACAAAGAAAATGAAAAGAGCAGTTCGTTACCATTCTACATTAACAAAATAAAGGAAATCAACTTGTGAAAATTTTTTCAAAAAATAAGAGCAAAGTAACACTAATGTTAATAATTATCAAAAGGAATCAAGATCTTAATGATAAAAACATATATTTAAAGTTTCATCCAAATTGGATAAAAACTGTGGTCTCTAGAGCGTCCACAACCTTGATATACCATATCTATCTATTTCTTAATTAATTACAGGTATGTAAATTATTGTACCGGTAACCTAAATTTTATGAATATTGTTGTGATGTTATGACGATGTGCAATGCATATTGATATTGTGTTTACCTGTTTAAGATGAGTCAGTAAAAATCTTTTCTTAAATATTTAGCACCCATGCCATTTAATTGGACGTAGGGTATCCGAGACTTTGTTTAATATCATAGCAATCCAATAGTACATGTACCTATGCCTATTTAAAGATACATTCCTGTGTACAAACTGGGTGATTTATGGTATTATAATAGGACTAAACACATATTCAAACTAATTAATTTGTCATAATTTTGCTTCAAATCCTTCTCAAAACATTGTAATTTAGGCTAAATAAATCTTGTCAAAACATTCAAACATACGGTAGGCCTATACTGAAATGAAATAAAATGGGGTTTAACGTCCTACTGCTCCGAACTGGGCTAATGAAAATGGGCATTCCATATAGTGTGCTATGAGGGAAATTTTGCCCTGACAGCGGCACTATACGGATTTAATGAGCTTAGGGGTACCTGGCTAATCTTTAAATTGACCCTAGGGTTAAAGTGTAGACAACCTATCTATAGTGGTGTAAAATCATCCAAATTGTACCATATTGCATGCCAAAATGGGGGGGGGGGGTCAGCTCTAAACAAATATGGCAGAAAATTGATGCATCGTAACCAATTTTCAGGCAGATTAGCATAACCTATTTTGAGGTTACCATATAAGAGGCTTATTTCATACCCTGCTTTACCAGTCAATATCTTCAAATAATTAATGTATAATGAGTTCACTAGTAGTACCACTCGGCAAACCTTGGCAAACTCTGGTACCCTATATCTAGCCTCGGCTGTATGTACCTACACCTATACAATTGCGATGTGGCTACCAGTTCACTTAACAGGAAAACTTGTCGCTTTTAGAAAAAAGTTCTCAAAATTGCATTGTTCGAAGAGTGTGTAGAGTTTTCATTGCAAATTTGTCCTTTGTTTAAAGAAAATCGGATAAACTTTAAAGACATTGAAAGCTTTGTATGATAAAACACTCTTCATGGGTGACGCCATTTGTAATCCGGGAACTTGAAAGTAGTTCTAATGGCAGAATTTGTCATACAGCCGAGGCTAGATGTAGCGTACTGGAGTCTGCTGAGGTCGCACATGTGATGTCACAGATGGACCGGAGGGCTTAACGAGGGCTTAAAAATAACTATTAGGTTATGGGCGTGTATGCACTAATTTTTTATTAGCTTTCGCCGTAGGGGTACCACGGCTAAATTTATTGGGAACTTGTCCTTGTTTTTCATATTCGGCCTTGAGTTAGGCTAAGAATTATGCTACTATTTCTGTCAGTCCAACTACTGTACTGTCATGAATCCAAGAATAAAAATTCACGTGATATAAAACCTTGTCTTGTAAAAATAGAAATGAAAAACCAGAGCTGAAAATTCCTTGAAAGAATAACTACCGGTAACAATATAACTCGAGTAAGGTAAAACGAGTCTATCATTAAACATATACATTATGCAAGAGCTAAATCTGCCAATTGCAGGTCTTTCTTTAGGCCTGAAATGTTATCTAAATTATTAATCAGATATTAATTAACTTATCCAGACCATAATCAACCCTCGATGGCATCGCCAGCCTGCGATATTTACTGGATTAGAACCCGGTCTGGTGCTTCTGATTAAATAAAAAAAATTGGATAATCGAGACTATGTTTTTTATCGTACCGACTCTAGTAGTGATGATCGAGGTTGGGCGCAAAATTCAATCGCTAAATACTCGGTTCAGGGTGGATCAATTTGACTGATATTTTCAGCAAATTCCCTTTACATTACCTAGTTTTTAACAATCTTAATAAGAACTACCATAATGTATCTTTAAGCTAATCGTGATTCAGGGACGGATTAAGACCAATACAGGCACTAAACACTAAAATCAAGCTTATGTCCTTAACTTGAACATCATTTCGGAATTTTCGACCAAACAGACAATTTGTGTTTTAAAATATCCTTCCTCGAAAATAATAAAGCATGCTACTTCAAACTTGTCTCTGTATGTTATACTCCCTTAATTACAAGGGCCAAGTGAAGGGGACGCAATGATGCCCCTTGCGTCATAGTTTTGAGTTTTTTCGCCCCCTTTGAGTTTTTGCACCCCTTCTCAAATGGAAAAGTTCAAGTGTTTTCAATGTAATCATATTGCTGAACCATTGTCAAACATTTACCGTGCTCAGAAATGATAAAACTCTAGCATGTTCCACACGGCCCACGATTTCTCGACCCAAAACATCCCCGCTAGTTTATGTGCCCCCAAGGAATCACCGCGCCCCTTCTTCATTATTATCTTCAAATACATGTATCAATGATTCGGAGCCACGGTATCTTTCCTTAGAAGGCTTGATCTCGCTTTAACTCGTACATCTTATCAAGGCTAGATGTTGTAAGACCCACAGTCTTTGCTTCCGGAAAAAGGAGCCAAATTAGCTCAGTAAGTATAGACGCTGGCAGCTCATAGATACTAAACAGCTTACTAAATGGATCAAAGCATTTTTTTGTGAATAGTATGTTGGGGTTTTTCGCCCCATCGGAACGACTAGACAGCTGTCCATGTCAGGCCCTCCGTCCTGCACCACTAACAAGGGAAAACCACGCCGGAAAATATTGATGAACTTTCTAGGTTAAGACCGGGGCCGAACCCGCGACCTCCAGACTAACGAGCCAGCGTCTTACACACTTAGCCACCGTGGCTTTCAGGAAGGGACGAAAAATCTAGGTCCCTGTGTGCACGTTGGAAGAACCTTTAACAGATGGAATTCCTTAGCTGTCCGGGCAAAACTTGTCTCATATCACCATACATATATGGCTTATGCCCGTCTTTATTATCCCGGTTAGAACTGATTTCGTTCAATTGGGCCTACAACTCATTTTCGAGTGAATGTTCAAAAATGATGTAAACCTTCACCACCCCGAATAGCTACGAGAATGTAGCCAAAAACGTTGAGATATACGTACTGATGTACTTGTTTTTAGCTACGATTGGGTGCCTTTAGTTCCAAGTGGTAAACTCGATTTCTTTATTAATGCATTTAACATCTTAAAAATAAGATATAATTTTATACTATTATATGACTAATTAAACTTATAGAGGCCAATTTTGTGGCACAACTATCGCCTAACTCCAAATATTCGCGTTTAAATTAATGAACCTTGTTTTTATCCGACATATACCGTCATACATCTCCCGTTTAAAAAATGGCGTTCCTCGTAACGGCTTAACGCCTCGATATTAAATACGATGATTTATACCCGTTTCAGATAGATTATATGCTTAATTGTGGTTGGATGTGGCAGAAATGTTATAAATAACAATAATCAATCGTTTTGTTTGTTTTTTTTTATGAAAAATATTGTTAATTTTGCTTACTGAGGCCCGATGGGATTTGCGTTGGGATTTGCTACGTGAAACTATATAGCCCCATCTCTTATCTCGAAACACGGACACGGAGGGTTGAGAGATGAGGTTTGTTATCTAAATCCCGAATTGATCGACATGCCACGATGGGAAATTGGAAAGTGTGTGTGTGTGTGTGTGGGGGGGGGCATCCTACTTTTCTGCACCAATGGTCTATTGAAGACGGACATACGCCACGAAGTGTGTTATGGGGCTCGGCAATAATACCTCTCAGTATTGATAAGAGTTCCGATGGCGAAATACAAACTTTTCCCTTGTGTATTTTCTGTAAATGGCAAGTGTAGCTTTATCTGACAGGCATGCAAATCGTAGCAGGTTGTATCATCTATTAACACTCAATTGTTTTTTGCAGACTGTCAACCATAGATCTGGGTGCATCTTTGGAAATATAATTATTTATCAGTAGACTTATCTATCTATATATATACTAGCAGGATACCCGGCTTCGGTCGGGGGTCATAACTCGGAAACCGGAAGTGGTAGACTAACGCCACCTGGCCTATGTTACTCCCCGGTCCGAGCTACCCTTATACCCCAAATTTCAGACTCGGGGCAGACCTAGTATAGCCGCCAACCCCGAACAGACTGGCTTCGCTCGGGGTCATAACTCCGAAACCGGAAGTGGTAGACTAACGCCACCTGGCCTATGTTACTCCCCGGTCCGAGCCACCCCTATACCCCAAATTTCAGATTCGGGGCAGACCTAGTGTAGCCGCCAACCCCGAACAGACAGACTTCGCTCGGGGGTCATAACTCGGAAACCGGAAGTGGTAGACTAACGCCACCTGGCCTATGTTACTCCCCGGTCCGAGCTACTCCTACACCCGAAATTTCAGCCTCGGGGCAGACCTAGTGTAGCCGCCAACCCCGAACAGACAGACAGACAGACAGACAAACGACAGTCACAAATATATAGATAGATAGATAATAGAAGATAGATAGAATATTCAGATTTATAATACCCATCATTCTAATGCTTGCAAAAACTTTGAGACGAAAACACCATTTCCCCATATTTTCAATAGATGTTTTCATAAACTGGAAGAAGTTTTTGACCAAATCCGATTGAACACTTTCATAACGGTGGGTCCTATGTACTGTTTAAGAATTTCAATGAATGAGTTATTGTCCTTGTTTTAAAATGCCTCTTGAACAAATGGAGGGGGGGGGGTATTCGCAATGACGTAGCCAAATCAGGGGCGGATCCCCCCCCCCCCCTGCTCAGCTACATAATTTTTTTGTAAATCAACACTTTTTATGAGAAAGGTTTCTCGGCCGTGTGCTTTATCCTTTATCGTCAGATTTGGGACAGGATGGGCACTCAAAGCACGAGATAATGATATAGACATTATGTGATATCACAATTAATGCTTTGCATCCATGAAATTGAATCACAAAGTCATTGTATTAATTCATAATAAAAATTGACGTCAAACGAGGTGTTGAATTTCTCTGTTTTTAAAGCTCAATGTGTATGTATATACGCCAAAATGACGATAGAGACCAAGCGGGAGTGGGGGGAGATAATTGTCTCAGGAACATGAACAAAATTTCTAAAACGTTCAATATTATACGGTATTCTTTAAAGCTAACTCCTGTTAGCAGACCACAATAATTCAGAAATAAAATCAATGTTAAGCTATATTGAAGCGACGTCGGCTTTTTAACACGACGTCGCCCTTCAAAAGGCATCGCGTCGCGCGTCGCCTTTTCTAAGGTGATGAAATGCGCATGTGCCTGGAGAATTCATTTGCAGTTTATTTGCCGTTTGGTATTTTATCTTCAATACATTTATTTATATTGGAAACAAGGAACTGCCATTAATATCCTTTAAAAAACAAAACATTACTATATATAATATAACCATCATTAAAGCTTCTTAGTAACCATAACCCCGTGAAATAGCCATACCACGCACGTGATTTGTGATGCGTTTTCGAACAACTTAAACCCGTCATCTGGAAATTAAAAACGGTGTCCCACCCTGTATAATGCGGTGTCTGGATAAAACCAGACTTTTATTTTATAAAAATAATGTGTAGGTGAAATTTACCTTTCGTTATCAAGTACAGCACATGGGTCATTTATTGTATAGACCTCTAAAGGAACGGGAATCGATTATCAGGTCACTCAACGAAAAATTTGACCCGAAATCTTAAAAGGGTTAAAACGTGTCCGAATAAGCAGTTTTGACATTCACGTCCAAACGACTCAATATTATGGGCTGAAAGTTTGAGACAATGTAGATACACCATTCCTATTGGCGTTTAAATTTCATACGTACTTTTATTTTTGAGACTCTGTTCAAATTGGCATAGTCCCTTTAACGTTTCCTTCCACATTAATCATGTGATCAGCGCGACCAAAACCACCTACAAATACCTAAAGTCTGGATGTGCGAAACATAGGAGACTGGTGACTCGGTCAGTCAGAGAAGTAAACAGGAAGTGATCATGAGTGTTGTTTACAACCAACCAAGCAAGCATGGTCACAAATTAATAGGAAAATTATATCAGATTTATTTATATTTTGATAATATTGAAAAGCTTGAAATGCGTGTAATTCTGGCAATATTCAGGTAATCGTCTAGTTACCACCATCAATAAGATTGTTATGTTGTAGCCTAGAACGTGTAAAAAGTTATAGTATTAGTACGGTACACATTTTGATGGCATTACAGTTAATACACTGTACACTACAGTTACACAACTACAACAAGAACTAAGATTACTTAGACCTAAAGTAAAGAAGTGAAGAACAACATTCTGAATCTGAATGTGTAAGTCCCAGGACCTGCTACAGCATGTAACATTAAAGGAGCTAAATCGCTAACATTTGGGACCTAGAAATTGACAAAAGTAGGTCGCAACACATATAATACTGTAGTATGAATGTATATAAACTGATTTACATTCAATGGTTTCCGTTTTTACTCCAATTTCAAATCAGTTATGTTCGGCGAAATAAGCCAGCAGTCTCAAGCGAGTGCAAATTTCTAGCGTCTGGTTATTCCAGTCAACATACGGCGTTTGATTTTGTGCAATGTGTCTAGCCTCGTCCCTCGAGTCTCTTGATACAACTGGCGCTGAAGTGCATTATGGTACACGATTCATGTACCAATGGTAAAATGTTTATTTTTTCTTAAATATTGGATATCAAAAGCCCATCTTTTTCCGGTAAGATCACAACGTGAATGTTGATTTAATTTGACAAATAAATCGTGTTTTCAATGTTGAAGATTTTGGATGATATTGAGTTAGAGACTTAGCTACTTTAACACAGAATTGAATTAGTAGGCCTCAAAAATTTGTCATGATGGTTCTAGATTGATTAGTTCAGCTCAGAACGTAGGTCTCATTCACTCACCCTTAGCTCAGCTCTGAACATAGTTCTCATTACACTCGCCCTGTATATTCAGGAACTGTCCTATTGAATCCTTGTCGAAAAACTTTCGCTTCCCAGTCAATCTTACTGGGCAACTTTTCACTGCTAAATGGTCGTGTGTCAGTCAATGTGAACGCCTGTACAGTAAAGGAACATTTTAGTGAGAAAATAGGACCCTGCAGCTTACCTCGCTACAGTCAGTAGGCCTATGTGCGACACAACATGCTGTTGAAAATACATCCTCTTCTGCTAAACAGCTTGACAGAAGCCATTGAAATCTAAATATAGGGTAATGTACAAACTTACGTAACTCGGCCATATATGACAAGACGAATCGCCGAGTTATGTAACCCGATTTACCAAAATACACCCAAATCCACCATTATGGCATTATTTCAACTCATACATGTATATCACAATAATTTATATCAATATTTGATAACATAATATCACTATTAAATATGCAAATTGTCATTTTTAATTAAAAAAAATCAAAGTGTTTTTGTGTCAAAATGATCCTCAAAATTGTGATTCCAATGTACCTGGATGTAATAAAATGTAAATCAATAAAGCATGATACACATGGTTTAAATCTAGAAATGTAATTTGTCTTTGCTAATTGAAAAGGATTACAGTAGGTTACCTGTATTTTTTTCTGTCTAAATCATATAATCGATGTGCTGATTGACTATTTAATTTTATAGTTCCAGTTGTTGATATAAAAGTTATACAAAAATAAAGAAAGATGGACGAGAGCTGGAAAAATTTAACTGTCGCATTAGATAAAAATATCAGTAAAGCTATTCAAGAATTGGGCTTTCAAAAAATGACACCTGTTCAGGTAAATTATATGTTGATTTGAATTATCTAAAGATCTAAAATGCACCCCAAATGATCCGAAAATCGTTAAAGGGGCATTAGGTAAGATTAGATAAAGAGCTGACAGTTCTTGCTGTAATAGTTCAAAAAAAGATAATGACACCAGAATATGCTGAAAATTTTAGTCAAATTGCTTCACTCTGAACCAAGACATTAGCAATTCAATTTTAGGCTAGCCTCGATCGTCATTACTAACGTTAGTACGATAATAAACGAAGTCTCGATTATCCATTTTTAAGTTATATTATCCGTCACAAAATGTATTCAAACCCTCTAAATATCGCAGGCTAACGATGGCAATAAGAGTTGATTATGGTTTGGATAAGTTAATTAATGTCTAATTAATAATTTAGATTCAGACCTAAGGAAAGACCTGCAATAGGCAGGTTTAGTTCTTGCATATAGTAATGCATATTTAATCGACCTGATTTGTATAGCTAGTCATTGGGATTGTATGAAAAAACGTGTCACATTAACACATCTTTGGGCACGTAAAAGGACCCTAGACAGTTTGGATTTGAAAAAAAAGGTAGAACGTAGCACTGATTTAACATGTATTATTTCATTACTAGTTTTAAAAGTTATACCACTTTGGTCAAATGTTGATTGATTTGACACCGAATGACCATGATATTTATTTTTACAGGAATTAATACTGTAAATTAAAACTCATGTCATTTCATAATATTAATATATTTTAGGCAGCAACAATACCACGATTTATCCAGAATAAAGATGTGGCTGTTGAGGCTATAACTGGCAGTGGCAAAACATTGGCCTTTGTAATACCTTTAATACAGATGTTATTACGTAGAGAATCACCATTAAAAAAACATGAGGTAATAATCAATTTATTTCAATAATTTGCTTGCGTGTAGGGGTCATAAGCAGTGGGAGGAAATCGGAGAACCCAGAGAAAAGCCCATGAGGTTGGACAGACAGCCCTGCTCCTTGTACAAGCAGGGAATCAAAACCACGCCACTGGACTTAATGATCTAAAGCGCACTTGTTGACAAAAGGCCTGGAATCTACTTGTTGGCTACTTGATCCTGGTGGATCATTTAACTTCTTTAAATATAGAAATTTAAAAATTTTATTGGTTTGTATATTTTATAGATAGGTGGTATTATATTAACACCGACTAGAGAATTAGCTATACAGATAGATGAGGTATTAAGGCATTTTTTGAAACATGTTAACCAGTTCCAATCAGTTTTATTTATTGGTGGATCAGATGTTAATGCAGACATTGAAAACTTTAAAACAAATGGGTAGGTATATAAAATTTATTATATTCAAAACTAAATTTACTATTCTCTCTGGAAATAATGGGACTAAATAATGAACTAGTATCTGACATTTTCAGCTTTGTGCCGCACACATATTCAAAATAGCGATAAAAAAAAACAAAGCTAGAATTTGTGTGCCTGACATTTTCTGCGAAAGGTGCCTTATTTCCAGGCTTGCTATGCAGATGATCGATATTTGCATTTTTCAAACAATATCCAATTTTTCACTGCCTAATTGAATGTAAAATTTGCTGTAACATTTAATTAAAAAATCAAAATATCAACAGTAAATAATCTCACCACTTTATCCTCGAGAAACACAGAGAGTGATATATTAACCTCCACTCGACACAAACTAGGTCATTTCAGAACTAACATATTATGGTTCAATTTTATTTCTATAATTCGCTTGTGCGCAGGGGTCTTTAGCAGTGGGGGGAAAACGGAGGACCCAGAGAAAACCCACGAGGTTGGACAGGCGACCCTACTCCTTGTCACATACAACCGGTAATCAAAACTACGCCAGTTGACTCAATGACCATGCTAACCATTTGCCATTAGTAGAGAAAGCTGAATATTAACAAGTTTTAAGTTCATTATATTGTTGTAAATACTGAACAGAACTGAACTATTTTTAGACTGATATTCCATTTCGAGATTCAACTTTCACAGTAGTTTGCCAGGAATTCAAAATCCCTCAAATGACGATCAGAGACTTTATAGTATAGCTTATTGAAAGACCAATTGTTTATCATATCTTCCAAACCATTGCATTAGTGGCACAGTTTCAAGTTTGTAATATATAATTAATTAATTCTCTTCAAATTAAGATATTCTTTGATCATCTACTTGATATTCAATGCTATATGTTCCTTTTTATGTATTGATAACCACATATTTTACTAATATCTTTCATTCAACCAATACTTTCTGATACAAAATTAAACACATATGTTCATTATTAATGACTGTATTATAACTGTTTTCATGTTTCAAGGTGTAATATTATAATAGCTACACCTGGTAGAATGGAAGACATGTTTCAAAGAAAACAAGATGGCTATAATTTAGCAGTTTCAGTGAAAGCATTGGTATGTTCATGTAAATATTTTAGCCATGCCTCTCCAAAGCAGGTTATTATACGCCCACATTTTCATGTGGACGTATAATGTTGTCGCACCTGTCTATCCGGTTGTTCGTTCACATTTTGTTTGTGGACACTCTACAGGTTACAATTTTTATCCGATTTCAACGAAACTTGCAATATAGGTCTATACGCTGAATATATCAGACCATGACTTCATGGACTATGGCCCCTGATTGTATGAAATCACGATTTTAGCTTGTGGACACTCTAGAGTAAAATTTTGCGTCGCATACGATGCCGAGTGGTAATCAGTCCGCCGTTCAGGAGTTTTCGAGATATACGGGGTCAAGGGTCAAATGAGTTCATTTGCACTGAAAATGAATGGCAGTAATTCTTGTATTATGAAAAGAAGCTGAAAATGATCGAAAGTAATCACACTTTCAATAAAAATGTAAACTTGCTAAATTCACCTTTAGTCTTAGTGACCCTGGAGGTCAAAAGGTGAAATTTACTGTTTTTGCACTAGGATGATTTAAAGCAATAAAATGTCAACGTAAAATATAAAAACTAAAGCGAAACCTATTCTAAACCTCCAGACTTTTTTACTTTCGATACTCGTGCATATCAGACTGTAACTTCCTGAATTATGGCCCAGATTGTATAAAATATAATGTTTTTAGCTTGTGTTCCCTCTAGAAGTCACAACTTTTATTCGATTTTAAAAACCGTTCAAATATATCCATGTTACAACCTAATGATGGTTGAGTTAGAATTTTGTGAAAATAGGACCGAAACTGCATGACAAAATAGTCAGTCCTTGTTCGCAAATAGTGTAAAAATATGGAATACCAAGGTTGTGGACCCTCTAGAGGTCACAATTTTTATCAAATTTGAGGACACTTAAAATAAACATTTATATCTTGGTTCTTTTCGACAATCACGCATATCAGACTGTATCTTCCTGGATTATAGCCCCTGATTATACGAAAAATCACCTTTTTAGATTGTGGGTCCTCTAGAGGTCACAATTTTTATCTGATTTTTATCTATAGTTTTAGATAAGTGAGTTCCAACCTTTCCACCGTGGTGGATCCCTTATGATATTTTACCCATCTATTTACTGACAAAATCTGTTGATTGCATTTTTAGGAGGTACTAGTATTAGATGAGGCTGATAGACTTCTAGAAATGGGATTTGAAACCAGGTAAGATGACCAAATAATTAGAATCAAGTTAAGTTTTAATTATTGCACTATGATGGACAAATGGTGAGCTGTGAAATAAAGTCAAAATGAAAACAGTGTAACAACACATACCAGCACACAAAACTGATCCAACCATATGTCTTTTCCAAATTTGGTATTGTATGCCCACCGTGTTCCTTCTATATTACAGGTTTAGTTTTGGTCTTTTTCAGTACCCTGTGTAGAATGTGTATACATTCCTTGGGGCTATTGTAAATTACTAAATAGTTATGTGATTACAAAATTACTCTGAAGGCAAATGTAAATATTCTATATAATATGATTTCAGTATTAACACAATATTAGGCTACCTTCCAAAACAGAGAAGAACAGGTTTATTTTCAGCAACACAGACTGATGAAGTAGAAAATTTGATACGAGCTGGATTAAGAAATCCATTAAGAATCACTGTTAAAGAGAAGAAGAGCACTGAAAGTCAACTAATTCCAAAAACACCAGCATTATTAGAGAATTTTTTTATGGTAATTTTAGCATTTCTTTAATTTTAAAGATTTTTTTATGGTAATTTTAGCATTTCCTGTAGAGTATTGGTTGTTCTGATATTATTGAATCTCCTATTGGACAGTCTATATGAGATACACTTGCATTTAATGTTGCCTTTTTTTTAGATTGTCGATGCAGATGAAAAATTAAATCAACTAATTCATTTTTTACGGAAGCACAAAAAGGAAAAAATTATGGTCTTCTTTAGTTCATGTGCTGCTGTAGATTATTTTAAAAAGATTATTGAACTGTAAGTCATCAATTCTATAAAATATAACAAAACAAACTTTTTAACCAAAAATTACAATGATATGGTGTTATGATAAAAGGGGTTCCCCCTTGTCAGTGATGCAGGACGTAGGGCCTTACAAAAAACCGAGGTCCCATGTATACATTAGAATGCACATAAAAGATCCCTTGGCAGTTGGAATTCGATATAAGAGTAGGCGATAGTGCCGCTGCCCGGGCAAAATTTCCCTCATAGCACACTGTATGGCGTATGCCCATCTTCATAAGCCCAGCATAGGAGCAGAACAGTAGGATGTTAAACCCCATTTCATTTCATTTGTTATGATAAAAATGAAAAGAAATTAAAAGGAACTAAAATGTTAATAATGCAAGGACTGTAGATAGTCTTAAGAATATGTGTAGTCTTTATTGACATTCTATTTTATTTTCAGTCTTGTGAAAAATTCTAATGTTTTACACATCCATGGAAAATTAAAACATAAACGTGTTAAAGTTATAGAAAAACTACGTAATTCTGACAGGTGAGAGAATATAACCATGTTAAAGGCACAATAATCTAGACTGAAGGGAAAGTACAGAAATCATATCAATGTATGTCAATATAGAGAATTTACACAAGCCTTTTACAATCTGCTTCATCTTCAGTAGAAATATGACACCTACATGCATATGATTATGTCTAAATTGGTGTGTATATGTATGCACGCTGTCCTTGATTAATTTTTTGATGCAATAAACATCTTATTTTATCTTATCTGTAAATAAGTCTTCATTCAGATTATTAAATACTTTTAAATAAATTATCATTTATATCCATTTTTATGTGGATAGTGTTATATATTAATGACTAATGAGTACTGCCAATTCATAATTTTGTTAAAAATAATGCAGCCATATTATTTCTGAAAACTCAAAGAAACATAACAGAACAGGGTTACTTTCCAACTGACACCAAAAGGCTGTTGATTTTTAACTGATGTTGTATTGTAAATACCCCTTTGCACACCCATTATGGTCCATACAATGCACATATGAGTAGTTATCTAGAAAAGTATGGAAGTAATATTAACTAATAAGATATATATATGTTTTTATATTTTTGTAGTGGTATATTAGTATGTACAGATTTAATGGCTAGAGGTATTGATATACCTGATATTAATTGGGTTATACAGTTTGATGCACCTAGTTCGGCCAGGTAATCATTTCATTTATTGCTTGTTATATTTGGATGGTTGAATAGATGTATGGCAATGACTACCTTAGCAATATTGTAGGGTTTGAAGTTGATGTGTTTCAACAATTCTAGCAGTGACATCTCTTTCCTAGTTTTTTCTAGCCAGTTAAGACTTTCCCATCTAGGGGGGTTGGATGGCTGAATGGTTAGCGTGCGCGCGCTGTATCATAAAGTCTGTCATTGAGTCGACTGGCGTGGTTTCGAATCCCCGGTTGTACGTGACAAGGAGTAGGGTCGCCTGTCCAACCTCGTCGGTTTTCTCCGGGTCCTCTGGTGTCCTCCCACTGCTAAAGACCCCTACGCGCAAGCGAATTATTGAAAGACAATTAAACCATATGTTAGTCCCGAAATGACCTAGTTTGTGTCGAGTGGACGTTAAACCCCATTTCTCTCTCTCTCTCTCTTTCCCATCTATTTTGATGTAGCTTAAAGAGTGATTATTGTAATCAATTTCTTTTAAATGAAATAAATCCCAAATAGTCACGCTATATTGAATAATGATTTATTTATGAGAGTATCAGGCCTTAAAATTTGACAGGCGCGATGCAGTGCCGAACACGAATAATCATGCCAACAAGTTATTCAGTTTTATTAAAATCGATATTTGGGCTCAAAATAGTAGGCGACATCGTCCCCAAAACCATGGATAAATCTCCCCACAAAGTCCAGGTTGATCTTCGATGTCATCATCACATCGCTGTTCATTTATTCAGGTGCAAAGTTATCCTCAAGACATGGAATTATCTATTTTAACACAAAATTCTAGAAGAAACACATGCGAGACTGGAAGGGAAACTTTAAATTTAGGTTGTAAAGAATACCTAGATGCCCATTTCAACATTTTTATTTGTGAATTGTGCCAAAAACAATTTAAAAACATCACAGTTATGTTTAAAATGATTAAAAAGAAAATAAAACCAAAAACATTTTCAAAATATAGTGACGAAATCTACAGGGTTCCCGCGGTCCTTGAAAATCCTTGAATATCCTTAAATTTCGCGGAAATAGGAAAATATCCCTGAATTTCAGTTGAGATCCTTAATTTTGTTTCAAATGTCTTCAATTCCTTTTAAGGCCACACAAAATAAATGTCTTGTTTCTCGGGCAACTGACAGCTGAAACTGTAGGGAGGGAGGGCGGTTTCTTTTTTTTTTTTACTCATTGATGGTGCAAAATAAAATTTGGCTATTGCTGAAAATTGTTGGGGCGGGAGGGCGGTCTTTCTTTTTTTTTTTTTTAAATGAGAAAGTCATTACTTGTTTACGTTTTTGCTTTCCGTTATATTCAACTTTATTGTACATACTTAAAACATAAACCCAAAATCAAGTCTACTAAAACACTGAGACTGAACACTGACTGAAAGGAAAATAATTTTCCATATTTAATTCACATAATTGAAATTGGTTTAAAATAAAATTCCATACGACTATGTAATAGCCCTCCATAAAGACAACAATATTTTTAAAAACTAAGCCTCTTTCACCAGGTGTATCAAAAATAATAATCATGGTAAACAGTATTTAAAACTAAATCTAGTATCGCCGGTTTATTTATAATTATTTACCGAATTCCAACCAATGCATGTCACACCGTGTCATCGGTATTGGAGATTGCCGGAAATACTGTTTCTTGGGATATTCGGTGTGTTTCTCAGGATATTCGGTGTTCTATCCGGTGTTTATATTGAATGACTATTTAAATCTAACTAACAACTGGTCAGTAAAACCATCAAATCGGTAATCCAATTATTATTTTCCGGATTATCGAAACTACCGTAAATGTGCTAATAATGACCCAGATTCTAAGGTATGCATTATGACGACTATCGTCATCGTATCGTATTCTTAGCTATAATTAATTAACCTGTTCTACGGTTCATTATTTTATCAATAGGATTTTCCAAACAAGGACCGACTGAAGCCGGCAATAATGAGCCGATTACGATCGAATGATTGAAATATTGTCGCCAATGACTTTTAACACGAATCAAATTCTAGTTTATCAGGGGAGGTAATTAATATCACGTGATACAAAATGGAGGTTCTTTCGATATCAATAAAAAAGGCAAATCTGCCAAACTTCGCCATTGTTCGGATAAAAAAGACAGCATGTTCATCTGAATCAGTTTTAATACATTTGAATAGATATACATGTATGGCGGATGTAGGTACATGCGGGATATTTTTTTTACGACTTGCTTGTCGATGTGCGGGCGGGCGTTACATATTTATTTTTTTTCATCAAGACTAATAAATAGACTGCACGCGCAACCAATTTTGCGTGCGGGCGGTGCCCGAGAAACAAGTTATTTTATTTGTGTCGCCTAAATATGAGATTATAACGATAGTTGGTAATGTTTTGGTTATTTTTAAGATGAAAAATTGTAACTTTAGGCTAAAAAATGTCCTTGAAAATCCTTGAATTTGACGTATATTTATCCTTGAATATCCTTGAAAAATGTTTGACGAAGCCGCGGGAACCCTGATCTAATGCTTTTGTCTCCATTACTATTAGAACATTATTTCATGTAACTTGATAGTAAATAAATAATACGCACACAAGCTGACTTTACGTGGCATAATTTGTGATTGAAAAGTATTATCGAAAGCCCAGTATCGTTGTGTCAACGTTCAGTGGACTACCTACAATGTACTACTAGTGACTAGATCGTAATTTGAGCAAAACAATAAATTTGTGGCGCTGTCAAAATAACATGTATGATATCTAAACAAATGGTATTCCATGCTTTTTATTTAAAAACATTTAGCCTATAAACAGTGTTTATTTATAATTTATACATCTTTGAGTTTGAATTTAATGTAAACTAGATATAAAAATTTGGCAGTGTTAAAAAAAACTCCCGCAAAATATGTGGCAAATTCATTTTATCACTCCAGTTTGATTTTCAGATCTCATGGCCTGAAGTATTGAATAGCATTCTTTAAGTGTTTATGTCATGGTGGTGTTTACTTTCATTAATTGTCCCCCGCCTTTCGAAGAAAGCAGGGGACTATTAAAATGGGTTCGTCCGTCTGTCTGGCTGTCCGTCTGTCTGTCCGTCACACTTTTTGGGACACAATAACTCTCTTCCTAATTGAGCTAGAATGTTCAAACTTGGTGTATGTGTTTATTAGGTCAATGCCTTGATGGAGTTCGAAGATGAGCATTTTCCGCTTAGGGTAAGCAGAGATAAGCAATTTGATTGGTTGATGCTTTGGGACACGATAACTCTCTTCCTAATTGGGCTAGAATGTTCAAACTTGGTGTATGTGTTGATTAGGTCAATGCCTTGATGGAGTTCGAAGATGAGCATTTTCCGCTTAGGGTAAGCAGAGATAAGCAATTTGATTGGTTGATGCTTTGGGACACGATAACTTTTAATTGAGCTAGAATGTTCAAACTTGGTGTATGTGTTTATTAGGTCAATGCCTTGATGGAGTTCGAAGATGAGCATTTTCCGCTTAGGGTAAGCAGAGATAAGCAATTTGATTGGTTGATACTTTGGGGCACGATAACTCTCTTCATAATTGAGCTAGAATGTTCAAACTTGGTGTATGTGTTGATTAGGTCAATGTCTTGATGGAGTTCGAAGATGAGCATTTTCCGCTTAGGGTAAGCAGAGATAAGCAATTTGATTGGTTGATGCTTTGGGACACGATAACTTTAGTTCTAATTAAGTGAGATTGATGAAACTTGGTGTATAGTTTCATTACAGTAATACCTTGACTAAGTTTGATAATGAGCATTTTCTGCTCAGGGTAAGCAGAGCGATACGCAATTTGATTGGTCGAGACTTTGGAAAACAATAACTCTCCTACTTTGATTGTCCCCCGCCTTTCGAAGAAAGCAGGGAACTATTAAAATGGGTTCGTCCGTCTGTCTGTTTGTCTGTCTGTCCGTTCCGCTTATGGTAAGCAGAGATAAACAATTTGATTGGTTGATCTTCGAATTGAGTAAATGTTCATGCTTATTGTCCCCCGCCTTTCGAAGAAAGCAGGGAACTATTAAAATGGGTTCGTCCGTCTGTCTGTTTGTCTGTCCGTTCCGCTTAGGGTAAGCAGAGATAAACAATTTGATTGGAAGCTCGTTTATATAGTTTATGCTTTAGTTCTTGAAGAAGCTTTCCAATGTATTACCCCTGTAATTCCTCCTCTTTTATCTGTACAATATTTTCGAAAAAAATGAAACGAAATCCACTTATGTATACATTTAGGTTACATTATAGCCTACATGTCCCGACTCAACTTGCCACATTACATGTCATAATATTATAACCAGGTATTGATAAAAGCATCAATTGAGCAATTCCAATACAATCCAATACAATGAATATAGGCAAGGTAAATAAACAAATAAATGGAAAAAACAAATTGAAAAAGAAACTATTATAAATTAATTAAATATGTAGTATGCAATAATGAATTGACATTTAATGACAGAAAGAAAACAGTGAACTTTGCACAACTTGCAGCAAGATGGAAAATAGACCCGTTGATACAACCAAACTCTAGATCTGTAGGCATAGAGCATGTTTTCCCCTTAATATGCTATAATTATTCCATCAAAAACATTGTATGCTTAGACTATAAGTAAAGATATACTGTTTGATTGTTCAATACTTTGTAAAAGATAATTTGTGATAAATTTATATGTGTCCTCTAATTATTTTCCTATTTCGGCGGGGGACATCAGCCTCACTGTTGGCTTGTTTTCCTTGTTTTGAGGATGTGGAGCAGTTACAGTAATGTAGAATATTGATTTGTTTGCCTTTTTGTCCTATTTATTATTAAAATTAAAGCATGAAGCTTTTAAAAATTAATTTCAGATCTTTTGTTCATCGTTGTGGAAGAACAGCTAGAATTGGTAACCGTGGAAATGCATTAGTAATGTTATTACCTGCAGAAGAAACATATATAACTTTCCTGAAAATAAATCAGAGGGTAAAATTCTTTATACATATAGTTTCTGAAATTTTATAAAAGATGCATTATATAAAATTTAGATAAACAGCTGGATGTTTTTGCTATAATAGTTTAAAAATAGATAATGAAAAACAAAAATATTGAAAATTTTAGTCAAATTATTTTATTCTTAGCAAAGCTATGAATGTTTTGTTGACAATAGTCCTGATTGACAAGTATCATTGCCACGATAATAAACAAAGTCTTGATTTTCAGTCCTTCAATAGGCAGTTTCTGTAATTGGCATCCATATTAACGTTTCATGAAGATATGGCAGATATTGTCTAATCGACTTGATATCTAAGCCATCCGATGATCTAGATTGTTGATTATGGGCTTGTAATGTGAATAATAATCATTTATATAAAATTTTAAACCAACTAAAAGACAAGCAATTTTTTGCATCCAAAAGTTGTTAATGATGTGCTTATATTTTAGAATTACAAATAGCAGTAGGAAACAAAACGGGTATTTTTTCCATGAATAATTTATTTAATTATTAAATTTTATTTATAGACGCCTATGCTAGAGATGGAAAAATCATTAGATGCTGCCAATATTTTACCTAAATTAAAGAAATTTGCCAAGAGAGATAGGTATGTACAATACTTTACAAACATTGTCACATTTAATCAGACCCTCTAATACAACCCCTGCATGCAAAGTCTTCAGTGCTAGCTCTAAATTCATTGTCAAGAAATCCCACAAGGCTAGTTAAAAAAAAAAAAACCCTGTTCCAATCATGAATGGAAATATAACTCGCATGAAATCTACGATCCGTTTCTGCTATACCACAATGCATAATTCCACCAAGTTTATAAAAATGTTCACAGGTTAACGTCAATTGGAAGATAAAACAGTGTATTACTCTGAAAAATTCAGTTGGTTTTTGACGGAAAAAAAGTAAAGAATTCTGACCTGTAGAGTGGTCACAAGAAATTGTGGCCGGTCGAAAATATATGTTCGTTTTCAAATGTATGCTTATTAAATCCAACTGCTCTATTGTACTAATTGTAGTGTTTAACATGAATATTTTTCAGGTCTCTTTATGAAAATGGCATGAAAGCATTTGTGTCTTTTATACAGTTTTATGGTAAACATGAATGCAGTATGATATTTAAAACAAAAGGTAACATAAAACTAAGCATATCTTATGGGTGCACAAATTTTTTTTTTTCGGAAATGTTCGTGTGTCAAAATGTTTGTATGATATTATAAAGCACCAGTGTTCCGATGAACATTTGACGTAAAATATAGTAACAATGATCCTAAAGGGCTATAACCATCAGGGCTGACCTTATAATACACAAATCAAATTGTTTTTCGATGCTCATAGAATTACGGATGATTGATTTGGTACAGATGTTGTCACCAATAGAGCATGTCAAGGTGAAAATGATGTTTTAAAATTGACTATGGTAAGCATATATATACGGCAATACAACATAAAATACAGTCTCAAAATAATTTTTTTTCTGACATATATTGTAATTATATAAAAATAAACTGTATTGATGACTTATATTTATTACAGAATTAGATATAGGACAATTAGCTACAGGTTATGCTTTATTACGTCTGCCTAAAATGCCTGAATTAAAAGGTAAAACTATTATAAATTTTGAAGAAGAAGATGTTAATCCAGAAACCATTATGTACAAGTGAGTGTAGAATTAAAAAATATAAAGTGGCTATAATATTTGAGAGGGATATTAGGCCACACAAAATAAATGTCTTGTTTCTCGGGCAACTGACATCTGAAACTGTAGGGAGGGAGGGCGGTTTCTTTTTTTTTTTTTACTCATTGATGGTGCAAAATAAAATTTGGCTATTGCTGAAAATTGTTGGGGCGGGAGGGCGGTCTTTCTTTTTTTTTTTTTTTAAATGAGAAAGTCATTACTTGTTTACGTTTTTGCTTTCCGTTATATTCAACTTTATTGTACATACTTAAAACATAAACCCAAAATCAAGTCTACTAAAACACTGAGACTGAACACTGACTGAAAGGAAAATAATTTTCCATATTTAATTCACATAATTGAAATTGGTTTAAAATAAAATTCCATACGACTATGTAATAGCCCTCCATAAAGTAAGGATGTAAACGGTTACTCGGTTGACCGGTTACGGTTCGGTTCTGCAACCAGACCGGTTCGATATTCCTGTGACCGTTATTCGTTCTATATAACAATGTCAGTGTATATCGACCTAGTAGTAAACTAGCATTAGCCCAGGCTCTCTTGTTCATATTACACGTTGATACAAAAATTTCCCGGTAATAAAACGGTCGTGTTCGCTGCTCGAAAACGTAGTAGAAAAATTATGCCGTAAACAAAGTATCTTTCGTCCCTCTGGCATGTGGCCAAATGGTATAATCTTTTCGTCATTTCATTGGCTCGATGGGGTCACATGTTCAGTCACGTGTGGTAAACATACAAATTTTATAGTATTAGCTTTTAATACGGCAATATTTATAAATATAAATTATGTAAGTTATAATAATGTTTTGACCGTGATCTAAGACTCTCCAGAAAAGAGCGACTTATTGCGTTGTATCTTCGGGCTGGGTAATCTTGACTACAGGTTGACTATTAAATGCGTATGAAAATGAAAGTAATGCCGTGCGCGCGAATAAAGACGTCGAATTAAATATTTTATTAATGGATTACATTATAACATTGCACATTGAGATGGAGGTAGGTGGGGCCATAGAATATTCCTATATTTATAACGGGTCGAACACTAATAATATTGTATCAATTTTCCGATCTGTCACACAACGGCATGTGCTACTGGGCGAGTGACGACCACGTGAGACCATGACCTTTTTGACTGTTAGACGACGCAATGTTTCCTTCCGAGAAATTTGAATGAAAAACAAAATAAGCTGCAATAAATAAACTCTTCTTATATTCAAAACGAAGTTAAACAGTGTGAAAAAGTAAACTTTAATCCTGCGTACGGTCCGGCGATTAATAACTCTGCAACTAAAAAGTGAATCGGTTGACCGGTCACGGTCGGTTTTTTGGTCGGTTTTTTGCCCATCGGTTAACCGGTTCAATTTTTTTTGACTCGTTACATCCTTACCATAAAGACAACAATATTTTTAAAAACTAAGCCTCTTTCACCAGGTGTATCAAAAATAATAATCATGGTAAACAGTATTTAAAACTAAATCTAGTATCGCCGGTTTATTTATAATTATTTACCGAATTCCAACCAATGCATGTCACACCGTGTCATCGGTATTGGAGATTGCCGGAAATACTGTTTCTTGGGATATTCGGTGTGTTTCTCAGGATATTCGGTGTTCTATCCGGTGTTTATATTGAATGACTATTTAAATCTAACTAACAACTGGTCAGTAAAACCATCAAATCGGTAATCCAATTATTATTTTCCGGATTATCGAAACTACCGTAAATGTGCTAATAATGACCCAGATTCTAAGGTATGCATTCTGACGACTATCGTCATCGTATCGTATTCTTAGCTATAATTAATTAACCTGTTCTACGGTTCATTATTTTATCAATAGGATTTTCCAAACAAGGACCGACTGAAGCCGGCAATAATGAGCCGATTACGATCGAATGATTGAAATATTGTCGCCAATGACTTTTAACACGAATCAAATTCTAGTTTATCAGGGGAGGTAATTAATATCACGTGATACAAAATGGAGGTTCTTTCGATATCAATAAAAAAGGCAAATCTACCAAACTTCGCCATTGTTCGGATAAAAAAGACAGCATGTTCATCTGAATCAGTTTTAATACATTTGAATAGATATACATGTATGGCGGATGTAGGTACATGCGGGATATTTTTTTTACGACTTGCTTGTCGATGTGCGGGCGGGCGTTACATATTTATTTTTTTTCATCAAGACTAATAAATAGACTGCACGCGCAACCAATTTTGCGTGCGGGCGGTGCCCGAGAAACAAGTTATTTTATTTGTGTTGCCTTATAATAAACTCATTGGGATAGTATTCTTTTAGTAACTGGGTAGATTAATAAACTATAACACATATTTATTGAAAACAGCTATTGCTTTATTTAGGTGAGGTTTCAAATAGTATTCTCATAACACAATAGAAGCAACTATGTATAGACTAAACTACAACAACAAAACTGAAACCATACATGGCAACAAGATCAAAGGCCTATGACACAATGGGGTTATCATATACAATAACAAGATAAAAGAGACTAATTAACTTTCCTATAGCTGCTGAGTAGTGCTGATATGGGCATAGGTTTTTCATATTGTAGAAATAACAATATTGATATCAAGTCGGATTAGTCCCAACACCATAATGGTCAGTGATACTGTATGAACTGTGTCCTCTGGCCATGGTAATTTCAAGAATGTAGGTGTTAAAACTTTTTATGTTAGATTTGAAATCCTTTGAAAGAGCCAAATAGAGCAGATCAAGTCATAATTATTAGGACCCTGTACATAACGCTAATGCTAGCGTCCAGTCCCTCCACCTGTGGCAATCATTCATAAATTATAAATGTTAAAATTGCATGCAAATAATTTTTTGTTTTTAGAGATAAATCCAGAGAAAAACTAAGACAAGAAGAAATAAAGAAAAGAGAAGCTGGAGAAATAACAAAGAAGGGTAGAAGTTTTAAGGTAAGTTCAACAAAGTTAAAGTCAGTGCTCAAATTGTCAGTCCTGAACATTCCAAATTTACAGAATTGCAATTGAGTGACACAGAATTGAGTTCTTTCACAGATGTGGTTTGAGCAGCAGCAGGATGTAATCAACTGTTAAAGCTATGGAGGTTGAAGAAGATCATGTACCGGTAATAAGTAGTTGCCACATGTCTTGATGCCTTCAATTCTAGTGTTTACTTGATTGACACCTTTTGATGGATTGTGAGAATCAGCTTTGTATCCCCAAAGAGAACATAATGACCAATTGAGTTTTCAGTTCTAAACATCCTTTGTGTATTCATTATATTTGTTTCAGTCCAAGCCATGGTCGAATCAAATTGTCAGAAAGGAAAAAAGACAACAGAACCGTGAAAGAAGAGCAAGAAAAAAGAAGAGGAAGATAGAGTTAGATCAGGGAGAGTTAGATGAATTAGATAAAGATATTAAACTAATGAAAAAATTAAAAACAGGAAAGGTAAGATCACATAATATGGCTTATTGGACGAAAAAATTACTTTTTTTTTTATATGCCCTCATTTAAATGTCTATCTGTTGTCCAATTGACTTGATATTTATTGACACTGCTGTAGTGATTTCTAGTAATTACTTTCAGAGTTATGGACCTTGATCACTTTCAGTTCAAGAGTTGGAAAAGGCTTGTGTGTGTTCTATAGGCTTATACACTGTTTATGTTCATGTGGCAAGGAAGTTTATTGATTTTCAAAAATTTTTGATAATTATCTTTTAAATTGAGGCCTGTGGATGCTCAAGTTATCATCCAATTGGCTTGGTATTGTTACATACATTTGGTTTAGAGAGGTTTTAATGCAAATTTGAGAACCCACCATATACTAGCAAATGTCTCGCATCCAACATGTCTTATCAGAAAACAGAATCTAAATGCATCTGCAAGAATTTAACTTTTCTCCTAATTGTATTGGCTTTTCTAAACACATATACACATTTAGTGAAACTTAATGCCTAAATGTCTATCACATAAATTCCTATGCTTTTCAGGTATCTGAAGAAGAATTTGCAAAAGATTTTGATGAAATGGAAGAAAAGAAGGTCATTGGTGTTAAATGAATTTCACAATCATATAAATTTAACTCTAGACTGTGATATGAACATTAGTACTATCTAAAAATAAAACAAAATTATCTATAAATACCAACAGTGTTGTTTAGGTTGATTTGATGATTAAAAAGGTGAAATGTCTTTAATGGCTGTATTCAATCTCTAGTCAAATAAACTGTTTCAGTTTCTATTTTGGTGGTTTAAAGGACAATGTTGGTGTCTACCAATATTACGTAAGTTATAGAACTGGTAAACACATTCCAAATATAATTTTAACACAGAGATTTTGCTAACAAAAAATTGAAGAATCGGGAACTGACACAACAAAAGAAAGCAGTTACCATTACTGGCTGAAGTAGAAAACGATAACAATTTTCAGGTCACTGATAGTTTCTTTGAAGACGAAGAGTTTTTATAAGACACTGAGAATAATTGTTTGAAACCAACTATTCATAAATAGAGAAAATTAGAAAAAGTCGGTGCATTACCTTGTTTTGATTAATTGGATGGAGCAAATGTTAAATCTTTTCATCTTCTCATAAACCTCTTGATGCATTATTTGTTCAAATAAAGTTGCATGGTCCCATACATAATTATGGGGTAAATTTAGAAATATTTGATATCTTCCCTTAAACCACTGGATGTACCTTGCTTGGTTGGTTTATATTTATGTTTGTTAAAATAAAGTCCCATGACCATTGAAATAGTGGAGGCCCACCCTGGAGGAGCAAGGTTAGATACTTTCAACTTAAAACTGTAAAAATGTGGTTGGCCCGGTACTTAGACACAGGGGCTAATGGATTTTCTTCTCATCAGAAATGAAATGGCATTAACATCCAGTATGCTATAAGAGAAAAATTTTCTTGGACAGTGGCGCTACAGCTTACACATATGTCAAAATCCAACAGCTAAGGGATATTTTAAGTGCATGCAAATGTGTACACAGGACCTTAGGTTTTTCATTCCATCCAAATGACTGAATGTTGTCCCTTGCCAGGCCCTCTGTCCCGTTCTTCTCATCAGCATAATGGATTTTAACATTTAGGACATAAAGAAAAAATATATCTCGATTAAGACATTAAATTTATCTTTATTTTATTAGAAAACACATTTATTTAAAACAGCAGTATTAATAACAGATGTCATGTATAAATGTTTTTGTATAAAGAAAGGGTGTATTTAGGGAATATCTCTTTATAACTTAATAAATGAATTTACTGTCAGGATTTGATCTTCTTGTTCAGTAGTGAATGCAGTAATATTCCTGTAAGAAGAAAAAGTTTTTCACTAATAATACATCAACCAATAAACATCTCTCCAATGATATCAAAGATCTTAAATACATGTCAAGTCAATGGCATATCTATTTTGTCTTTCTCAAAAAGCAACTGCCCAGGCATCATATGCATCCAGTGCTTTTTGTTCCTTCTCAGTGATATTATTTCAGTGAATAAGTAAATTGGAAAAGAAACTTATTGAAATAATACTGGAATAATGTTACTAATGACTTCATGAAAATTGACATGCCTGTAGTAACTGAAACGTTTAAGGAACTGACTATATTTGCTTCTTGTGTGCCTGGAGTGATGGTAAATAATGTGTCACAAGTATCCAGTATTTCTTGTTCTACACCATAACCTTCATTACCTGAAAGATGAACAGATTTTATGTATAAATGTTCTTCTCTAGAAAAGAACTATCCTGGTAAATTATAATAAAATGTTTACATCAATTAATAAGCTTTTTTCACTTTTTAATATTAATAGGATTTAGGGTAATCATACAATTATGGTTAATAGTTGTTTTCTACTAACTGACTGAAATGTTTCATGTTAAAACCTCTGAGACACAGACACCCCATGCCAAATTATCGAGAAGAAAGCACTTCACGGAAGTCGGTTACAAAACGATAAGATATAATTTGTAGTAATAATGAACCTACCCATGATCAGAAGTATGGGTGTATTAAAACTGTACTCTGTAACTGATTCAGATTTAGGATGTTGACTAGAAGTTGTTCCTATAACAGATCCACCACAAGATTTCCATAGCTATAATATTCAAACTTTACATGAGCTTCCAATTAATGGTTAGGCAGATACAAATTTAGTTTGGGTTATTCTTTAATTGAAGGCTATAAATTTACAATGTTGTAGGAAACAAATTTGAGCTAGAACTGAAATTTTAAAGGAGATTTGTAAACGGGATACACTTTAGATCATTTCGTATAAATCTAATACATGTACATCGACTTAGTATTTTGTATAACTGTACTACATACCTGAATAAAAGATAGATAACTCTTTCGACCTTGAGATAAATTATTTAAAGTCATTACTTCCATAGCACCTGCACTTGCTTTACTCACAACAGAATTCATTTTACAACTACAAGATAATTAAACAACTGAATTATCAAAGCTCTTATTAATACAGTACTTTTTATTTCATTGATATTAGTAAAATGTATGTCCTATTAAAAGTTAAGAAATGAAAACATAAGATAGCCCATGAATATATTAATAATTTCAGGGCCTCTAATTTTGGTAAAATATAAAACATGTTGACTTTCTTGGATTTTATATGTTGATTTGTTTTATTTGATGATGGTTTTGTGTTCCGTTATCAACACAGGAGGCCAAAAATTATCTGCCGAAATAAAAATTTAACCCATTGTTAATTTAAATAGAACACCAGATCAATTCTCTAATTAAAGGAGCTAAATCGCTAACATTTGGGACCTAGAAATTGACACAAGTGGGTCGGAACTCATATAATACTGTAATATGAATGTATATAAACTGATATACATTCAATGGTTTCCATTTTTACTCTAATTTCAAATCAGTTATGTTCCGCGAAATAAGCCAGCAGTCTCAATCGAATGCAATTTTCTAGCGCCTGGTTATTCCAGTCTACATACGCCGTTTGGTTTGGTGCAATATGTCCAGCCTCGTTCCTCAAGTCTCTTGCTAGAACTGGGGCTGAAACGCATTATAGTACACGATTCGTGTACCAATGGTAAAATGTTTATTTTGTCTTAAATATTGGATATCAGAAGCCCGTCTTTTTCCGGTAAGAACACAGCATCAATGTTGATTTAAATTGACAAATAATTTGTGTTTTCAATGTTGAAGATTTTGGATGATATTGAGTTAGAGACTTAGCTACTTTAAAAGAAAGTTGGACCTGTTGGCATTTTCTCTACAAGGGTTACCCCGTCCTATCACTGTGAGGCCAAGCAAATTTATTTTACAATGATCTTGTTCAAGTTGTAAATTTGCTACTGGGGTCAATCAACTTCATTTGAACAAATTGCAATAATTCAAGCACTATACTTACAAAAAATGTTTGAAATCCGTTGAGGATTTTAGGAGAATATGTAGATATAGAGTCACTTTGTTAATACATGTGAATATATTGTCCTACCTCTTTTCTGTTGTAAGAATTACTTTATCTACACCCATGAAATGAGCTGTTCGTAGAATTGCACCGACATTCATAGGATCCTTAAAAAAAAAGTTTCATAGTCTTGCTTTTATATAAACGTTATTTTTTTAATTCTAGGATTGAGAAATAGACGAAGCCTATATAATCCTTTTCCTTAACAGTTTTAAACAGAATTATCACTTTATACTGGTAATTTAGATACATTTGTCATTCATCTTTTACCACATAAATGTTGTTTTAATTATACAAAATTAACATAGACAGAACCCACGAGAATTTGTCTGTATAAAAATGAACGTTTTGTATTTGATTGGACCATAAACAGTATCTATATACCTGAATTTCATACAACAACAGCCAGATAGGATAAGGACTTAAATTTGTTCTGTCATTACTTAAGCTGAAAAAACAAAAACAGTTTCTTATTATCAGTTAACATAAATGGAGGCTTCCCAGAACCTGTGTTCACCCAAGAGCAACAAAGTCATCTATGCAAAATCTACAATTAATGTCAACTAATCCCACAGAGCAAGGTTTAAAAAATATATTATGATCTTTTTACTAAGCTTTTAAAAGTAATATGATTGGAAAAGTAACTCTGTTAAATGCATTTGAAATTTATAATCTCAAAATCTTCCCTGATACCCCAATGAAGAATTTATGCTTTAACTCTGTGATTTGCAATCTAACCAGTGGTTGCCAGGCAAGTTACGCCCATATTTTGCAAGAGATGGATAGCAACAAGTGAAAAAACAATTCCCGAAAAATATGGTCTGAAACGCGCAAATATCAAAAGGGACTGAGACCTTTGGGATATTAAGATATATTTTAAGTTTCATCAAAATTAGATAAAAATTGTGACCTCTAGAGGGTCCACAAACTTTGCATTACATACTTTTACACAATTTGTGTAAAAAGAGCAGCCGTTTTATTCGAATTCAACATACATTATGATGGAATGGTGATATATTTCACAGTTTTTAAAATCGGATAAAAAAAAATTGTGACCTCTTGAGAATCCACAAGCTAAAAATGCGACTTTTCAAACAATCTGGGGCCATAATCCAGGAAGTTACGTTCAGATATGTGCGATTATCAAAAGGAACCAAGATCTTTGTGACATAAACATAAATTTAAAGTTTCATCAAAATTGGATAAAAATTCCTCTAGAGGGTCCACAACCTCGATATACCAGATGTTTACACTCTTTGCCTACGAAGGGCGGCAATTTTGTCCGGTAGTTCTGATCTGATTTTCACAAAATTCGAACACAACCAACATTACAGTGTAACGGTGATATAATTCAGGAAGTTGCAATCCGATATGCGTAAATATCAAAAGGAACCAAGATCTTTGGGTTATAAACATGCATTTAATATTTCATCAAAATCGGGTGACAATTGTGACCACTAGAGTGTCCACAAACTAAAAACATGATTTTTCGTACAATTAGGGGCCATAATCCATGAAGTTATGGTCCGATACATGCCAATATTGAAAGGAAGCAAGATCTTTGGGAGATAAGACCTATATTTCAGGTTTCGTCAAAATCGGATAAAAATTGTGACCGTTAGAGTGTCCACAAACAAATTGTGGAAGGACAGACGTCCGGATGCACAGGGGTAACAGCATAAAAATTCTGAATTTATAAAGTGTCTTCCTTTTCATTATGTTTTTTGTAAAAATCCATTGAGACCTAGTATATGGAGATCTAGTATAAGACAAACTAAATATTCATGTAATCACAATAATACATTTATATACCTAAACAAAAACAGTTATCTCATGTTTTAGAAGTTAGATACGGAAATGTAAATCTGAATAACACATTTCAACTTTTAAGAGGGTTCTTCCTTTTACCTTACTGAAAAATCCTACTGAGATTAAAAGCTTTTCTTCGTGTTGACAAGTTAAGTTGTCGCAAGTTTTAATGTAAATGGGAAGATGCTTGTGTTTGCTTGAAGACTAATCAAAGTAGTTAAAACCAATTGCATCATGCAAACTGGCATGTCATTGCATGATATATAGAATTATTCAAAGTGTATCTAGTGTTTTAAATTGAAATCCATCTCATTTTCTACATTTGAGTGATATTTGTATCAGAACAGAAAAGAACACATACTTGTACTTTGGTGGTAATTTCTCCATTTGGTTTGCCATTTACCTCCGATATTAACATTGGGTAGCACAATTTACCCAAATCTACCATTATTTCAACTCATATCATAATAATTTATATTGATAATATACCGTTCTTTATACCAAATTGTCAATTTTAATTTAAAAACTAAAGTTTTTGTGTCCAAATGCCTCTCAAAATGCAATTTGCAAACAAATTTGGAGGTCATAACCAAATCTACCATTATTTCAAATCATCACAATAATGTATATATCGATATTTGATAATATACTGTTCTATATGCCAAATTGTCCATTTTTATTAAAGATGGGTTGCCAGGCAACGAAACATACGCCTACAGCAGCTATATCGTCCGGGCAGTCAACAAGAGTTGGCACATATTTTATAGGCTTCTTCGTCTCATGAGCTTAAACACTGTGTATAAATTTAAAGTCAATCAGATATTAACTTTAGCCTCTAGATTGTCCACAAGATTTTTCAAAGTGATCATGGGCCATAACTCTGGCAGTAATTATCGGAAATCGATGAAAATCTAGGCTTCTTTGTCTCATGACCTTATACACTGTGTAAAAATTTAAAGTCAATCGGATATTAACTTTGTCCTCCAGAGCGTCCACAAGATTTTTTGAAGTGATCAAGGGCCATAACTCTGGTAGTAATTATCAAAAATCGTTGAAAATCAATAGGCTTCTTTGTCTCATGACCTTAAACACTGTGTATAAATTTAAAGTCAATCGGATATTAACTTTGACCTCTAGAGCGTCCATAAGATTATCGAAAATCGCTGAAAATCAACAGACTTCTTCGTCTCATGATCTTAAACACTGTGTATAAATTTAAAGTCAATCGGATATGAACTTTAGCCTATAGAGCGTCCACAAGCAATTGTGGGCGACGGACCAACGGACAGGGGTGACAACAATATACGACCACATTTCAATGTGGGCGTATAAAAATGCCTCTCAAAATGCAATTTCCAAGTAAGTTTGGAATTTGTAACCAAGAGACATAACTCGTGTATTACACAAAATCACATGTATGGAAATTGCATCTTGTGAGCCATTTTGTTGCCACAAAAACTCTACAATTTAAAATTTGGGGAGTCATGGTGGGTAAGACGTTAGCAAAGTACAACTTATAGTCATTCTGATGGGAAGGAAAATCAAGGTCCCATGTGTAAAATTACCAATTGAGGTGGAATTTGGAATCTGTAGCGCCACTGTCCAGGCAAAATTTCCTCATAGCACACTGCATGGCATATGCCTGTCTTCATTAGCCCAGTTGTAGCAGAACAGTAGGACCGTACAGTAAACCCCATTTTATTTCATTTCAAATATGGATATAAACTATTATGAGTTGAAATATTGGTGGATTTTGGTGGATTTAGGTACATTGTGACACCATATAAAATCTATATACCTATCTCTGATCTGTTTCTCATCACCAGAAAATCTAGAAACTGGAAATTTACCTGCATCTAAACAGACTCCCTATAACATGAAAAGTTTCTATTAGTTACTGCCAAATTAACAATTAAACATACATTATGCAAGAGCTAAATCTGTCTATTGTAGGTCTTTCTTTAGGCCTGAAATGTTATCTAAATTATTAATTAGACATTAATTAACTTATACAGACCATAATCAACTCTAGATGGCATCGCTAGCCTGCGATCTTAAGTGGATTGTGATCCGATTTACTGCATAACTTTCCTTCTCGATTAAATGATTAAATGGATAATCGAGACTATGCTAACATACTGACTTTAGTAATGATGACCGAGGTTAGGCAGAAATTTTATTCGCTAATTAGTTCTCGGTTCATAGTGGATCAATTTGAATGAAATTTTCAGCAAATTGCCTTTATGTTATCTAGTTTTTAATTATTATAGTGAGAACTGTCAACTCGTTATTGAATCTCCCATAATGTATCTTTAATGAATTTAAAAATCAAATTTCATATAATAGAAAGCAGCTTTGTATATATTGTAACCAGAAAATGACAAGAGTTTTTATGTCAGTTTTTCATATAGAAATAAGGAAACACATTTTACAATGATCAACGAAACAACCTATGCTAAAGAAGATTAACAAATAAAAAAATCATGGGATATGGACTAGTGGGTACAATTTTTTCTCTACCAATAGTTAATAAAAATAGCCTATACCTGATTTGGTCTTTGTCCAGATAGAGCAGCTAATACACCTGCTTTGACATAACTTATTAAAATATTTCTTTCTGTTGCTATTTCTTTAATTATTTGAACTCCCTCATTATCGTTATCAATATCCCATGCTTCCTGTTTGATATATAAACGATGAAATTTTTCTCTACGACCATTTTTTAGTGCCAACAAAACAGGGTTTATACCAAATAAAACTTCTGCTTTCGGTTTTAAGTTGTCTGGGACAAAATATTGTTTTCTGAAAGAAAATGGAATGAAAATGTTATTAAAGAAGCTATGGTACGGTACCATATCGAAATTTCAAATATCTACCATTCAGGTTCATTTGTTTTGTTCATTTACCTTCTGCACTAAAAGGTGATTAAAATTAAGAATTTTTGTAAGGACTGGTGTATCAGAAAACAATTTCTTCACAATAACTGCTCCCTTAAAATGACTTACCTCCCTTTCTTTCCACACCCCGTTAGTCCATGGTTATATGGTGGATTCGAGATGAATTTTCTGGACGTTTTGCAGAAATATTCCCCTCTCAGGCCACAAAAACACTTATTTACAAAAGTCATATCTGCAAGTGCAAGCGTCACTACAAGTTCATGTTATTTAACTAGTTAATGAATTTCCGTCAGAAATAAATTATTGTTGACAATGAATGTTGATTTTAGTCTACCATACTTTTTTCAGTACCGTGAACTAATTATTCTGTGCCAAATGTTTACTGTGGGCGCTGCCATCTTTCAGGGGGAATTCATTGTTTCGGTCTTTCCCTATTTCAGAAGAAACAGTAAGTAATGGGTAAAAAAAAAAAATGTTTTCTCACCTTCTAAAGATAAACAGGTACTGACTGTATTTGAAATCGTAAAATACTTGATTTTTATCCTTTCACATGGAATCAAGAACATGCTCGTCGCTGCTGCCGACACAGTTCTCAGGAATCATAAAATTACGGCCGCAAACTTTCAGTTTTATCTTAAACCATGAATCCATGCATAAACAGAGAGAGATTGGGATTTAACGACAATACACACTACACACTAGCTCATTTCGGGACTAACATGTTTCAACTTTATTTCAATAATTCACTTGCGCTTAGGTGTCTTTAGGAGTGTGAGAAAACCCACGAGAATGGACAGGCATCCCTACTCCTTGTCACGTATAAGCAGGGAATCGAAACCACGCCACTTGACTGAATGGCAGTTCACAGACCTTACGATTGAACATGCATACGTTAAAACTATTCAGCCAGTACCCAACTTGGACCCCCTTATAAATAAAGACCACTTACCAAATTAAATATTTCATGGGTGCAGAAGGTGATTCTATTTCCCAGACTGGAGTGAATATTTGTTGGATCAACTATTCCCATGCAGGAAATATGACCAACCGGCAAACAGTAGACTAGAAACACCACTTAAATGAACAATGACACAGGGAATTTTTATTTCAAATCATTTGGGCTGTCAAAAAAACAATGTTGTTTTGGGGTATTTATATATTGGTGTGAGGAGCCCCTTTTAATATCACTGGTTATAAAAGAATTACTAAACATATGATGTCAAAGTCCAACTGCATTAAAAGTTTTCCAGAAAAGTTGTACTGATTTGGTAAAATAATTTATAAGAATTTCCATACATTGTAAAAATACACATTTGTAGTTAATTTCCAAATATGATTACACCAATCATGAAATTTAAGGCAAATATTTAACCATGACATCACATTTCTTTAGTAACTTATTTATTGTCTATTTAATGTTAAGTGCAGGAGAAGCACAGTACACACAAAACAAAAACGACAAGACAAACCTATCAGATCAAAGTAATTTAACAAGTACCAAAGTAGGCCTAGTTTATGGGCGCGGAACTGAGCACAAAGTCGTCACGGTCATCTTGGAATTGTGAAGTCATAACAAAAACAGAAGTCTGTTTTTTGTTCCAAGTACAACAAGCACGCCAAGTTTTTATGTCGATCGTACTTGATCTGACCATGGACCGTATATACACGATCCATGATCTAACGGAGCCATCAACATCTTTCAAGAAGAACAAGATGAGTAGTGCTTGGGGACCAGTTCCTATGGTCCCAAAAGTTGCGACAACCTTGTATTCCACTATAGGCACATAATTTACAAACAGTCAAATATATTGTGTTTTACTAGCCTTAACATCATATAAAGTGGCACAGATAATTAAGCACACAATATTCTTTTTCATTTTTTTCCAATAAACTGTACAACACAATTAAATGTTTTAATCCTTAAAAGGAAAGATGTAAACAATCAAAGTACAATATTGTAACATTTTTATTCAATTGAATGCAACATTAGCACTAGATTTGAGTTTTATCTCTAACTGTAACAATATTGAGGCTTAGAGAGAGGCCATTCATTGATGTTGTATTTCATTTGTATTCAAATTATGAAACAGACGGCCTACATTCTTAAGACAAACCAAATGTACCAAACTAGTTTTAAAGATACTGATGCTGTGCAAGGAAACATTAACAAAAACATCAACACCAAGTTCTTTCACTTTATTTTTTGGTCACACTGTTAATGAGCTCAAATTTCTATTTGGACATATGTGAAGGATTAGGGGGCAGGTTCAAAATAGCCAACATAGTATTATTAAGCCTAGCTAATCCTTTTCTGGTCACTGAAAAGTAGTGCCCAAATATATCAATTCAGCCAGCTCCTGTGTTAGGCTTGCTATCTCATTTATACATTTGAAGCTTTATAGGAGATGCTTTACATTTGCCTCTTTACATTGTAGTCAATAGAAAGATAACCTTGATATAATAATCAAAACAAAAGAAAGAAAATATATGTACAAAACAAACAAAAAGTAACTCCACCATCAATTTCACAGAAAACATATCAATTGAAATTATAAATATCAACTTTAATTAATACAAATTTTACATTTGGTTGACTATGGAAAGAAAAAATGGACAATATGTACATTACTGGTATATGGATCATGGTTAAAGTGGCACCAGCACTTTATAGATCTATAAAAAAAAAAACAATTTTGGGGATTTTCAGTTCAGACAGGATGGCCAGTGCTTAGAATTTTGATAAATTATTTTGTTGTTTTAAGTGATAATGCCTCTTTAAATATTTTTTTTTTTTATAAATACTTATATTCAATTTGTTACATGTAATATAAACTGCCAATACCTTTCATATTATCCCCAATAACTTAAATAAGAAACACATCCTGACATGTCAACAACTAGATTTGACAATTATGATGATCAGTCAGGTCACAGCTTGTAATTAGCACCTGTTGGTCAATACAAAGGTCTGAAGTGACATGTTCTTCACAATGGTGAATATTTTTCGATTTGTACCAGTAATACAAAAAACATTTACATATTTAGAATTCCAGCATCTAAGCAACATATCTTTGAAGCCCAAAGGGACATACTAAAATTTAATTATTTTACCATTGCACAACATAAAATATATTCTAAACAGGAAAATAGGATATCAGCAATTCCCTACGTTCATCTTTACTCGGTGATGTAGTTTTGATTATGAAAATACATGACAAAGTATGAATATGTTTTTCTTATAAAACAAGACAAATTAGAATATGTTATTCTAATACAGGCATGTTTAATAAGTTGCTACAAATTCATATACCGTAATAAATATTTCTAAGATACACCAGAGCCTGTACTCAATGTTTTTATTTTAAAGTTGAGAGAATATACTTGATTATTTCATTTAGCAAAGCACATTACTTAAATCGGTATTCAAATACATTGACAGAAGTCTCTGAATGTTATTTTTCTATTTTTTGGACATTAACTAATTTTTCACAGCTTAATACAATAAAATGTACATAAATTGGTTATTCAACATTTAATTAAGAAAACAAAAATGAAAATATCAATGGTAGATAATCTCCCAGCTTTTATTCAGTCAGATTAAAAAGATACCCATCCAAAGATTTTAGCTGGTTGAATACATGAGGTGGTGCTGGATTCTGTACATGGTCTGCACAGGATATTGAATGTTACGCAATTTTTAATTCATGACAATTTTGTAAAAACTTTAGAGATTTGACCTTTACAATATTGTAGTTGGTAAGGCATTTCTCAATCAGTCAAATGATTTTCAGACACTTTAAGTAACAAACATTGACTTAAGATATCCTTTGAATACAGACCCATGTCTTCTCTTGTTGTGTCCGGTCAATAACAAAAGAATGAATTAGTTAAAATTTATCTTTGTTGATATTTAACAGTTTAGGACAAATACAGCACCAAAATGTGGACAGACCAATTTCTGATTAAGCGTACATGTATCTACGGTTTCTCTTCAGGAACACCTGAAGCCAACAAGATACTGAAACTTATTCACATGTACCACTTATTATACTTGTTATTTTGAATACAACTGCCTTTCGCAAAGGATTACAGTTAGCCATTAATACATTAAAGCATGTAACTTATACAGCATTTACAATATTTTAAATGTACACAAATTGATTGGAGTCAAAAGGGCAAACAGTTTTGTTCAGTCAGGGTAAAAAATAAACATATCTATTTGACTGAATTTTAATGTGTTGATTTGTTTATTTGAAACAATGTTTTCCAAAGTCTTTATGCCCAAAGATAAAAAAGATTTTGTGCATAACACTGTAACTGCCAATGTAAATCAAAGATGCCTTGCTCTTTTAGTTTTAACATTAATTTAGTTCAACTAATGTACATGAAAAAACATTAAAAGAATATGTTACTTCATTCATACAATCCTAAAAAATATTACTCTGTCCATAGTCAACCACAATTTAAACAAAAGAAATCTACATACAATGTAACAATATTACAATTGATCAAGTCACAAACAATTTAACATGAAACTATTTTAAATGCCAGTAGAAAAATATCGTCCAGATCTCAAAACGTAATTAACTTTGATATTCTCCTAAAATAAACTACCCTAATGTAACATACACTCCCAACATACAAATGGCATAAAATTCTTTAAGATTATATAATATTTTTATGGTTACAAAGGTTCTCTTGTATTATTTTTAATCATATTTTGCATATTATATTATTCTGATAATCACATTAATAATCATCGCGAAACTCAATGTACGGAACTGAACAGGGTAACATATACATTTATTTATATCATTTATGCTTGGCGTTTAAAATATTCACATATGCTGTACATATATAATGTATAGTCAATGTACATGTATGGATATATAGTGTCTTCTTGTATTGTGTTTAAGACAAATGAAAGGATAGCTGTCCTTCTTGAGCAGCTAAACCAATTTTCTGACGCATAATGTCAATAGTAGAATAATCGGGAAGTTTAAGATAGTTCACACACGTCATAACTGACGGCAGATAATTATCTGGACTTTCTGTGGACTCAAAGGTTTTGCGCACAATTGTAAGAGGTGGATTTAAACTTCGGAAACCTCCAACAGGCAAACAGGGAGAACCGGTCACAAACTGAATGAAATCTCTCTGTTCTTTTGAGTTATATTGACTGAGAATTTCAAACAAGTATTTCACAGCCTGACTATCCTGTGAATAACCATGGTCAGGTCTACAACAGTCCATTAACATTTTCACATCCCAAACCTCATTATGATTTCCACAAAACAACTGTTCAAGTTCCTCGGGATAAAAGCAACGCAAGGATGAGAGAGGAACTAGTGATTCAAACCCTTCACGGAATGCTTGGAACTGTCGTGATACACCATCCATAAAATTCCACTGCACCAGAAGTTGAAGGTATTCTTCCAGATTATCAAGAACTACAGGACACTCTCTACCACCTTTCTTTAATTCTATTTGTGAAAAACCTGGCAATATAAAATACAAGTTCAGATCTTCAATACTACATCCATCCATTGTTAAACTATCTAATGCCAATTGTCTACTTTCATCTGTGTGGGATTTGTCGGTCAATATTTGTTTCTTCTGATGCAATACAGCTTCTAGTTGTCTGTGAGAACGAGCTAGAACTGGATCAATGTGGATTAGATCAGCAGATGTTAAACTCTCCTCCTGTCCCAGACACCATTTATAGAACACTTGACTAAACCTAATATCCAGCATTCTCGAATCCATAAGAGAACGAGCCAAGAATTTTCCAAGAAACTTACACTTAGAGGAAACTTTCTTTAAATAAGAAGCTTTCACAGATTTTGGCAAAGGAGAGGGGAAAAGGCCAAAGGGTGAATGCATCAACTGAATTTTAGCATCTGGATCTGAATGGCTAGTTGTATCAAGGACATCACCTCTCCATAAATCTAAGTCAGCTCGTTGTAATTCCCGCGATACTAAGGCATAGAATTCTTGTGTTGGTCCTAATCCTGTTCCTACTTCATTTTCATACTGTATTTCTAGTAGAGCTTTCGATTTGTCCAATTCATCAATAATCTGTTCAGCTTGTTTTAAAAGATCGTTTCTATTTACCATACGTCGTTTTCTGTCTAATCTTGGGGCTACACGCTCACTGTCATTTTGACTGTTATCGCCACCACTATCCTGTTGTAGTTTCATCATGGCACGATCACGGTCGAATGTTGTTATGAAAAATAACAGTTGTCTGGTTTCAAATGGAAACAGAAATGGAGCATAGGTACCAAGTTCACCCAACCATTTTGGCAAGTTTCCAGTCATTATGACAAGTGGGTCTTGTAGCTGACGATTCGCTTTGGCTGTTAATTTATTACTGATAAATTCTGAAGCTGTTAGTATAGGTGTTGGGAAGAATGATATTTCATAGAAGGCTGCCCAGTATTTGTTTAAAGCATGTGTAACCCGAAGTAAAGATATAACTTCTAATGATGTATCTTCTATAGTTATATAAGAGGGTAGGTGTTCTGTTAGGAAAGTATCAAGTAAAGATCGTGTTCGGTTTCTAGAAGAATCAACTTTTGTTTTGTGAGCATCATCAGTTTTTTTACTAGACTTTGATTTATTTTCAATTTTCTTCCTCATGCCTTCAGTGGGAACATCTTCTTTATCACAGTAAGCTCTATACCAGATAGTGTGTGTCTGTGCCCAGATTTTAGCGTGACCTAAAGGTGTCTCTGTTTCAGAGTCAGATTCTCTTTCACTGGGATGACTAAATTGTTTGATTGCTTCATATACCGTCATATCATATGGCAGCAATTTTTCACCAATTAAAAACTCTAATTTATGTTGGACTGTTCCTTGTGTGATACATACAGCAGACATAGTATCCTCAAAATCTTCATCTGAATTACCATCATCACTGATTTCTTCTTCACCATCTTTAACTTTACCAATACCTCTAATGACCAGATACCTTTCTATAGCTTGTACCAGTGCCAAGGGATCTATCTTTACAGGTCCTCCTTTCCACTGACGAAGATTAGTTGCAGATGGGTGTCGTTGTAAATTACACTTCAATTGGTGGGTGCTAAAAAATTTCAGCGCATTTGATCCTCTTCCACTCATTCCACCAGATCCAGGGAGATCATGTACTCGAATCTGGAACTGTTCTAGCTGATGTAGACATCCAAGTAATTTACTGATCAGATTAGACAATGGTGGTGGATTATTAGGATCAATGGCCATCTCTTTGATATAAGTAATATCAGGAGGAGGGCAGGACAGGAAGACATGAAGAAAACGTTGTATTCGAACAGTTCTGCTCAGAGTTCCATTAACACTGGTAAGGTACTGAAGAAGTTTCTTCACCATTCCACTGTGGATTATCTCAAAAGGTGATATATCACTTTCTTTGGTAATTGTGGCAATTTGCAACAATGGATCAAGACCATTATCAGAATCAATGGTTAGGCCCTGTGAAGCATCGCATAATTTTTGAAGAATTTGAACTGCTGGATGACTGTTACTCCATGCTTCTGAGGTTGTATTCTTTTCAAGGAATTTGGTAGCTTCTTCTTTTACCCAACTTCTTATTTTCTCCTTGTTGGTATCAGCACATCTTACAAATTTTTGAGCCTCTGATTCTTTGGACACTGACATTCTTTCACAGTGTGATGAGTTACTTAATCTACTCCAGCTTCTTAGACTTGGCAAGAAAGACATCTTTGGTGTGGCGCCACTTACTTTAGAATCTGAATTGTCAGAATGTTTACCTCTTCTTGAACTTCGTCCACCAGAAGTTGGTACGCCCTTTGAACCACTTTCCATGGGATCATCAGGTTTGCTTCCTTTTCTAGCTCGTTTGGGTGTGTGTTTTCTTTTTAAAACATCTCCAAGACGGAAGAACATATGCGAAGATGTAGCACCTGGTTCCTCTGAAGATGTATGTGATGTGGCAGCAGAATCTGTACTTTCCTTTTCTCGGACACCCGATTTACTGTGTTTCGAAGCAGATGCTCCTCCTGAGGTTAGACTACCAGAGACACCACTGGAGACTTTCTCTGATGAGGATTTTGATGTATGAACTTTGAGTTCAGCTAGCCTTTTGATCTGATGCATGACACCTTCTCTTCTGAAGTATACACTGAATATATCAGGTAATTTTTGCATTAGAATTTCAGCTAATTGTAAGGCGCCAACAACAACCTTAAGGTCTGGTGAAGCCATCATGGCAGCAATATGACTGGAGACAGGTTGACTTAATAAAACATCTTTAAGCAGAGTAGCCGAAGCATAATATACCATACGTAGAATAGTTTGCAGACATTTATGTCTTACAGTGGGACCTGGTGATGAGCTGTAAACTTCATATAAAACAGAGAACAAGGACTGAATAAAAGAAGAAGCTAATTGATGATCCTCTTTCAGGAATTCTTCTCTTGAGTCACACCAATCTAAGGAACAATCAGAACCATGCTGCGGTTGAGCAGATGCATTAATTTTTCTTTGAACTGGACGGGCTGTTCCAGAATCTTCATTTATTTGTTGCATGGATTTAAAGTCAACAGTATATGTTCTTCCAACAGTTGTAAGACTTATTTCATCCTCAGCAGCACTGTAGGCATCTTCTATTATTCTGCTGTCTATTGGTGTATATGAATGCCATATATTTCGATCATCCTGCCACTGCCAGGCTATAGCATCAGCACTAAATCCAGCATTTCTTCCAAGTAGGGTATCTATCCGGAATATTCCATCAGATGGTAGTTTGGGTAAAAGTTCTCCAATCAAACAAACGATTTCATATAGCTCTTGAGGAGTTCTGGACACTAGTTCAACTTGAAGTAAAGGGTCTTCTGGGGTTCCTACCAGTAAGTGACAAAGTGTATCAGCGATGTTTTGTTTTAATAATATTACAGCAAGATCAGGGCAGCTACCACACATCACAGCCATCATTCTTATCACCATCACAAAAGTAGCAGAATTGATTATTGGTGGGCTAGCCACTAGTAATTGTTGGAGATTTGTGAGAAGTCCATGCACAGCAATTTCCTTCAGCAAACGTTGATCACTTTGAAAGTTTTCTACTACACGAGAAAATCCACTGCATACACTTTCAACTGATTTCTTGTCCTGATGGTTGAGACGTGAACTAAGGAGTGGTAATGAATCCCTTAAGAAATGGAACTCATCACATGTGAGACTTTGTAGACAATTAGCCACAACAGCAAGAGCACTTCTTTGAGCAGTGATACTGAAAAAATCAATGAACATCAAACATGCAGCTATCCCCCCAGCTTGTAACACAGCCTTACTGTGTCTTCTAGATATCATTTCTAAAGCTGTTAATGCTTGTTCTGCCACATCCATACATTGGATTACTTGTAATTTCTCCAAAAACACTGGAATAGCATCTACTACAACTGCTGATGAGCGGGGTAAAGCTTCCATCATGTACGTCAATGCTCTACAGGCGTGATTCATTATGTCAAAATTATGTTCAAGGTGCAATAAGCTTATTAAGGCAGGGACCACTTGTTTAACTGGGAAACCAGCTAAGCTGTCTTCATTACCCATTACTAGTAACTGGCACATCTCCATTACGGCTGTCAACTGTTGACCTTCATCACCTGTAGCTTGTAACCCCTGTAACAGTTGCTGAACTTTACTCATTGTTCCCCCACTCATTGTTCTGTGTAAGAATTGGTGCATCCGGGGCCCTAGAGCACCAAACAACTGAGATGGTAGACCCCTTGCTTCAAGAAGAGCTTGAAGTCTTCCCATGTCTGTTTCATCTGCATCATCCACAGGTCTGGCAGCTGCTCCTTGTGGTCTCTCATTACTGGGTTGGTCAGAAGAAGCACTGTTAGAGCCTTCTTTACTGGCAGACATTCCACCAGATCGTGACTTCTTTTTGTCTACGTTAAAAAACTCACCACTGTTGGTAGATGTATGACCTTCTTGACGATTCCTTTTAGGCTGCTTTCCCTTACTTGTGGACCTAGCTTTAGGAACACTTGCTGAAGAACCTATTTTGGATTGTGATGAAGTTGGATGTGAAGTGTCTGTAACTGATGATCTAAGACAGCGTCTTTTATCAGCTGTCTGGGGGTTCTCTAATTTATCAACTGGATCATCCAGTCTTTCAGCTGTGCAAACTAATTGTTTTGATAGAGCTTTCACAGTTGATGACCCAAATAGTTCAGTTTTTAAGCTATTTTGTTTGAGTTTACCCTTATGTGCTGAAGATTTTGGTTTATCTTTAGAACTTATTTGTTTTTTTGATCTGAGGTTTTTAGTTATACAATCACTGGATGATTCACTTTCTAGTTCAAGTTCTAAGGCACTTTTTGTAGGTTGATCACTTTTCACAGAATTTTTCCCTTTAGATGATTTTATATGTATGTCCATCAAATGAGGTTTAGAAGATTTTTTACTTGGTTCTGACTCGATCTCATGTGTAGCTGATCGTTTTGAAGGTTTCCGAGTATCATCTACACATTTACGTGAAGATATTTTGGATTCAGTGTTCGTTTCACAAGGAACTTCCAAAATATTAGTTGATTGATTAGTCACATCAGACCCACTTTGTCGACTTTTTCTTCTGCCGGACACCCCAGTTGGCAACTCACCTCGATTGGCCATAGGCGGATTCCAAATTCTGGCTCATGCCAGATATTATGTCTCAAATCTGAAAGATAAAAAATGAAAAGATATCAATAATAATCCTTCAAAAATTTAGAGTTTTGTCTTATCATTAACCACCAGCAGCTCTGTCAAATTGCTATAGATAAAGCAATTTTCCAATTTTCGGTTAGGTTTTTCTTTCTTCACAACTGTGGTGAAATTAATTTAGTCAAAGAATATATATTATTAGGCTTTTATTCCACACAAAATCTTAACTTCCAATATCTGAAGATTTAAAAATAAATTTTGATTCATAAGATTGTGATGAAGTGCATTGTTGTAATGCAAAAAAATTTAATTACTTAATTAAACATACTATTTGAAGTAGTATGGTTTTGTTTAGATTTGTGTCTGTCAATTCAATACAGCCCAATCATAACTTTTCTACTTTATTTTGATTTCAAAGATAGGTTGCTAGGCAACAAAACATACACCCACAGAAGCTAAGTCATCTGAGCTGTCAACAAGGGGTATCACATATTTTTTTCTTCTGTCAGTAATGAAAACATTTACAACACACTAAAATCTGATTAAGAGTAACAACCCATTAAGTAATTATCAGAAATCATTAGAATTTGTTTGGCTTAGTTCTGCCACATGCTGATGTTTAGTAAACGAAACACTGAATATCAAGAATTTAGCAGTTCAAGTATATTTTGTCGTCATATGTGTTTTAATTTAAATTCAATCAGATGATAATTTTGGTCTTGAGAGCATCCACAACATTTTCAAAGTCATCAAGGGCCATAACTCTAGCAACAATTATCAGAATTTGTTAAAAAAAAAAAACGGTTTGTTGTCTCAGGACCAGAAACACTAAGTATAAATTTAAAGTCAATCAGATGATAACTTAGGTCTGCAGAGCTTTAACAAGAATATTCAATGAGGTCAAGGGCTATAACTCTGGCAGTAATTATCGGATACACTGTATAAATCTAAATTCAATCAGATATTAACATTAGCCTCAGGAGCGTCCACAATATTTTTAAAAGTGATCAAGGGCCATAACTCTGGCAGTAATTATTGGAATGGAAATCGTTTAAAATCTATAGACTTTTTTGTCTCATGACCTTAAACACTGTGTATAAATTTAAAGTCAATCGGATCCTAACTTTAGCCTCTAAACCAATGGACGTACCAAAGGACGGACGGATAGGGGTGACTACAATATACAACCACATTGTATAGAAAAGGGGGGGGGGGGGTGGAAAGAGAAATAGAACATATTATTCCCAGACGAAAGTCAGCAAAAGAAGAGTGGATCAACTTTATACTACCACCTATGTTTGATTGCATTCTCATGGACGTACCAAAGGACGGACGGATAGGGGTGTCGACAATATACAACCACATTGTATAGAAAGGGGGGGGGGGAAGAGAAATAGAACATATTATTCCCAGACGAAAGTCAGCAAAAGAAGAGTGGATCAACTTTATACTACCACCTATGTTTGATTGCATTCTCATGATGGGGTGAAACACCTAAGTTTCAAAATAAGTGTAGGTCGTACAGCCTCATATGCCTGTCTTAATTAGTCCAGTCGGTGCAGAATAGTAGGACGTTAAACCCCATTTCATTTCATTTACCCTTTTCTGCAGATTAGAACTAAAGAAAGAAAGAAAAATTGTCTGCCAGTCGCGCACATAATGCAGAGAAATGAAATGAAATTATTATTATTATTATTATTGTTCGATTTATATAGCGCTTCATTACACCTGAAGTGTTTCTAAGCGCATATCACAAACATATACTTCAAACACAAAGGAACAATCAAAATCAGGAGAACATAATTAAAAGAAATGAAATGGGGTTTAACGTCCTACTGTTCTGCTCCGAACTGGGCTAATGAAGACGGGCATATGCCATACAGTGTGCTATGAGGGAAATTTTGCCCGGGCAGCGGTACTATCGCCTACTCTTATATCGAATTCCAACTGCCAAGGGATCTTTTACGTGCATTCTAATGTATACATGGGACCTCGGTTTTTCGTATCATCCGAAGGACTATACAGCTGTCCTTGTCAGGCCCTCCGTTCTGCACCACTGACAAGGGGAAACCATGTCGGAAACATAATGCAGAGAAAATCTGTCAAGGTATATTATTTACCAAGAACCAATGATGGAAAATATCCAACAAATAATTCTTGATAAATTACAAGGGATCTTTATGTGCACGACAATATGTACAATATGGTTTTTCGTCCCATCTTGCACCACACGCCAGAAAATCCTGATGAACTTTCTCGCCAACTCAGGGATCGAAGATGGGACCCCCAGGTTAGCGAGCCAACATCTTACTCACTGAGCCACCGTGGCTCTCATGTTTAATGGTGCTAAATTCATGTGCAATATGAAATTTATTTGAAATTTATATACAGTACTGAATATACATAGATACATGTACTTCTTGTAGAATATTTATAATGATCATTTACAAAATGAAGCAATCATATTTCTGCTGAGTCACTTATCTTTTTTTTATTTTAAATCATACTTTAGGTTTCATAGTCCAATAACACAGTGGGTTTTCTTTTTCAATAATTAATAAAGCCCAAAACTGAATATCTGGTGTGATTCATGACAGCACCTCAAACAAAAAAGGCCTCTACATGGTGTTATTGGTTGTAAAGGCCCAAAAGGACATTCCAAGTAATTCCAACATTACTTCAACCTTACAAAATTTTTAAAGAGGGTTTTTATTTTAAGCTATCTTGGAAATTATTACTAAAGTTTATACTCTTACAGCTTGTTATATAACATACTGTCCTAGTGTTAATTTGTTATCATTATTATTTAACTCCTAACAAAGGATTAATATGACTTAGATCAATAATGACCTATATATCTGATCTTTAATATTATGTAAGAAACCGGTCTCCTTTTATCAAGTTTGGTAATCTTCTTTAGTTTTGTACTTGCTATAGCCTCTAATAATATCTACAATCACATTCAAAACAAAATTGATAAACCTACAGACACTGTGTGACTTTGGCAATTAGAATATATTTATTCACAATTTTGTATGTTCTGTTACAATCAAATTAAATTGCTTTAGTATAAGATTGATTAAACATATATTATGTAAGAGTTAAATCTGTCTATTGCAGGTCTTTCTTTAGGCCTGAAATGTTATCTAAATTAATAATTAGATCCAGACCATAACCAACTCTAGATGGCATCGCTAGCCTGCGATCTTTAGTGGATTATGAGCCGATTTACTGCATAACTTTCCTTCACGATTTAACGATTAAATGGATAAACAAGACTATGCTTTTCATTGTACTGACTTTAGTAATGATGATCAAGGCTAGCTGGAAAATTCAACTGCTAAGTTCTCGGTTCATAGTGGATCATTTGAATGAAATTTTCAACAAATTGCCTTTACATTATCTAGTTTTTAACTATTACAGTGAGAACTGCCAAGTCGTTATCGAATCTCCCATAATGTATCTTTAATAGGTTATAATATTTCAGTCCAACGTAGTATGGTTATTTATAAAAGGTTTTTTTCTTGAATGGGCTGACATTGAGATTTCTCGTAGCACACAGCTGATTATGACACACCAGTATGATATGTTAAGGAAATATTCCCTTTTTTTTCTTTCTTGGGTTGCTTCTCTTATTTTTAATTTGTTTTCCATTTTGAGTATCACTACAAGCACAGGACTTAAGCTAGCTCTACTGATCAATTCACTCTATTGTTTGAGGTGTCTGGGTATATATTGTTCTGTCCTTAGGTTTATCTTGTGTAACTGTGTGGTGCGGTCACCTGCACTTACTATACATGTACCAAATCAATTGTTTCACAAACAAGCGCCACTGTCGTTTTTGTGTTAGTCTAGTGTTCATTCATTTTCGTGTAAATTTTGTACTTGATTACCCCTGACAGTTTGGATCTAACATGTGCAGTAGTGGACTGTAAATCAATATACAAAAATTTCACATTATCAGTAGACTGATTTAGAGACATTACATTGTTATAATACATGTACTTTGTTTCACTTCAAATTATCACTTAACCATATATATCAACTGTCTACTGTAGGGACTTTGGTGGGATCTACTGTCCAGATTTCGTTGAAACATTTGCATTGATTGATTCTGAATTACTGACAAAGGAGGGTGCAGTGTGGGAAGCAATTTGAAGCCATGCTATTTAGTCTTGTTTCATCAGGAAGCATGCAAGATGTCAATAATTATAGAAAAGTCTGCCTAACAGTTAAGGCTGTTTCTCAACCTGCACAAAGATACAAGAGCAATGTAATTCAAGGAGTTTGAGATAAGCGCTTGCAGTAAATTGTACACTTAAAAATGAAATTAATGGATAACACTTATTTTCTTGGTTAAAATGATACTACAAATGTGACCGGTGCCAGCAAGATCAGTCAGTCGCATTCATTCATTTTTACTCTATAGGCTATATACAGCAGTCAGTGGTGAAATTATTGATTTTAAGTCATCATCACCAAACAATAATTTGAAATGTTTTCTTTCAGAATTCTACATCATTTTTAATTATTCAATCTCTAAATGCCTCAAAAACTGATTTTAAAAATGGATGTTGAATCATACATGATCAAGATTCTCTCTAAAACAATCAAAATTAGTGATCTATTTCATGTCAAATAATTTTACAACCAGTAGTCTGAACAGCAATTTTTGTAACATTAAAATCCTACAGTTGTGGCTTTCAGGAAATGTATAGAACTTAATTTTGGTGAAGTGACTCAAATGACTGATTTTTCAGAACCGGTCACAAATATGTATTCCTATTTATCATAATATTAAAGACTATACTGTAGTTAATCTTTTAAGTAAGCCTCTTAGTCTTAATGAAAATTTGAACTTCGAAGTGATTCATTGTTTTTTTCTTGTTCAATAGCAACCTCTTGATCTATGACTTGAACTGAACCGGTCACAAAGATTTCAATTATGTAATACGGTACTTATAATCTATTAATAAATAATCAATGTTTATAATTATCCATATAAAATCAAAATAGCATATATTATTGTTCATGTCATATACAATTTAAATTGTATAAATAGCTATTAGAAACCTAATCTCATGGTATTTGCTGTGAAGTAAAATCCTATTTTATATAAAAGACCATAATATCTACTTTACATTAACTATTGATATAAGCTTTATGTACTGCTCTGCTAAGTGAAATTATTGAAATAAGGCAGCATTTTACTTTTCTATCCATTACCTTTCTTCCAGGTTTTTTATCTAAAATAATTCTTACATCCACTCACCAAAATGTATGGAAAACTTTCTCAATCATTGATAAATGGATGTAATTTTTAGGGAGAATATTAAAACAGGATGTTACTGACAAATCAAGGGAAGATAACTATCACCTGATTCTATGAACAGCTGTTTTACTGCCTTTATTAAATAAAGACATTGTAAAATATTAAAAATAAATGGTTGGAAAAATAAAATTGAAGATTTGCAATAATTTGGACCTATTTCATAATTTTATGAAACAGATTTTGCCATGAAAATAAAAATATTAAAACAAAACATCTGAATTATTCCCCCATATTACTAATATCTTATAAGATATATGATGTAATACTATTAATATTAATAATTTTCACAGTAAAGCCACTGTGACAAAAGGCATATGACGCTGGTAGGAAAAAGAACATGAACTGTTAATCAAATTATTTAATTAAATCATTCAAAGTTCTGCTTCTAAAATACAAACCTTTGTACCGGTAAAGTCCAGAGTCTTTCACAACATAAGCCTTTAGGCCTAGTATTAGATCACATTTATTTAATTTTTTTTAGTTTCAATAATTAGTAATAATACATTTAACTTGAAACAGTTATTAGAATGTGTTTAATACTTGGTGACGCTTTTACAGTCTCTAATGTTTATACCATAATGACAGTAACAGATATTAATATGACAGTGTCAGTAATAAGATATTAATTTTGTAACTTTGATTAGGCCCTGGTTAGATCTAATTCACAATTGAAATTTGTGTTTCATTAAAAAGAACAAAATCCTTGCTTTTGGAACAAATCTATTTAGTTGGCAGTAAGTGAGTAAGCTCAGTATAAATCTTGCTTCTATTTGATATTATGTGTTAACATTGCCAACCAACACATGGAAGCCAGGAAGACAGAGCGTTTGGGAGCATGCTATTTATATCTCTCTTTACTGGTCTTGTTCTCTCTTCTTACAACAATTTCATAAATATAATATATCATTGTCAATACGAAGGCTACCCTTACTAAAATGTTGTATAGATTGTTTCTGTTAACGAACAATTTATTAGTTCACAATATTATGCTTATTGGAAATATGTTTAGATTCACTATTATACATAGGTTTTAGGTTTAGACTCGCAGTTCTGTCGAAACTATAATGATAATCCATTTCTGTCTACTGTGTCTCAGCGAAAAAAATGGCATGTTTACCTGACCAAATATAGCCATAAAAACCCAACTGGGTTACCGAAATTGAAAAAAATATGTTCACAAATATTTAGACTAACCGATATTATAAAATACGGCCGGTTGTTTGGTTTTCAATAATGGCAGCGATCAATCAATTAACAGTAACAACAGTTCATCTGAACGCCTGTATCTGTTGTCATATTATTCGACGGAAGACATACCTCTCCAGCTGACCTTAAACGCAAGGGGTCAAACAACATTATTAATGACGTAGTAAACATTTCCGAGAGGAAGTGGAGGTTGTCACTGATATAAGTAATGGCGGGAAATTGAAAAAGTTGTAGCCTTTTTTTCACTACAGTCCTTGGCTTTAGAAACAATATAAAATCCCCAAAACAACACAAAAATTGGGGAAGGGAGGGAGGGTAACTTAAAGGAGCTAAGTCGCTAATATTTTGAACCTAGAAATTGACACAAATGTGTCGCAACGCATACAATAATGTATTTTTGTAATATGAATGTATATTTTATAAATTGATTTACATTCAATCGTTTCTGTTTTTACTGTAATTTCTAATCAGTTACTGAGTTAGGTTCGGCGAAATACGCCAGTATTCTCAATCGAATTTCAATCTCTAGCGTCTGTTTTTTTTTCCAGTCTATATAATTGGTTTTTTTCCAGTCTACGCCGATAGTATTTATTCACCCAATCCATCTCCAGATAAGAATTTAATAGTTCTTCATTTATCCACTCACAATTTTTACAAAAGTGTTTAAATCACCACTGATTTTAAAATTGAAATAATTGATACAATGCAGGCCATACAATAAACTGAAAATAGAAATAGATGAGCATAATTGGACCTAAAATATGACTTGAATTCATGATAGGCCCTACTTTAGTAGGTATACAGTGTCAGTCTAAAATATGTTTTAAAAGAGTGTAGCCATTCTGCATAGTTTCATCTACCGGTACTTCAACTTCAGTTCATACTTCGAATGGCCGACATTTCCCAGAATTAGTAAAGGCTACTATTTTGTTCATTGTTCCAGCCTACTCCGTTTCACATCTAGGTGTAGGCCTACACACAAAGAACAAATAAACCTTTTTAATTTTACTGAACGGATGCAGAGTAAACAAATTCTCAAAATTCTCGAAGTAGCCTATACGTAGTGTTTTCGATTAAAATCGTTGAATTTGATTTAGGGCTTAAAATGTCGGTCAACTATAACTTAGTGCCTGTTTTCAATCGGAGTTAACCTAGACTAAGACAGACAGTCTAAGTTTAGTATAGGCCTCCCATACCATGTGTAATAAAACAGTCTGGTTCTCAGTATTCTTGTTTTCTGCCAAGTTAGTGTAACCCACTCTGTTCCATTCTTGCATCCAAAACTTTGTAAACCGTAAACGCACCATAGAGATATACATTTTATGATTTTAGACACATTAAACCAGTTCTAGGTGGAACACCATTCCCTTCCCAGTATTTAGGATTTGTGTAGGCCTACAGATGGATTTGTGTAGGCCTATGCCAACATGGAAATGTGGTCACATTTTTTATCCCCCCCACCCCCGCAATCGTCTACAGTAGCCTATGACCATTGTTTCAGGAACATGATCCGATCTATAGAGTTTATAGGCTACCCAATATTTAAATTAGTAAAACAGAGAAGTCTATTAAGTTCAAAATTTCCATTCATGACTTCTCGCGAGCTGGAATGGAATGAGATAATCGCCAACCAAAACAAGTAAGACACATACCTGAGAATTTCATGATTGGCAAAAGACACAACTATATGTTGAATAAAAGATATATTATTTATTGGTGTTAGGTACAGGCCCCGGAATAATTATATACCATAGGGATGTTGCCAAAGAACTACAATTTTCTAATAAGCAATAAGCTCAATGATAATAATACATTGATGTATACATGTTCAAAGTTTTAAAAAGATATGTTAGGTATTATGATATTAGCAAAGGGCTGACTACTTGAATAGATTGATCTTCAAACAGTTTCGAAGATGTGCCCGGAAACACAAGCTGTACATTAAACATTAAAGATGCATTATGTAAGAGCTAAATCTGCCTATCGCAGGTCATTTTTCTAGCGTCGAATCTTATGTGAATTATTTTTTTGGTTTAAACAGTATTTTATTCAGGAGAACATAAGTACTTACAATTTATCATTTAATAGAATATAAGTGAATAGGATGCAGTAACTTTAAGCCAACTGCTTATATAGTTACATATATATGACGACTATAAAGATGATATATATATGTAAGATGTTGTGTGATTTAAACCAAAGGTGTGGGAAAAATATGTTAGTTCTAAGTTGTAAGTACGGAAGACAAAAATGATTTTTTTACAGGTCTAACCCCCATAATCATTTCATTTCATGATTCCAACTTTAATCAATCATCATGCAGTTACCAATGTCCGGAAAGTCTCAGTTTAATATGACGTTTTTTAAGCCTTATTAAGGATACATTATGGGAGATTTGATAACGATCAGCTGACAGTTCTCACTATAATATTTAAAAACTAGATAATGTAAAGGGAATTTGCTGAAAATTTCAGTCAAATTGATCCAATCTGAACCGAGAATTTAACGATTGAATTTTCGACCTAGCCTCGATCATCAGTACTAAATCCGGTACGATAAAAACATAGTCTCGATTATCCATTACATGATTAAATCATGAATGAAAGTTGAGCTGCAAATCGGATAAAAATGCAGTAAATATCGCAGGCTAGCGTTGCCAACGAGAGTTGATTAGCCTATGGTCTGGATAAGTTAAATGGTGTCTAATTAATAATTTAGATAACATTTCAGGTCAAAAGAAAGACCTGCAATAGGCATATTTAGTTCTTGCATAATGTATGTTTAATAAACACACATCTTTCAGTGATTTGTTATAATAGTAATGTCATATTCCTCAGAACCTGTAAATTGAATGTGATACGAATATATCAGAGTATATCATTTAAAACGCTTCGTTATTTCGCCCACCCCACCCCCCTTCGAAGAAAGCAGGTAGCTATTAAAATGGGTTCGTCTGTCTATCTGTTCGTCTGTCTGTTTGTCACACTTTTTTGGACACAATAACTCTCCTTCTAGCCTAATTGAGCTAGAATGTTCAAAATTGGTGTAAGTGTTCATTAGGTCAATTTTCTGCTTAGGGTAAGCAGAGATAAGCAATTTGATTGGTTGATGCTTTGGGACACGATAACTTTAGTTCTAATTAAGTGAGAGTGGTGAAATTTGGTGTATAGTTTTATCATATCAATACCTTGACTAAGTTTGATTATGAGCATTTTCTGCTCAGGGTAAACAGAGCGATAAGCAATTTGATTGGTTGAGACTTTCGAACACAATAACCCTCCTAATTTATATAGAATGTTCAAACTTGGTGTAGGCGGTCATTAGGTGAATGGAGTTTGATGATAAACATTGTCTGCTTACGGTAGGCAGAGATAAGCAATCTGATTGGTTGATGCTTTGGGGCACAATAACTTTGGTTTTAATTAAGTGAGAGTGATGAAACTTGAGCATAGATTCATTAAATCATTACCTTGACTAAGTTCGATGATAAGAATTTGCTGCTTAAGCTAAGGCACACTGATCCGCAGTGAATATTTGCTAGGCCGCTACAATTACTGATAAGGATGACATCGATGCGGCTTAATGAGCCAGAAATATTAACTTTTTTCCTGCGACAAATTAAATTCTAAAACATTTTTTTTTGTGTATTGGAAACATAAATAAAGGCGTTTGACGTATTTGTAGGTAAAAATTATTTCCTATTTAGTGTAAATGGGTATTAAAATGACTAAAATGCAGCATTCTCTCCGAAGCAGTAACGTCTTATGTAAACAATGCATACGCCATTCAGCCAATGATTGACGCCGCGTGCTGTGACAGCACGTGTTAAGGCAGTCATATTTGACAGAGATATATCACTAGACTCGTAATTCTCTGTGAAACAGATTGAGGCTAAGGAACGATAAGCAACTTGATTGGTCAAGACTTTGGAACATAACAACTCTGCTTTTAATTGAGGTAGAATGTGTAAACTTAATAATAATAATAATAATAATTTATTCATAATGCGCCTTTTACCAATATAAAACACTGCTCATTGATATAGATATTCTTTAGGTGAATGTCTTGACTGAGTTCAATGATTAACATTTCGAGCTAAAGCTAAGTAATTTTATTGGTCGATGCTTGTCTGATAGAGAGTGATGAAACTTGGTGTATAGTTGATAATCAGTTTGACTGCATGATACTTTTGAAAAAAATAAATGTGCTATTAATTAATATGTGTCATCTATTTATTTTGGGAGTTCGGCGGGGGGGGGGGGGACATCAGCCTTACTGTTGGCTTGTTTAAATCTTAAATAGATGATACTGCATCTTTAAGTCAGGTTTTCCCCATAGAATTATTGAAATATTATTTTTATTAATTAACAAAATTGTGTGGTTCCCGAGATCTATGGGGCTGATTTCAATTCGTTGTGGGCGGGGGGGGGGGGGGTAATTAAGAGCCTGTTAAAAGACAAAATGAGCTAAATTCCAGAGCATTTAGATTTACAAGGTTTCAGTGACAGGGACAATAATTCTGACTCAGCAATCTCACTACGCTTAAAAAATAATTGTTAGACCGGTGTGACACAATGACATAACAGCGTATAAAAAAACCCTCAATTTGTTGCTGCCAGTTTCACCATGCCAAGCTAGCAAGAATAAGATAAGTAATATGGATGTCCTTCTGATCAGGTTTTGTGTTTTTATCGAAGGTCTTGACTATCAAAGATGGTTTGTATGGTGCAGGATTATCTATACTTTCTGTCGTTTACTAATAGACGGTCATAAGACATTACACTGCAATCTAGAAATAAGATTTTTCGAGCAGACGTAAACTGAAAGAAAAAAAATAATGTATTTCTTTGGGGAAAAATAAAGTACCAGAAATCAAATGACTTGTTGGTCTGTAGCCACTCTCCATTGTGCGGACATCGATGATTATTTGTTTCATCAATCTTTTGAGCAGACTAGTAAAATGGAAACAAAATTCATATATATATATTTTGGGAAAAAGAAACTTTTTGCTTTCTAATCTTTTGGGATTTGTCTTTCCGTTCCGCTTGTAAGGGGGGAGTCCATTCTGGGGTGACATGACGGGAAGGAAAACTGGGGTTCACCAATGAACATACCCAGTATAAAAGAACTTGTAATGCATTGAACAAGAGTAGGTGGAAATGCTGCTGAAAACTTACACACTGGTGGGCTCCTGAATGAAGAAGAGTAGGTATAGGCCTAATGTCGCTGTCTGGGAAAAATAAAACACGATTTTTCGTACAATCAGGGGTCATAATCCAGTAAGTTGTAGTCTGAAATGCAGCAATATCGAAAGAAACTGAGATCTTTGGGATATTAACATATGTTTTAAGTTTAATCAAAAACATGAAAATTGTGACCTCTAGAATGTCCACAAGCTAAAAACGTGATTTTTCATACCATCAGGGGCCATAATCCATGAAGTTAGAGTCCAATACATGCCAATATTGAAAGGAAACAAGATCTTTGGGATATAAACCTACAGGGGCGACGACAATATATGTCCATATAAAACGTGGGTGTATAAAAACAAGTAAATCATTTTTTATCTGATTTATTTACATTTATGAAAATAACATGATAATATGTAACAGATAATATATTCGACCAAAGAGTTAAAGTAGTCTGTGACCAAATTAAAGACACATTATGCAAAACTTGGTTGTTCTTGCTATAATAGTTCAAAAACAGATAATGAAAAATGAATATATTGCAAGTAACTTTGCCATGATAATCAACTAAGTCTTGATTGGCAATCTGCATCATATTAGCATTTAACATAGATGGTAGACATTGTCTAAACCACTCAGTATCTAAAGCAGTGGATACACTAGCCGCATGCTTCGGCTGAATCAATCTCGCTTGAATGTAGAATTCATTAGCCCATCATCCTCTCATATCGAGAAGTCATGTAATTGTTTGAAGACATGGACGTCGCCATGTTTAATCATGTGACGTGAAAGATGATGCAATCGAATGTTGAATCGGGTGAAGCATTCGCCTCGTGTGTCCACCCATTCGGCCAAATAAAATTCGGCACCGATTGATTCGGGTGAAAATTATTCAGCTAATGTGTCCACGGCTTAAGCAATCTGATGTTTTAGAGAGTTGATTATGGGCATCACATGTAAACAAATGTCTAAATAATAATCTAAATATCATTTGAAGCCAGAAACATACCCAGCAATAGGCAAGTTTAGCTCTCACATAATGCCTCTTTAACTTTTGATACAAGATTTAACAAACAGTAAGCACTTGCATTTCCATATTAAAAGGAATACCCAAATCAGTATTATCTTCAAAGGCTCCAATGGATTTAATTTTATTCAAAACACTGCAAAACAAAGTTCCCATATAAATGTTCACAATGATTTCTTTGAGCCAACAGAGCTAGCATAATTTAAGAATACACATTTGTTTTTACATTAAACAATTTATTAAATCATTTGACACAAACAACAGTTCATTATTCTAATAGAATGAACCCAATGGCTGTATAAATTATTTCCATGCATTGTCAGTAAAATGGATATTATATATAAATCATTCATCTTGAAATGTTTTACACAATAATATACAATTATCCAATCTGACTGTATAAATTATAATACTATCTCTGATACCAAGCAGCAGCCTTTTTAATCAATCTGATTAAAATCTGACATAATTTTGTTTCCTTAAAATTAGAGTCATGACCATGCACACCAACACATTAAGTATCTAAATATTAGACTCCAAAATCGCACACAATATACCCTACCCTTACTTTCACAGTACAAATGAGAAATTATAAGTCACCATTCATTGAAAATAACTGTATCAAAATTCACTGTCCTGCTTTGTTGGGGTTTTTTCTGTGAACAATAATTCAATAAGCCATAAAGTCATCATTACGAAGTATAAACCTAATAACAATGGCACAAACAGAAAACGTGATATGGCGTGATATGGTCTATACAGAGAGAAGATTTAACTGATTTAGTTTATGAGTTGTAGTAACAGTTTGTAGCACTTTAATCTGAGCCAGACTCAGAGCCTGATTTACCAGAATGTCCAGAATCTTCTGAAGTGTTTGGGGTTGCTTCATCAGGTTCGGATGGTAACTGAAATATAATCAAACATGTTAAATTAGTAACGCACTGTCCACTTAAAACGATGCAGCCCATGAAAGTACAATCTGATTAAATCACAGATCCTATTTTGTTTTGTTTTTATAGTACAAAATTTCGTTTTACTTGTCCTTACTACACTAGGATCTGGAAAAGTTGTTATCATTGACGTGTTCTGAATGGTGTGAGGTATTAGCCAATGAAAACAGTCTGTTACAGCGAGCTTTAGGCGTGTTTTGCACGGAACTGTGGGTAATCCACAAGTAATATCAATGCTGATTGGTTAATCAAATGTCTGACGTCATAGGGTCAAAGGCCACTTGTATCACCTCTGACGTGACCTATGGCAACAACCTGTCAGATCATCATGTAGTGTAGGCCATCGAAAGTAAAAAAACCAAAACAAAACGAAATATAGATCTGTATTGAAAGTGAAATTCTGTTGCATTTCAACATTAGTTTAATCAACTTACAAGCATCAACCTTTTTTTTTTTATTCAGAACAAGGTGGTCCTTATATGTCAATCCACGGGGCACAATACCTACATGTTCTTTAGTAATTCCATATTTCCCATTTCTTTGGGTTTTTTTCTTGACCTTTTTAAAAAACATTTCCTACCTCTTTTTCACTTTCGCTACCATCTTTACGTAATTTTTTCTTTTTGGGTTTATCTTCTCCTGATGTATCAGAACTTGAAATAAATTCTTTACTTTTATAAGCAACACCAGCACCAGCTCGACTTTCATTCGCTTTCTTCGATGGTGATGAATTAGATTTTTTACTTTTCTTCGGACTATAAAAGAGATTCATGAAATAATATGGGTTGTCTGAGCCACCAGCAGTTTGTGCAGTTAATAAAATGCATGTCTTGAACTAAAAGCTGAGCTGATCGTCAAAGAACATTCTGCTTTTAATAGACTCTACACTACAATTAATGGTGTCAAAGGATAAATGACCAAGTAAAAATGGTAAGCATAATTCATTGTTGGGGTTACTACTCCGAAATTAGAGTTGTTGCTATCTCTCTCATAAAATGATGGTGGAAAAAAAAAAATGAATAGAGATATCGATAAAACCATAATAAATACCTAGAATCTTTTCCATCTCCTTCATCACTACCACCCTCAGAAATTTCTCTATTGTTCCATTGTTCCATAGCCTTTACATAATCTTTTTTAGCCTCTTCTGCCAATTTCTCCCATTTCTACAAATCATGTTTATAAAAAAATACTTAAAAGAGAAGGAAACACTGGCTTTTATGCTAGTACTAAAGTTTATTCTTTATTCAACTTTAATATTAGTTTCCAAGAGCCTCACTTTTTGCCATTTTGAAGCTGGTGATGTTGGAATCTGAATTTATGTAGATAATAATGTTTTTATCATGCAAAATGAAATGAAATGGTGTTTAACGTCCTACTGTTCTGCTCCTATACTGGGCTAATGAAGACGGGCATACGCCATAGTGTGCTATGAGGGAAATTTTGCCCGGGCAGCGGCACTATCGCCTACTCTTATATCGAATTCCAACTGCCAAGAGATCTTTTATGTGCATTCCAAAGTATACACAGGACCTCGTTTTTTTGTCTCATCCGAAGGACTAGACAGCTGTCCTTGTCAGGCCCTCCGTCCTGCATCACTGACAAGGGGGAACCACACGTTTTTATCATGCATCTATTAAATCACTAGAGAATACTTTAAGCACTAGAAGATGTTCTCACTTTGAATTGTTAATGATAGTTTTCACCATGGATTTAAAAACTGATGCAGAATCACATTGTCAGATATTTTCTGGAAGTGTATTCAACACAAATCATAAACTGTATCGAAAATGATTTCAAATAATAGATAGGTACATCGAATAACAATTTGCCTTCTGATCCTAGTGAGCATTTATAATGATATTATATTTTGAAAATAAACTGAAGCAGATTTGTTCATATATCTGTAGGTTAAAGATAAGATTTTAAAGTTAATCCTTTCACGAACACAAAGACAATGTAATTTGTTTAAGACTGGGTGTGATCTTGATTTAGTTTTAGAGACAATGTAAGCAGTTTTGTAACTGTTGGAGCTTTGAAACTTGTGCATCCGTAATACCAGTTAGTAAAGAATTACAATAGTTGATTCTGGACAAGACAAAGGATCGAGCTAAGTTTGCCAGCATATCATAGGAGTAGCTATCCAACCTAAGATTCAAACTAATTTTTGTGCTAACTTTGTTGAGCAAGAACACACATTTTTAATTTCTACAGTTTTATCAATTGTGAAGTAATAATTTTAATATCTGCAAAAGTAGCATTACTTGATTTTATACAAAATAATACATTCAGCATATTTATTTTGAGTGGGTACCAGATCACATCTAGATTAATAATAAAATCAGTGAAGAATGAATAAAAAGGTACCATTCATTATGTGTTTTATAATAAAAATTGAAGCTTAATAATAATAAGATAAAAAATTTACCGTTTTATCAGTAACTTTCTTCCACAACTCTCCTGCCTTTTTACTGACTTCTGTTATTGAAATACCAGGATTATCTTCCTTGATTTTTTCACGATTTTCATTTAACCATAAGAAGTAAGATGACTGAGGTCGTTTTGGCTGACCCTTTTCTCTTTTGGATTTCTTCTTAGATTTCCTTTTGCCTCCCTCAGACTAACGAAATAAATTACAGTAAAATATTTAGTAATATTTTTCTCTAGATTGTAATAATTATGAGGACCATAATTGAATATGAGCTTTAGAGAGAGAAATGGGGTTGACCCTTTCTCTGTTTGATTTCTTTTTAGATTTCCTTTTGCCTCCTTCAGACTAACGAAATAAATTACAGTAAAATATTTAGTAATATTTTTCTCTAGATTGTAATAATTATGAAGACCATAATTGAATATGTGCTTTAGAGAGAGAAAGAAATGGGATTTAATGTCCAACCAACACAAACTAGGTCATTTCGCGATTAACATATGGTTCAATTCTTTTTAATAATTCACTTGTGCGTAGCTGTGGCAGAAAACCCATGAGGTTGAACGGGAGGACCCTACTCCTTGTTACGTACAAGCAGGGAATCAAAACCACGCCGCTTGACTCAATTACAAACCTTATGGTCTAACATAAACTATCTGGCCACCCATGCCCCGTGCCTTAAATAACAATTGGGTTTAAAATATTGATACTGTGGATTCAGTTTAGAATTGCCAACTAATTAATAATTGAAGTTTACTTGAATAATTTTAAAATATAATAAATTAGATGAAAGAAAAAAAAATGTTGAAAAAACAACTAATGAGGTAACCTGGGGGCAGGGCTTCCACTTCAAAATTTTCACTGCCGGTCATTTTTGATAACGCACAAAAACTTTTCAAAGTAAATTCATATTTCATGTTTTTTATTCATGGTAGGGTATTGTGAATTCACGTGTCTATACCACTTTGTCACCATGGGGTGAACAAAAAAAATATATTTGACTTAAAAAAGAAATATTAGTAAGGCTCATGATAATTATTTAATAATTAAATATTCCGTTTTGGCTACTTAAATAACGAAATAGTTGAATTGGCCGGAGAAAAACCATTTCAGTAGCTCACACGTAATTAACACGTGCTCTATAGAAAACACACCGACCTGGATAATTTTGAGTTGTAATACAATAACTTTGAAATGAAGATAAATATATAATTATCCATGGCATATATCTCACATTTTTTTGGTTTTAGACCATTTCTCAGGGAATTACGGGCCGCAGAATTGTGACGTAAATCCTAATAATGTATAACTAAATGACTAACGGATAACTAACTTCACGGCGAGTGACACTAGCGCCCCCAAGAATATGGTCGTGTATAAGAGTAACCGTATATACACGACATTTCTTCTACACGTGGAATTATCAATATTGCTGCACAATATAACTGGAATACGTATTTTTCTTAATTGTTCGGTAAGCAAGTTAACTAATCTCTAGATTTTATTTCAACAATTTCCACAAGGCCGTAATACCGCTATAAACATTTTTAAATGCATTTTTCTCCCAACACGTACGTTGTTGAGGACTTACGTAATTTATATGCTTTTTTTATTTTATATGACAGTTGGTTGGATTCGAAGAGCAATACTTCATATCAATTGCCCCTTTTCGAAGATCATAATAACCTCGTTTACATTGTGCCTGACCGTAATAGCGGTAAACGGCTTTGTTGTTGAAAATTCTTATGACACGTGGACAATACGTGAATGATTAACAATGGGCCGCTTCACGCCGTTGATTAGATTCCCACTTATCAATTAAAATTTATTGTTCTACTACTAGACACTCATCATTAATTATCAACACAACACTCAGTATAATCTGTTGACGACTATATATAAAACTCTATAACACCAATCACGAGATTGGCTTCTAGACGACGTGCATTCTTGTATAGTTACACAGTGAAGGTCGATCGTAGCCATGTTTGAAATTTTCTTTTTTTTAAAAAAAAGACCCTCTTTCCGGCATGCAAAATGACCGTTAGGTCAGATCTAGGAACGGTCATTTTCCATAGCCGTAGGTCTCGACCGGCATATACGGCCGACGTAGAACCCATGCCTGGGGGTAATGGCACAATGCACTAAAAATAATTTGCGGCAAAAATTGTGAAGGATTATTTAATTACAGTAATTAATAATTTGTTTTATCTCATAACATTTTGTCAGCAAGAGCAAATGTCAACCATTTTGTCGGTAAGAGCAAATGTCAACCATTTTGTCGGTAAGAGCCAATGTCAACCATTTTGTTGTGAGCAAATGTCAACCATTTTGTTGTGAGCAAATGTCAACCATTTTGTCATTGAGAGCAAATCTCAACCATATTGTCAGTAAGAGCAAATCTCAACCATTTCGTCAGTAAGACCAAATGTCAATCATTTTCTCTTTTTTTTTTCTCACAAAGATAAATGGCTATAAATTGTACTGAAATTGGCCCTTACAACTGTTTTGGCAGACTTTGATCTCTTTTTTTCTTTTGCTTTTTTCTTCTCATTTTTCTCAGCTTTTTCCTTTTGTTTTTGCTCTTTTCTAGCTTTCTTGGCTTCTGATGGTTCTGAGTCACTCTCTTCATCTGAATCTTCTGAATCTGTAGTTGGTGGATTACTGTCATATCTATATAAAAACAAAAACATCATTATTTAAAAACTAATCAGAGTTTCTTCATGCATATAACAAGCAGTTGCCACGCAAGATACACTTTGCAGTTGATAAATGAAGGGAAAGCCATAATCCAGGAAGCCACAGTACGACATGCGTGAATTTTATAAACATATATTTTAAGTTTCATCAAATTTGGATCAAAATTGTTAACTTTAGAGGGTACACAAACTTGGCATTACATACTTTTACAATATTGGTGTACGTGGAGCGGACAAGCTAAAAACGTGACTTTACGTAAAATTAGGGGCCATAATCCATGAAGAGTTATAGTCCTATACATGCCAATATCGAAAAGAACCGAGATCTTTGCAAGATAAACCTACATTTTGAAGTTTCACCAAAACTGGATAGAATTTGTGACCCGTAGAGTATTCACGGACAGAGGCGAATAAAAACTGTAGCCTCTATTGCATTCACAGGGTTTTCTGAAATAGGGGCATAAATTTATAACGAAAGATTGCAAAACGCAGGTTATCAGGGTTCGTCCTCTCAAGACTCAGGTCTTTTAACCCTTAACATAAATCTTAAGTTTCATCTAAATCGTACAAAATTTGTGGGCTCCAGAAACTTTTAACATTTTGTGTAAAAGGCCGGGAGATAAATCAAGAAGGCAAAGTCCGATCCACACCAAAATCAAACATATCCAAGATCTTTTGATTCTCAAAATTTCATCAAAGTCGGTTAAAAATGGCAACCTTGGTCCACAAGCTAAAAACCTGAATTTTCGTACAATCAGGGCACGTAATCAATGAAGTTACAGGCCAAAATTGAACTCATCTGAGATTTTAGGTACATAAACATATATGTTACGTTTAATCAAAATCAGATAAGAATTGTGACCTGCAGAGTGTCCACAAATAAATGTTAACGGAAACACAGACAGAGGTTAGAGGACAAAATATGTCCTACACTGCAAGGAAGTGATGCCAGAACTATAGACCACATACCCTATCCACATACACACACACCACCACCCACAGAGAGAAGATAATAAACTTACTCTTCAGCAACTTCACTTCCACTTTCACCAGGATTGAAGGATTCATCTAATAAAATCATATTATAAAAATATTGTAATAACAAATCTTTTTTTTTAACATGCTCATCAACTCGTAATTGGAATATGTTTATAAGTAACTAAAATGTTACATTTCATAATATTCGCAATGAAATTAGCTATACTGTTGGAGTAAATCTTGTTATATTTGTCACAATAATTAGGTAAGAAAAAAAAGTAACAACAAAAATTCTATCAAATTACCCGAGCTATCTGTATCATCATCTTCATCATCATCTTGTCTTTGTTTTCCTTCAGCCTTCATTCTTTCCAGATAGGCATCATGATCACCACCTTCCTCATCACTACCAGACATTGCACCTGTACCAGCATTTGCCTATAGTATAAATTTAACGTCAATCAGATGATAACTTAAACCCACAAGTTGTCCATGGGCAATTGTAGACGACAGACCAACAACAATACGTAGTGGGCTAAATGATTTTTCATAAACATCACATTTCAAGGCACTACATTAAGTATGTATGATTATTCAGTTCTGATTATCAGTAACATTTATAAGAGTTACTTCCTGTTACTGGGGTAAAACATTTATGTGCGCTTATTATGAGATAGTTTTTACCTTTTCTTATTTGCAATAAAAACGTGTCATTCAGCTCTTTTTAAGAGAATCAGAATACTCTCTTTATATGACCTAATAATAACATTTTAAAACTACTTACACCTTTACCACTTTTGTTTTTATCTATATTCTTCACTCGTAATTTCTTTGAAGAAACAAAATCAAATAATTTACCATATTCATCTCTAAAATAAAATATGAAAATCTCTCATCAAAACAGTATATGGAAATATAATAGAATTATAAGATTATTTTGGTTTATAATAGAATTTTTTTATATATTTATTTACAGGATAACACATCTAAAATTATCCAAAGGTTTGTTCTGCAATGGTTTCCAGCTTTCATATAAAGGGCTAGAAATTCACGCAAATCTCCGAATCTAATTTGCGCAAGGATTCTCGCAAGAGCTTATGCTGCGAATCTACAAGGATTCGCATAAAATTTTTGTAAGAAAAAAAAAACCCAAATCTCGGAGTATTGTCAAGTCTGACTATTGAATGTCAGTCAGGGTGTTTTAAATCAAATTTGTATCACTTTATAAAATACTACATATATAATAAAATAAAACATTTGTGTTTTTGTTTTACTGTTTACTTCTAACTTATAATTTTGACGATTTTCTGGCTGGCAGTTGTCTTTTGCTTTTGTGTTTATGTTATGTTATGAATTGTGTGGAAAATTCCCTGATCACGACACAGCGTCTTGTAGAAGTAGAGCACTGAAAGTAATCTGTATTATAACGGTGCAACTCCATTTTCCATTTCCATTTGTATTTATGCATTGAATTTCAGTTAAGATAAAAATTTATTTGTTTCCTAATTATTTATTTCAATCCTTCTTAAATAATATTTAAAAGAAATTGCTTTAGCATCCAACCTTGAAACGAAATAAATCTGGGTTCCATTTTATCCTTTTGATCGATTTGATTCCACTAGTTCCACATCAAAACCCATAGAGGAGCGATTAACAGAGACACAGATGATACAATACTGCATCTATAAATAGGCCTATCTATACTTACTTTTCAATACCAACAAAATGGTATACACTTGATGATAGAGTCTCTATTTCAAAATCAAATGAACGAGTGTTGCCGGATCCTCTAGCAAAATTTACACAGTTAATTTCGTCAAATCTGATATGTAGTGGTGGTTTATGTACAAATATAAAACCTCTTTCTAATGGATACAGTAGACCGGTGGCTGCTTTATATGAACAACTGACACATCTTGTTCCTTGTTGACTGAAAAACATAAAATATGCAATGGGGTTTAACTTCCTATTTTTCTCCACAGACTGGTCTAAAGAAGACTGAAGGCTTGTATTCAACATGTTTATTATAGCTAATACAGCAAAGGATAGAAGTATTTTAACCCCATGCGTCTGAATATTTTAGGACATACAATAATAACTGAAAGATTTATATTTTTTGTCCTGTATCACATCCACAAGTTTAAAAGTCAAAATGTGAACAGATGGTTTTTGAAATTTATAATCTGCAATTTGATTCAGTTCTTCAGTAAGGCCCGATAAAAAGCTTATCCAATTCTTTCTTTTTTTTAATTTTTTTTTTTTTAATATTCCATGAATATCCTGTATTGTGTTCACAAAATTGAAGAAGAGGAAAATAAAATCCACAAAATTAGACAGGTAACCTTGTCATACAAGTAACAGCGGAACAACAGCTTGCACAGGTGACAAGGCATTTGAAATTAAGAAATATCCTGTATCGACCCAGAGATTATGACTCACCCTTCAAATGATCCAGGAACAGTTATTTTCCTTTGTGTAATGGCTTTAAATATTTTACTGACCACTTCATATTCTAATCCATGCATCTCTGGATTTAATTTACCATCATACTTCTCCTTTAGTTCTTCTCTACAAATAAATATACTCAATTTCATTTGTTAACCCAATAACAAAAGTTCGAAGACTAATAAGTCTAGAAGTAACATTTTAAAGGGGAAAATGAACACTAAGCCTTGTTTTATTTATTTACAGTTCAAAAGATAGTAAAATCATTCCAATGATGATCTTTGTTTGATTAATTAATCACTGGATCCCTAATTGACTGAATAACTCCTAATGTGCGAAAAAGAGTTGAAAAACTGGCAATTATTTTTTTTCTGGTCAAATTTAAAACCCAAATGCTACACCACATGAGTATAATGTATAAGTCTGATCTCAAATACAAAATGTCTAGTATAAATTATCTTAATTATATATAAAGAAGGCCAGGTTCAGGTGCAAACATGTCAAAGACACCCTTACTTCAAGTTTAAAGCTAACCATTCGGCTTTGATAATGAGTGTCCAATTTATAATCACTTAATTTCTTGACCAATCGTTTATAAATATGTCAATATCATCAATTGGGTTGTTTCTCTTTTAACAGTGATTGAGAAATCAAACACTTGTAAATTAGACACTCATCAAAATTGAAGTCAGCTTTAAACTGGATACAAGTACAAATTAGATTTTACATGATTTTTACAAATTTCCATACAAAGTTTAGATATAGAATGAATGTTGAAGAAATTAATGCTAAATATACAAGAGTAAATGATACCTGGGTTACAGTTCTATAACATTCTATATAAATACTTACTCTGTCATACCCAACTCCACGGTCATTTCATCTTCTTTATTAAATAATAGGATAAGAAAATGATATCTTGTTTGACCTTGTTTTATTGGAGGATCTAAACTCACCTATTGAAAAAAAAAATGTATGAATTGGTTTAAAAATCAGCTCATAAAATAACTGCTAGTCTATTTATGAATAAATTAGAATACTAATGTCATAGTACAGGCAAGATTATTTTGAGACAAACACATGATTATCTTTTGATCTTCAATATTACAGCAAACATAACAGGCATCTGACATGCCAACCACTGGCTTTAATATCAAGTTTTGAAAAATCAAACTAAGTTTCATAAATTTCCTCAGAGACCTCTGTTCTGTATTGCATTGACAAGCTTCCAATTTGTGAATTTTAAGTTAACACCACAAAACGTGTTTGAAATTTATAGGGGATGAAACCAGAGGTTGGGCAGGTAAACTTACTCCTTGTCACGTCCAAACCACGCCACTGGACTCAATGACAGACCTTATGATCTAAGACGTGCGTGTTAGACCACTCAACCATCCAACCCACAATTATCTAAGGATCAATGTTGAAATATACATGTATAATGATTTAACTTCTTTCTGTAAAATACAGTTATAATTACATACCACAAAGAACATCTGTCTGCTATCTTTATGTGGTAGTAAAAATAATCGTAGAACTGTCGTGTAAGGAACTTTATAATCAAATGTTTTACCATGCAATTGTAAAAACGTAGGATACAACTTAATATCATATCGACCTCTAAAATATAAAATACAAAAAATTAGTCAAAACAAGATTTGAAAGATTATTATATACTAACAGGATACCCAGGTTCGCCCGGTGCCCAAATTGAACTAAAACATTGATGGGGTCGTGCTGGCTAATTTGATACCAATGTGGAGGTGAATCGCGTGATGGGCAAACATACATACATCTTTGATTTTATTATATAGATATTAAGTCTGAAGTGTGGTACTGGACTAATGAAATGGGGTTTAACATCCTACTCCGACTGGACTAAAGAAGGCAGATATATGACATACAGTGTGCTTTGAGGGCTTTGCCCGAACAGCAGTGGTACGGCCTACTACTCTTAATTGAATTCCAACTGCAAAGGGTTCTCATACGTGCACGCCAATGTGTACATTGCACCTTAGTTTTTCGTCCCATTTTGTCCCCTGCCAGGCCCTCCATCCTGCACCGGTGCCAAGAGGGAACCATGCCAGAAAATTCTGATTAACTTTCTCAGCCCAAGATTGAACATCCAAGTTAGCAAGCCAACATCTTACTCACTGATAATGGAAAAACTCAAAAATCAACTTGTCTGGATGAAGTTATTATCAGATATTATATTCAAATTTTTGAGTAGTTCAAAACTGTGATCGTGAATATTAGGCAACACAAATAAAATAACTTGTTTCTCGGGCACCGCCCGCACGCAAAATTGGTTGCGCGTGCAGTCTATTTATTAGTCTTGATGAAAAAAAATAAATATGTAACGCCCGCCCGCACATCGACAAGCAAGTCGTAAAAAAAATATCCCGCATGTACCTACATCCGCCATACATGTATATCTATTCAAATGTATTAAAACTGATTCAGATGAACATGCTGTCTTTTTTATCCGAACAATGGCGAAGTTTGGTAGATTTGCCTTTTTTATTGATATCGAAAGAACCTCCATTTTGTATCACGTGATATTAATTACCTCCCCTGATAAACTAGAATTTGATTCGTGTTAAAAGTCATTGGCGACAATATTTCAATCATTCGATCGTAATCGGCTCATTATTGCCGGCTTCAGTCGGTCCTTGTTTGGAAAATCCTATTGATAAAATAATGAACCGTAGAACAGGTTAATTAATTATAGCTAAGAATACGATACGATGACGATAGTCGTCATAATGCATACCTTAGAATCTGGGTCATTATTAGCACATTTACGGTAGTTTCGATAATCCGGAAAATAATAATTGGATTACCGATTTGATGGTTTTACTGACCAGTTGTTAGTTAGATTTAAATAGTCATTCAATATAAACACCGGATAGAACACCGAATATCCTGAGAAACACACCGAATATCCCAAGAAACAGTATTTCCGGCAATCTCCAATACCGATGACACGGTGTGACATGCATTGGTTGGAATTCGGTAAATAATTATAAATAAACCGGCGATACTAGATTTAGTTTTAAATACTGTTTACCATGATTATTATTTTTGATACACCTGGTGAAAGAGGCTTAGTTTTTAAAAATATTGTTGTCTTTATGGAGGGCTATTACATAGTCGTATGGAATTTTATTTTTTAACCAATTTCAATTATGTGAATTAAATATGGAAAATTATTTTCCTTTCAGTCAGTGTTCAGTCTCAGTGTTTTAGTAGACTTGATTTTGGGTTTATGTTTTAAGTATGTACAATAAAGTTGAATATAACGGAAAGCAAAAACGTAAACAAGTAATGACTTTCTCATTTAAAAAAAAAAAAAAAAGAAAGACCGCCCTCCCGCCCCAACAATTTTCAGCAATAGCCAAATTTTATTTTGCACCATCAATGAGTAAAAAAAAAAAAAGAAACCGCCCTCCCTCCCTACAGTTTCAGCTGTCAGTTGCCCGAGAAACAAGACATTTATTTTGTGTGGCCTTACATGTACAAACCTAGGTGTAAGACATTGTACTTCTGTAAACGTAACAACAGCATCGCCAGTAGCCTGTATAATATCAGCTTTAGCTAGAACCTTCTCATAGAACTCCTAAAACACAAATAACACTTTTAATACTTCAGCACTTGCTAATGTAACTATTGAATATCCCCAGTTCTTTGAAGAAATTTAGAGAAATGTGATATATTAATACTGGTACATCCCTGAGCAGATCGGAACTGCTGTTCATTAGACCACCTCATTCCGTCCAGAAATGTGAGCAGCTTTCCGTATTATAGGGCCATTTAGCATGCACAACAGCTATGCGCTTGACATGGAGACTTTTGGAAGTCTCAGAACTCTTCTTAGGGTGGCACAATATATTAAATAGTCTATAATTATCTCAGAAGTCAACATCAACAGGGGTTTAGTACTAAGAATTGTACTAAGTTGCTAACTAAAAATAATACCAACCGCAACAGTATCAACTTCTGTATTTGGATCTGTTGGAATGTGAAATCTTAATTCTGTCAAAGAAACTGCAGCATCGTCATTTTGATGAAATTCCAAAGTAACTTCATTTTTTGTATTAGTAGAGTGAGACACATTACCAAGTGGTATTTCAAAAGCCAAATGGTTGTCAATTTTAAAATTTAACGCATTAGCTGAAAACAAAATCGAAATAAGATAAATGACATAAAGAGTTTTTTTTTTTGCAATCATGGTTTGAAGAGAATGGTTTATACAGACAATTTGTAAATATTTTTTCGATATATGGTACAGGTTTTCAGCATGTTATCGGGACTAACAACAGAGCATCCACTATATGCTCATGATGAGTAGTAACCACAAACAACTGGTATGTGAATTCAATGAGAGCATTTATAACCACTAACATTAACTGCCATTGTTTTAGAGCTTTGGGTTAACTTTGTTTATCTTGTCTGGGTATTGATGGCTGAAAGGAACCAGCCTGCACATCCAGTGACCATCCTAGACTCTTACAACCTTTAGCCAAATAAAAATTTTATTAGCCAATTCAGAAACTTGTAGTCAAATATTATATCATTTTATTCATCATTTTTATTCTGTCATACGACTCGTAGGCCTCATCACATCAACGATATCGGCTGTTGCTGCTGTTTCATTAATAATATGCTTCGTGTATGAAGACGGGGAAATTATAATGTGTAAAAGGGGCATGTGAATAAAAAAAAAGTAGCTTAGCAGAAGTAACCAAAGCAGCGCACAAAAGGGACGTAACTGTGTTTGAAAGTTAATAAGCTTTGAGACTCGGGCAGTTTCGTTTAAATTTGCCCGAAATTCAAACTCAACCTTCATTATGGTGGAACGGTGATATATTTAATCATTCGATAAATGCCAATATCGAAAGGAACCAAGGTCTTTGGGAGATAAACCTATATTTCAAGTTTCGTCAAAACTGGACAAAGATTGTGACCTGTAGAGTGTCTACAAACAAATTGTGGACGGACGGATAGGGGAGACGACAATATACATCCACATAAAAATGTAGGCGTATAAAAATAGATACTACATCGAGTCGATTGAAAGTAGTGTTGAATGAGATGATTTCAAGTTTAGAAATAGCAGATTTACAAAATTACACTCTCGAAACTTCATTCACCAGTATCATCAATTTGATCACCAATAAAAATAATTATTGCGATTGGTCACCTGCCGAATGTTTAGGGCGGTCACTACACACCAGATCAGTTCTTCAGCATTAATTCATATTACTTGCTTTTAGTAAAATACATGCATCATTTCTTATTTTAATGTGTCATTCCTTGAATTGAATCATTTAGTGGCTTATATCAAATACTATTCTATCTCACCAACAAAATCTGCTTGCCCCCAATTCCATCCTTTCATGGCTATATCCACTTTTTCAAGTTCACTGTTATAATACTTTGATACAAATGATGCAAGTCTCTCAAATTCCTGTTAAAAAATCAGTTAATGTCTATTAACACTTATGAATTGTTTCTAACAAAATTTTGTTTTTTATTCTCATTTTTCAGATGTTTACACTGCTTTATTGTGGTCTAAATATCTTTCTTTATGTAGTGCATTCTGTTGATTAGAAAAATAGTTAAGTTTAATCTTCACTCAACACAAGTAAATTAGTTTAAAAGGGGGGGGGGGCAAATGTTCTAAGGCGTGTCAATGAGTTAAGTAGCATGGTATGTCGTATGATTGAAATATAATTGAACCATATGTTGGTCCATAATTAATGGCCTAGTTTGTGCTCAGTGGACATTAAACCCTATTAGTTTAAAAGAATAATGATAAAATAATTTATCCTTTAATGCTCACCATTTCTTTAAAGCCATCATATCTGTGTATCGTACCATTATTTAGAAGCATCTTCAAACAGTTTCCCCTCGCCCTTTTCAGCCAATGAACAGCTTCAATATCAGAACTCTGATACTGATCTACTTTTCCAGTTTTAATGTTTTTAAATGTAACACTATTACTTTGTAATTTCAGTCGACCAGGGTTCTAAAATTTTAAAAAAAAAGCTCTTATTAATCAATTTCAAATAGCAAAATGTTATTTTTTGTTCATAAATATGCTAAAATAATGTATGATCTTAAAATGGCTGTCCCCATCAGCTCTTAAGCAGCCATGAATCAGTACATCCTGAAAAAAGTTAAGACATTACATTTTCTTAGCATGTATTCGCTATTGATGTGTGTCAGTTGGTTGGAACTGGTGGGGAGGCATTCCATAAAATTTCCAGTAAGCCGTATAGGTCTTTGCTCTTATGATAATATGAAGGTTTGTAATGGGATTTAGTAGATAAATTAAAATATGGTCTGGAAATGGAAGGGGGTGGGGAACAGAAAATTTTCTGAATGCTCTTATGAAATAAATTCCAAATAAATGGGATCAATTTAATTCATAATTATTGGTGATGTGAATGTTGTGAAGATGGTTTCCTACGTACACTGCAGAGACCTGGGAAGTTAATGCATGTTTATTCAACTCAAGAAGAAATAAATCGATTTTTGCACCCAAACAAAATCATTACCAATGCCCCACGGACTTCTTGAAATACTTCTGGATATTCTTGGACATCACTCATTTTTCCTCTTTATCAATCAAGATACCTGTAGTGTGTTTAAGAAATATGGCTCGGGGTTCAGATGGGATGACTTCCGCTGAAAGATAAACACAAACACTATAGCGAATATTGAATAGTGTCTTGAAATATATGTGGCGAATAATATATATATATATACTGAAGTATACGAAAGTCGCGAATGTGTTGTATAAATAATTATCCCTTTTTGAATGCATGTAAATCATTGTGTAAACGACGACTTCCCTTCCGATCCGCAACACGACAACAGAGTTAAAAATTAAGGCGGGAAATAACACATGTGTCTAGTAAAATATTAAACAAAATTCGTCTATTTCCCACTGTTTCACTCACACTGAGTTAGATTGTAAGCATTTTGCATTTTTTTCTTAGCAAAAACATACCTCGAAAATTAAATGTCTTGTGGATTTCAAAGTTGTTGTCTTTAAATTGGTTGTACATTTAGCGAGACGAAAATGACAACTTTATTTTTAGAACGCAGATGGCGCTTTCGAGCGCTGGTCGTTGTTGACATGACGTCACACAAAGGCAGGGGCATTGGATTTCGCGATCTTCCAGTTTCAAAATGTAATAGTCTTATAGCCTATGTATTATGTCTGGTTAATCATTCTTCGTGTACATCGAGAGAGAGGGCGGTCCTTGTCTCCAGTCTAAACTTGATAACGTACACATTTGATCTACAAAGAAATCGACTGCCTGAAATAATTGACAGAATAATGTACTTAATTGAACTATTGTTTGAATAGACATATTCATAAAAATTCAACCCAGACACGTAAGTAGCATGTCATTATAATTCCAAAATTGCATTTAATATAGTTTTTTGTAACATTCGGAGTGTCCTACAGAATGTCTGGTTTCAAAAAGTAATCTACGACTACGAAATACTGTGCTTGTGACATGGCTTCTGAGCTTGACACCCAGTCATGATGCTGTAAAAATAGAAAATGTTTTGGTTGGTTTCGCTTCACATGTCACGTTTGCAGATTAAATCAGTTCTAAAAAGAAAAATATTAATGAAGTCATGCTTCTAAGTTCTGTTTGTATTTCTAAAAAGAAACATTGATTGATTAATGGAAATATTAATAATTAATAAGATATGAAAATATTAATAATAAGAAGTCATGAAAATATTAATTATAAGTCATTGATAATCTCTTTGACTTCTTTATTCTTATATTATTAATATTTTGACTTATTGTCATGACTTTTTACCATTACCATGTGCAAAATGATTCAATGATTGATAGTCAATTGTAATGTAATTTTTATCAAAGAAAAATTAAAGGGACAATAACACTCTTGCTGGCTTGACAGCTCCAGAAATTAAAAAATAGCCTTATTCTAAGTACTAGATGTGTAAGTGTCTTACCTGTTGTGTAAATTATCCATTAAATCCTATTTTACTTGTCCAGAGGGTTCAAAAATATTTTTAAATCCAAGCCACATTTGAAAAGCTTTACGTCAGGCTTTTCAAATCATTTAGTTGAATTTTTCCAATTTTTTAAATTAGGTGTGTTAAGATGAAATTTGTATCATCAATTAATTGAAATATTGTAAAATAGTATAATTTGTTGACCAGAATAAAGATTGGGACATATTATTCAGTTACAACAAGAATGGTATTGAGCCTTTAATGTTTTGTTGTAAGATATATTTTGATATTTGTTGGTCCATAAATTTTGGCCATTGTAATTAATTGTAATGAATCAAACAGTAATTTTGGTTGGGGGTAGGTTGACTGGAGGCTGATACCTCACCAGAATATTGACTATTATATTGCATGAAAACAGCATAATGGATTTACCATCTGTGGGTTTTTTAATGTATGTGGAATGGATAGGATTAACTTCATTTTAATTGATACAGTCTTTTATTATAATAGTAAGTGCAGGAGGACCGCACTACACGTAAAACAAAAATCTACAAGATAAACCTGCGGACAAGACACAGAAAATAGACATTGCACCAAATAAACAAATGGATACTGTCAAATATTTTCAAAACTTTAGCCGTATTTATAAGAAATGTGAACCAATGGATAAATCATAGGCGACATAGGTCTTGAATTTTGAATGCGCATGTGTATAGACATGATAAGGACATTATATTATACTATATTACACATGAAATTTAAACAGATGATTTAACTTTTAAAAGTCAACAATCCTGAACAAAGATAATTTAGACAGTGTGATATACTGAACATATATTGAGCTTCAGGGTAGGAATTGTTTTCTGTTCCCCTGCAATTTAAGTAAACCACATGAAACTGAAAATTTGGATTTCTGCGGAAAAGTACTACAGTACTTTGGATTGTCAAAATATTTATTCCGAAGAGAAATACAATTTTTAGAATTTTCTCAATTTTGAGAACATTTTTAAGTGGTTTTAGACACCAAAAACTACATGTATAAATTTAACTGTGTCTTTTGTATTTTATGGTTGAATTCTTTAAAATTCTAATTTCATAACATACATATTGACTGACAGGTAATTTCTTGAGTTGATCAATTACACTGCTAGTCACTTGAAACTGACAAACATGACTGTAATAAGAGCCCTGTCCCTAAATGGTCTTCCTCACAAAATTAACATATTTGATTCACTATATATGTGTTTTAAAGCTTTTTTAAAAACAATTATATATTACAGAATCAACAAATGATTTGTAATTGGAATAGAATTGTGCTATTCTTACACTTTTCTCAGCAGTCATGCTTTATATCTTTAAATTAAAGATACATTATGGGAGATTAGGTAAAGAGCTGGTAGTTCTCACTATAATAGTTAAAAACTAGCCTCGATCATCATTACTAATAGTCAGGCGCGGATCCAAGGGGGGACGCACCCGGCGCACGCCCCCCCCTAATTCCGCGGCAAGGTGTAAAAACAAAAGTTGCAGTCATCTCTCGTGGATTTATTTGCGAAGAGTAGAACAGCTACCATGTAAGGCATGTTTCAACCGGGAAAGAATTACGGAAGTGCCCGGATGAACGCTATGTAAACAAAGAGAAATGGACTGACGGAGGACAACAAACCCATTAAAAAAATAATTTCTAGTTCATCAATGACAAATAAAAAAAATGATGACTCCCAATTTCTGGCCATACTTATTTTTAATCTTGGTCCCGCAACCAGCCTGCAGGCCCCAAAACTTATGTGACCCAAAAGATTATCGCCGGTCTATAGATGGGTGGGGCTCTAAACTCTAAGTATGACTAAATTATCCAACAGGATATACCCAAATATTTACAGGGGATTTTATATTCGTTATTCTCTTACTATTTGGAGTGGATTAAATATTCTATATATGTGACTTAAATACGTAGGCTAAATGGTACCTAACCAAATTTGACCGATCATGGATATACATTACCTCACACAACTTTACCTGTCATCTAAAGTTCTAAAAAAAACACGCTCATCTTTGGAAAAGAATTTTCAACCTTCTTTCATAAATCACTACCTCCTTCAAACCACATGCCTTTCCTTCAGTCTGACTTTTTTCAGAAATTTTTCAGGCAGTAGACTACCGATCTGTTCCTGATGATTTTGCAGACAAAAAACACTGAAAATAGGGTGGGAGTTTTGTTTAATATTTGGAGATCAGATGCCAGGAAATCGCATTATGAAGTCTTATCTTAGCAAATTTCACACCTGCGGCGCTCATGATTCGGGCTTCGCACTCAAAGTACGCCTTTCGAAATATCCTGGATCCGCCCCTGATAGTCGGTACGATAAAAATACATAGACTCGATTATCCATTTTTTGATTTAATCAAAAGCAGCAGACTAGGTTCTAATCCAATAAATATTGCAGGCTAGCGATGCTATCGAGAGTTGATTATGGTCTGGATAAGTTAATTAATATTTAATAAATAATTTAGATAAGATTTCAGGCCTAAAGAAAAAAACTGCAATTGGCAGATTTAGCTCTTGCATAATGTATGTTGAAAGATATTTTGGTTTTTTTTTACTCCGTGGGAATAAATCATACTATGTGGCCTCAATAAAACCTGTAATTATATTCCACACACATATTTATACTTGACTAATTGTGAACATTTCTAGTTATGATATTAACAGGGTGTAATAAGCATTCTGTAGCTAGTTATTAAACCCAAACGTTTTTGACTTGATTGTGGAGTACAACAGCCAGACTAGCCATGCTAACGTAATGACATGATCAGTTAAGCTTGTTAAGTTGACTTATTATGGTTAAAAAGCCTCAGGTTATGTGACATTAGTAAAAAAAAAAAACTACTTGTGAATGCTGTCTCTATCTCCTCATATAGTGTTGAAACTCAATATTGAATTTTTGGTTTAAAGATGAAACTGACATTGTCTGCTAGGTATTTACTCTGTCTACAAAGTAGTTTTCTTTATCCAAACTTTTGACCTGGTAAAGTCAGCTCTTTGTTGAGTTGACTCTTTTGAGATGTACTCTATGAAACGATTATCTAGACTACTTGTTCTCAGAATTTCAAGAAAAACAAGTATAAATCCTGTTGAATTCCAAGTAGGATTAGTTGCACTCTTAAGTTAATGGTACCTGATGATCATGTTGTTTTACTGGAAATGTTCCACAATGGCTGACTAGATATGTATACCGTTAAGGGTTAATTTGTTTGTTGTAAAAGTTTTCTCTTTCAAAATTCTGAATATTGTCAGTTGATACATAAATATGTGTAGTTCATTGAACACAGATTTTCATGGTACACATGTACAAAGCTTGCCATTTTAAAAAACATTTTTATTATTCCTCGAATCAAGCTTTATATATAAGGTAAATTAAATGTAAATATGGCTGTTGTGCAGGAATCAGGCTATGGTATGCATATAAAATTTCTCTAACAACTGATATCATTTACCTCTGGACTAATAAATGGAACCTTAGGGGGATTGTATATTTTGGGCATCAGTTGTTCTCAATTTATAGGTTAGAGATCTTGATAGAAATTAAAAACTTTGTGGGATTTTTCATTGGGCGTAGGGGGTGGGGGGGGGGGGTAATATATCTAAGAGATTTTGCAGTGTTATCATTCTATCCATATTTAAACTGTTTAAAAAGCTTGGAATAAGGTTCTTGCCATCACAAGATTATGAATTTGCACCTTCCGTCTTGCAGGCCTGGGAATAACGGTTTTAGTTGTACCTGACAAAATGTACCTGGCATCTTTAACTTTGTACTGGACATGGTTTAAGACTGTAAAAAAGACAAATCAGTGGCTGAAAAAATGACAGACCCAGAGTTATTGTGCCTGACAAAGCCTGGATTTGTGCCTGACATTGTAACAAAATCCGATGTGACCAGTTATCTAAATTATCAATTAGACATTAATTAACTTATCCAGACCATAATAAACTCTCGATGTCAAGGCTAGCCTTCGATGTTGGCTGGATTAGATTCCTATATGCGGCTAACGGCCGTTGATAATTAAATCAGAAAAAGTGGATAATCGAGACTATGCTGTTTATATAAATGATTTTAGTAATGATGACCGAGACTATGCAAAAATTTCACCCGCTTCTTTCTCGGTTCATAGTGGATCAATTTGACTGAAATTTTCAGCAAATTACCTTTACACTATCTAGTTTTTAACTATTATAATTATAGCGAGAACTGCCATCTCTTTATCTTATCTCCCATAATGTATCTTTAAGTTTAAAAGAACACAGCAATGTTAATTACGGCAGTTGCAAAGATAAAATACAGAAAGCAACAGTACATCAATATCATTGCTGACATCAGACTTGATCCCATTTCCTGTTG